TATCGCGGAGGTGTTTTGATAGTGTGGAGTCGCAAAACGACGACATCACGAAACTTCGACGATAAGGGTTATGTGGAAGAAACATGGGGAGTCTCTCGGCTGACGATGTCGAAGAAGGAGATATCCCCGGGACTATGGGTTTGGTCTGGGCCTGGATCTGGAGGTGGATTATGGGAAATAGCATTTCCCCGGAATCTGGGACGAAACATCTATCTCGGACATTTTTTGTGAAAGGGAGGGGTGGCTACAATCGGGTTTTTTGGGGGGGTGTCGTTCACTTTAAGATCTCGCTATGTGGGGCATAAGGCATGGGGCTCCCGAGACTACACTAACAACACCACGACAACGAAAGGGAGATCTACCCCTAGCGCTCCTCAAAAGCTCGTGGGGAGCTTGAAGGGAAAAGCTTGTTTTGATCGGCGGTTCGACGGTTTGGGCGATTTACGCGATCCATGTTTCCTCTCCTGTCCTGTCCTGTTCTGTTTGGATGTTACACTGACAGATGGATGCCCACAGACGTGGTGATGGGATGTTGGAGGCTAAGGGTGGGAAGGAAGAGGGTTACATGATGATGGAGCTTGCCATCGAGGTTGAGGTCGGAGATTTTTACACTACTTGCCTTGCCTCCTGTACTCCACTATGCATGCTTCGGAAGACCCGATGTCCGGGAGCTGAGGGAACGGGGGTGGGGGGCAGTTCTGCGATGCCATGGATGTTATTTGGAGGTGGTGGCTGTGATGCTTTGGTTAAGGCGACAAGGTTGACAATGCGGGGAGGAAGGGGGTGTGCCCTCATGCTTGATGCTCGATGGTCTACCTTGCGATGTCTTCCTTGTTGACTTATCGGCTTTACTCACCGGGATGTGGATATGGAGGAGGAGGATGAGGAGGATGAGGAGGACAAGGAGGTAGCGGATGCGAGCGAGAGAGCGAGCAGAGAGGGCCCAGGCGCGACTCCTTGATCGTTCCTGTCTGTCTATCCGTCTATCCGCCTATCTACCTGTCTGTCCATCCAAGCTCCTCCCTAGGACTGGAACTAACTGACACGCGAGGAAACACGGACACCTCCCCCAGATCGGGGAATTCATGTCCGGATGGCGTCGTGATAGCTTCTACAATGGCGAATCTGTGGGTTCGTGGGTTCGTGGGCTCGTGGGTTTCTGGTCTTTGATGAAACTTGGTTGGTTGGTTGATGATGGCAGGGCGGGTGAGGTGAGTTGAGCGTTTCAAGCGGTGTGTTTCGTCTTTTTTTGACGGCACGAAGTGTCAAGTCAAGACACCGTACATACATCCCATCTACCACAGGGACAGGGAAGGGGAGGTTGGTTTACACTAGTTTGATATCCCAGGATGAGGCCGTGGACGTTCGGATGGCCTGGGCGTACACTATACCGGGATGGTGATGGTGATGGCGATGGTGATAGTGATGGTGGTTTTGTTGAGTCTTGGGCTGTTGGGGAGCGGCTGGGAGTGGCTGGGACCGGCCGGAGCCGGCCGTGATATGAGGGGGTGGCGAGTGGATGAGTGTGCTAGTGTGCTAGTGTGCCTTATCTCGTCTCGTTGTCTTGTCGCGGGTAGGAGGGGACGCTATGCCGCCGCTCGGGATATCGGATGAGGGACTCGGGATATTCGGGTGTTGGTGTTTCCTTACTTTCCCGGGTCTCCTTCCTTTCCCCTGGGCAGTGGTGGATATCTGGAGGTCGGGGAGGGGAAAAGCCGGCGAGTATCGGGTGGAGAGGATGAGCTAGAGACGGTGGACTGGAGATGGGGGCCCGGGAACACCGGCTTCCTTGGCTTGAGACTTGGGATGGGGGTTGGTTGGTGTTTCCGGGGAAAGTCGGAAGAGTCTTGGGTTGGAGTTAGAGTTGGAGTTGTTTGTCTGTTGCCGGCTCAGGAACAGGTTTGCTCAGCTATAGCAGGGGTGTGTTGTTGTTAGGTGTACAGGTTTGTGATATCTGCTGTGTTGTTGTTTACACCTGAAACCTTAACCCAACAGCAGTTATCAACTTGGGCAGAAATCACACCAAGGGGCATTACATAGAACATGCGGTTCTTCGCCAATCGAGGTGACACAGCTTACACTACAGTTACAGCAAAGACAGAAACAAAAACAGAAACAGACCACCCCAGACACAGAATCCCACACTCCCGGCAGACCGGCAGACAGATCCGGTTTCCGAGACTCAACTCACTCACTTATTCCAGGTCCCGGTACAGCAGATCCCAACAACCGAATCATCGTCACCATCACCATGTCCGGCTCACGACTCACCGTCACAATCCCATGAAACATTTCTTTCCTTGCGTGGCGTTACCGACCGTTCGAAGTGTTACCGAACAGTTTAACACCCCGTTGCAGTGCATCGAAGCGAGCGCCGCTGAAGATTGCTTATTCCTATGGCAAGTGTGGGCAGTCGTTTGATGCACATATGCATGTACTTACTAAACATAAGTTAAGTTGTTAACGAGTGTGACGAGACGGGACGTAACGGGCGTGAAAGGACGGGATGTGAGGTGCATGCGTGCCGTGACGTGCCTTGACGTGACGGGACGGCTTGTGTTAAGTTTTTGACCGTTATACTAAGAACCGGGGTTAGTTATAATGTCCTCGCGTATGTATGTACTATAACGGTACGCACATATGTACTCCGTACTGTACATCTCCTGCATGTGTACGGCCGGTCCCTGGTGTGGTCGTGACTATAACACGCCGTGATATACCTCTTGGCGGTCTAGATTCACTTCCTCGGCTCGCTCAATTCGCTCGGTTAAGCAAGCCGTTTCGGAAACGGGGGGGGAAGGAGAAACAGTTTTATTTGGGGGTGGGAGGGGGAGGATTGCGGGGGGGATGTGACCGACGATTAAGCAATGGTGGTTGTGTAACCGAGCCGGAGAGTAAGTATCTTGTGCTTGATGGGGACAGAGGAACGTGGGGTTTCTCGACTCACATCAAACACCGGGATGGTCGCCTCGGTATTGTTTGTGGAGAGTTGCCGGAATGGCTGGTCCGGCAAGGCAATTATGGTTTGGGTTCGGGAGTCCTTATTTGAGTGGTGATAATGGTAGGCTATCTCGGTATGTTAGGGGGTCTTGGGGGGTGAGTTGAGTGTTGTTTCGACGGTTGAGTGAGTGATTAATTACACTACACTACAATATCTCTCGACTTGCCTGCCGGATTCATGGGATTCAGGGGCCGGCTGTTGCGACGGTGACGGTGACGGTGACGGTGACGGTGACGGTGACGGTGATGGTGCGGTGACAAGCAACAAGGAAGAGGTAACAGTGCCGGGTGAAGGGTAACTGACGGGTGTTAGGTGACGGTGAGAGGTGAAGGCGACAAGTGATAGTTGATAGGGCCGCTTAAGTGGTTGAAGGTTCATGGTGGTGAGTAACGACATGGTAAAGGCCTCGCGGGTTTCTCCGCATTCTCATCACTTACATCTCGTGGCAATATTCAGAGCATATACAGTACCAAGTATTTGGTAGGCCGCGGCATCAGAAGCACGGGCCGACTACTTCCTAGCCTAGGGTGGTATTACCAAGGTATGATGTTGTTCGGTTCATTGTCGGGGTAGCTCAACCCGACCGGTTAGCAGATAGCCAGTCCTTACGGGGGAGGGATCGAGTGTTCATTACAACGGCGGGACAATTGAGACCGAGGAAGCCACCATGAGGTGGTATGGCATGGATATTTGGGGCATCTACATGTATGTATTGGTGGTGTTGAAGGGAGGTTAAGCACGTCATATGAGTATCACAATTGCAGAAGTGTATTGCAGGATCTAGAAGTGAGGTGTGCACTGTGGTCCCTTTGAGTTGAGAGAGTTACTTTAAGGTGATGTTTTATAAGTGTGGTTACTCGGAGGTTTATCAGGGGGTTTATCAGGAAGTTGACTGACGTAGGTGCATATAATTACTTCTATAGAATAGCCAACGCTAGCGTACGCTCTTTATCATACATGGCTGTTCGATAACGAGGCTGAGTCACTACTCGGCTGCTCTAGAACATAGATCATTCAGATCCCCCAGTCAGTGTACACGTTGATGGTTCACGCGGTGCATGATACATCTAATCTACATAATTCTTTCCTCCGGGTTTCTAGAGATCGTTGCATTATGTGACGGGGTAATGACTGGGCTGTGGAATGGCAGAATGTGAAAGAAACTATTGTTCATGGGACCTTCTAGCTGTTAGTTGTCATGATGACAGTAACATGCTAGGCAGGTCTATAGATTCAGCTAAAACCCCCGGGTGTATGTTGACATTATATATTTGAGTCACCAGGTTCAGCACTACATGATGTCAAACTAACTTGCTTGCGAATTATCTCAAGATGTCATCTTATTGTAAGAACAAACTTTGCCACCAGATCCGAGCATCATATGGCGACTATGAGGTGAGGTTCTGCGTACAAGCTGATAAGACCTGAGCAACTATCATAGAGACAAAACATGATACTTCTAGATGTCTCGACGGGCCCGGAGACTCACTGCTCATGTGCGTGGCGAGTGACACTATCTAACGTGTCCCACCGTGACGTTCTGTCTTCAATGACATGTTTTGGCGTCATACAAGTTCCCGAATTAGACACGTCGAGGTGTAGCTGGACAGAGTACTGTGTCTCAGATCTGGCGCTGTGAACTCAAATCAATCTTAGTACGAGTCACTGGGCTTTGAGGCTGGATATGTCTCCGTTGTGTATTTGCTGTCGTCGGGACCCAGACCTAGCAGCGCATGACCGACGGTTCAAACATCAGAGCGGAGAATCAAGGACAGCCAAGTAGTGTATAATCTGGTGATACAACCGAAAGCCATTGAGCCTTGGCCTTCATAACAACGAGTAGAGAGTCCAAGCCTAGCAGATACCAGACAGGAGATATCCCCCACAATCCCAACACCAACCTAACCGTCTATCCTCATCCTCAACCCCCTTTCTCTCAGCCCCCTTTATCCAAACCCAACATCCATCCTCTCCCACCCTCCTCTCTCCCAAAGAATAATTACAACCCCTTCTTCCCCCCCAACCCCTGCACAACCCGATCAAACCTCCAAAACGCCATCCCCCCTTCCACAAAAACACTCCCCACCCACGCCCACCACACCGCACTCCCCCTCCTCACCCCAAACTTCCTCAGCCTCGTCCTCTCCATCCAATACGTCTCGCCCACATGGATCGCCACCACGGGAATCGCAATCACATTCACCAGCCACGTGTAGGTCGCCACGCCGCCGGGGAAGTGAAGGGTGCTTTCGATGATGCGGCCGAGGGGGCTGGTGGGGGTGCTGAGGAGGTGGGGGGGCAGGTGGATGAAGGCGAGGGAGAGGAAGTAGAGGAGGGCGGCGAGGAAGGTGAGGGCTTCGGCGGGGTTGTCGGGGGGGCGGTAGGTGGTTACTTTGATGGAGGGGGGGTTTTCTTCTCCTTTGGTTGGTTTGGTGGGCTTTGGTGCGCGGGGGTTGGCCATGGTGGGTGGTAGTTTTGGTTTTGTTTTTTTGGCGGTGAAGGTTGTTGTTGGTGAGGTTTGTTTTGATGATGATGATGATGATGATGATGATGATGCTGCTGCAAAGTCGCGTTTGTTGATGATCAACTGCCACAGTTTATTTATGTTGCGATGCGATGTGATGCGAAAATGCTGGCGGATGTGATAGACAGCCGTGCCAATTCCCACGATACTCCGTTTGTGAGCTGCAAACCACCTTAGAGTGAGAATCTCCTTTGCAAATGACCTGATGAATGATGGCCCGATGAAGACGTGTCAATAAAGTTGACATGTGAGGCCCGGTCTTTTTAAACAACCACTGTCGCCTGAAACTTGGCTCCGAAGCTTGGCAACCACAGCTACCTTACCGTAAGAGCTTAGGCAGCAAGAACAGGGGTGTGGCTCCCACCCATCGCAGCCGGCCCAGCCGCCAGCGTTAGTTACAGGGAGCTCACCCAGTGGGTTCCGGTGGGTGATGCCGCTGACAGTATTCGTCCTATGAAATAAACCGCCCTCGGTCTCGCTGTCTCCAAGAGACTGAGCCTGAGAAAAGCCATCAAGTCACTCAACACCGAATGCCTGGATGGACAATGCAGGTCTATATTAAGCTTTTCTTGTAGATGTATCTAGCCCGGAGAGAATCGGGACACTACCTAGTTTTACAACCGGATACTTTTCGTGGGTTCACGAACACACCACAGAAGACATCGTTAGAGTGAACTGTGAGATGAAACATCTCACTGCGTCGTGTTTGAGAAGGAACCGACTTCCTCCGAACACCTACAATAGCTAATGGGCGGCGTGACAGATTTAGAATCATGCCCGGAATCATGAGAAGGCATGTCCAACACACCTTAACCAATTCACATGTTCTCTCTCTTCCGTTTCAATTCCTTTTTTTTCATTTCCTTTCTCATTATCTTTCTCTCCTTTTATTCCAAGCCATACAAACATAGGCCGAGTGAGGATGGGTATAATTAACTCTTTGTACATAACATAACATATCTTTTTACGCCCGCTTTCCCGCTTTCCTGCTTAACCAAGCGCCATAAGCAGCGAACCATATCGACATCAATCGCCATTACTCCTAACCTGTTATCCCTTCCCCCATTTTATGATAAAATGTCGTTTGGACTACGACATCATAGCATCCCAATCAAACGTCCCACTCCCCCAAAGCTCATTCAAGTTGAACCCCAGCGTCTCAAGGTTGTAAAAGTCTGCGTTTAGAGGCGGCATCTGGTGTGATTGTCAGTACAAGTAATCACATCACGGACGGGTGTCAAGTTACCTGTGGTATGGCGTTCTGGTCCGCCGTGTTGGGAAGCCACCATGGAGTACCGGGGACCTCGATCTGGCCGCCCTGCTGCGAGGACGACGGCGCAAAGGGGGTGACGGACTGGGGTGTATTAGCGATTGACGCATCTTCTTTTGAATCCGGAGAGGGTACTCACCTTTGACCGGATAAACGCTTCTGCCGACGACGGCGGTACACCCGCAGCATACGCCCCCATCCCCGTCGCAAACGGCGTGCCGGGGATGACCCGTCCTTGGTCCCCCGGCCCTCCTGCTCCGCTCCCAGCGCCAGCAGCTGTACCTCCCGGTCCTGCGTTTGCGTTCGCACTCCCGCTTGCACTCGCAGCCGGGTTCGACGAACTTGGCGCCGTACCACAACACGGTCCCGGAGCACCTGGATTGCCCCCCGCAGAACTCTGCTGACTCCCCATCGGCGGATCCTGCCCAGCCAGTAACTTCCAATGCAAATGGACGAACCGCTCCGCGCTCGCCGCCTTCGCAGCCTCGGGGGTCTTGGTCCCCAGATGCGCTTCGAGCAGCCCGAACGCGGCACACATGATGCTGTACCCCCACGGCTCGTTGTTCCCGCAGCGGAGGATGCGGTCTTCCTTCATGGCGAGGCAGCGCTCGAGCAGCTGCAGGGTGTGCTGGGAGTTGATCATGATCATGTTGGTGCTGCCGCGCGGCTGCAGCATGGTGACACTGCTGAGGTTGATGGCGAGCGTCAGGCTGTCTTCGCGCAGGAAGTTGAGGGTGCGGATCCCCTGCTGGGCGAGCCGGTCGTTGAGGAGGACCATGTCGCGCGCCGCGTTGTAATAGATGATTTCCGAGTATTGGTACTTGGAGTTGGCCTTGCGCAGGCGGAGGAACGGCTGGTGAAGCGGGATGATGTACTGCCGGAGTTGGATGTGCAGGAGGGTGTAGGCGAGCAGGGGCTTCTTGAGCACCGTGTCCTGGGAGGAAGCCGAAGAGTCGCCCACGTCCCAGGAGGGGAGGGAGTCGATCTCCTGGTTGATCTCGTTGGTGTAGCGGATCACGCGGTCGTAGTCGAGGTCTTCTGGCGGTCCCGTCAACACCCGGCTGAGTTCTAGGCGGAGTGGCAGACTATGGCGGCTGATGTGTTGGTAGGACGAAAAGGTGTACTCGGTTGAGGGGCGAGACGGGGGAAGCTCCTTGACGTCTTCGTCGAACTCGTCGTCGTCAATATTACGGGGTGGGTTGACGTCGTAGTGCAATGAACAGAGAATCGAGGGCAGGCCGTGGTCGAACGACGCCTGGAGATCGTAGCTCTGGATGGTAGCCCAGATGCGCCGCCGCATCTCCTGGTTGAACGGCGAGATCTTGTCGCACATATGGCTGGGTTCACGGTGCAGGCCGACCGAGACGGCGTCCTGCGTCATCGACCCGGCGTTGCGCCAGAACCGCTTCTTCTTCATGGTGTTGACCCGCTTGGCCAGGTAGATGAGGCAGGCGATCTGGTAGTGGATCAGACGGCGGTGCTTTTGGCTCTGCTGTTCTTGCCACTCGTCGACGGCCTCGACCCAGCGGAGAGCGTTGGCGTGCGAGTGAGAAACCATCTTCTCGAACTTGTGCGGCAGCTGGGCTGCCAGACAGCTCGAGATGCCCATGATAGCCAGGACGAGCGCCGTGAAGGCCGCGTTGCGCGTCTCAGACGGGAGCCAGAACTTGGCGTAGTCCCTTCGGAAGCTGGGGATGTGGACGATGCGGTGAACTTGCTCAAATTGGTCCAGGTAGATCTTGACCAGGTGATCCGTCTCCTCTTTGGGCGGGAGCAAAGACTCCAGGGACAGGTCCGGCTCACGGAACCTGCGTTCCCGGTCCTCGGCGCCTTTGCGACGGTCCTTGGTCCGGTGGATGTGGAGGGGCCGGAGCCATTCCTCCGAGGTCTCTTTCATAAAGGGACATAGCCCGGTGAGCTAGAGACAAATGTTAGTGGGGCCGGGGATCTTCAATGATAGTAGTTACTGTACGTAGGTACAAGGGAGACCGGCGGGAATAACTCACTTCTTGAAAGGCCAGGAATGCACTGTGTGGGCCAAAATAACGAGTCTTGAACTCCTTACCCCGAAAGAAGCGGAGCTCCTCCCGGTCGGCACCGGTCTGCTGGGTCTGCAGAAAGGGTGGGATTTCAATCTCCGCCTCCGGTTCGGCGTCCGACTTGGGATGGTCCGGGGGCGACCGGTCCTGGACGGTGCTGCCATCGAGCGACACTTGCTTCACCAGCAGGTTCTTCAGCTGAGCGACCTCGAGCTCGAGTCGGCGGATGCGATCCGACTCGCGGACATCTTTACGGAAGTAAGGGGACTCCCCGCCGGTGCTCGGAAGAGAAAGCCGGGAGTCGATCCCGGCCAGCGCGGTCGGCGGCAGGCCGAGCTTGTTCGGCGGGGCTAGGCCGGGCCGGGTCTCATACTCGCAGCGCTCGGGTGTGCCAGACTGCAGGCAGCGCGAGCAGGGAAACTCGCGGTCGCACGACAGCTTCCGGCGCCGGCATTCGAGGCATGACAGACGCACGCGCTGGCGCTTGCGCGGAGGCGGCCGGCCGTCCTTGTCGTCGTGTTGGTCGTCGAGGGTGTCCAGATGCGAATCCGACCCCGTGGGACTCTCGCTGCGCTCACTCGGCTCCGACATTGTCTCAGCGGAGCTATCGGGCTGGGCGTCGGGACTAACAAACACGCCACATGCGTGTGGTGTATGTGTAGTGTGGCAAGCAAGGGCCAAGGTATGAAGCGCGCGAGCGTATATTTTAGTAGGTGAGACGAAAGTTGGGGTCCAGCGGGGCCCAAGAGCCGGAGCCAAGGGATTATATCAATCGATCAGATAAAAAAAAATCCGTTGCCGGCGGCAGATGTACAAAGTACCTCACAGAAAACAAGCAATGAGAAAGCCTGTTCACGTGGAAAGCTGGTGTCATCCAAGTGTTTGAGACGGTTGGCCGATGACTCTTCCTCCCAGCAACAGGACGTAGCAGCACCTTACCATCGGGCGTCGCAAGTCGATGACAAATGAATCGTCAGGAATATAAACCTGGAGAGACGACGACCTACCCGCCGGTCTTCGGATTGTCCCAGCGGTTATCCCAGGAGTCAAGGCATCCGTCGAACATCCTGTAAAATTCTGGTCGTGGGTTTTTCTGTGTCATGACTTGGTCGGAGCTCCGAGCAATGGCCGAGGATCCTGGACACGCTGGGGGTAAGAGAGTCTGGCTAAATCCGACATCGCCGAGGTAGGAGCGAGCTTCTGCGCCGAATGCTTCGAAGTTGGCTCATTTTTCCTCTCTTAAGAATTGAAAGAGGAAAAAAAGGCATGTAAGTCCAAGACGATGGAGATTTGAGAAAAATTGACACTTTTGAGTCGGACTCAGGTCACTCAAGGCAAGTGCATCAAGAGGGGCAGTTGTCAGTGCGTCGGTGTCTAACCCTAACCCTGAATCTCAAGTCGAAGTTGGAAGTTGCTGTCTTTGTTTGTCCCGATATCTCACATGTAGTTTTCAGGTATCGAGGTAGATGAATTAACTCTTCGCTGGCAGAAACTGGAATCGACATGTGTTCCGGTTCCACAAGGTCTGATTCTACACCGGATTCTCGATCTTTTGCTTCAACAAAAGATGCGCGGTTCCCCAATAAAATCCCGATCAGCGCTTCTGCAATGACAGGGTCCAAGTAGCCCCGCGGGCGTCACACAGGACAGCAATGCACCCTGTTCGCTGCAGCTTGGCATCTCAACGTCGGACTCCCATTCATCCCATCATCCCCTTCGACGACGGCCTCGACCACGGGATGCCATGAACGGACGACATCATGCAGCGTCTTGTGATCGGCCTCCTGGGATGGGCCTGCATTGCCCTTGGGCTTGTGTCTGCGCAGGGCGTGGTGCCGGGCAAGGTGTTTGACCGTTTTATCACCATTTGGCTGGAGAATCGGGTATGTCCATTGATGAATTGTTGAGCCCTCAATAAACCCGAAGTCGTAGAGCTACCTCAATTCGTTCCATTCCATCACGTTTCTTTCGTTTGCAATTCCCGCTAATCTTACAACACCCAGGACTATGCCGACGTCTCAATCGACAACAGCATCGCCGACCTGAAAAGGCACGGCATCCTACTGACCCGGTACTACGCCCAAACCCACCCGAGCCAGCCAAACTACCTCGCCGCCATCGCCGGCGAGTATTTTGGCCTGAACCACGACGACTGGGTCCGCCTACCCGAAAATGTCACGACCCTCGTCGACCTGCTAGAGGACAAGGGCATATCATGGGCCGGCTTCTTCGAGGACATACCTAGCCCGGGCTACATGGGCAATCATAGTGATGGATCGACGGGGACCGACGGATGGGACTATGTCAGGAAACACAAGTATGTGCCAGTGGTTTGGGAGTAGTGGTCAGTGGATGGATGAGCGGACCAGTGCTAACCTTTGCGCAGTCCCTTCGTGACCTACGACAGCATCACCAACAACGGCGAGCGTCTGCTCCGGCTCGACTCCTTCAACGTTTTCCAGCGCGCATTCGCCGCCAAGGAGGTACCGCAATACGTCTTCATGACGCCCAACATGATGAACGACGGCCACAACACCACCCTCGACTTCGCAACGAAATGGTCGCACAAGTTCCTCCAGCCGCTGCTCGCCGACAAAGCCTTCGACGAACGCACCCTGATCGCGCTCACCTACGACGAGTCCGAGTCCTACGACAAGCCGAACCACATCGTCACCCTGCTCCTCGGCAGCGCCATCCCCCCGGCCCTCAAGGGCACCAAGGACAACACCCTCTACACCCACTACAGCATGCTGTCGACGCTGCAGGCGAACTGGGGGCTGCACAACCTCGGCCGGTATGACGTCGGCGCGAACGTATTCAAGTTTGTTGCGGACCGCGTGGGGTACACAGGCAACAAGGACCCGGAGAATCTTTTGGCCATCAACAATTCGGTCTCATACCCGGGCTTGCTGAACGACGACCCATCGGTGCGACTGCCCATCCCGGCGCCGAACCTGAAATTGGTCGGTGCTGGGGGACTGGGCATCCTGCCGGCTATTGCGGCGACGTGGAGTAAGGACGAGACGCGGCAGACACCGTATGACGGTAGTGGGAGAGTGTGTGATGGGGAACGGAACCCGCCGATATACAACAAGGTCGCGGGCGGTCCACCATGAAGGGTTTTGGATAGTAATTGGAAAGTTGTTCGTTCTCGCTGCCATTCGGGGTCATACCCTCATGCGTCTCATGCGTCATCGTGCGTGTACGTTATGTGTGCATGTACCTCACAAGAGTGTCGACAGGTACCGTCCAAACCGTCAAAGGGCTTCCGGCAGACGACCACTTTCCCAGTGTGGCTTGTCTCTCAAAAGGTTCAGTATCAAATCGGCCAGATTTGAGATTCTGCTGCATAATCTGACACAACTGGTCCAGGCGTTCGCATGTCTTTCATATCTTGATACCCGCGAACCTTACATTTTCATTCTCGGCGAACTTGACAAGCCTTTTCCAACCAGTTCCATCAAAAGACTCGGGCTTCTCGCATTTCTCTACCCACAGCCACCATCGATTAGGTTTCCAGCAGGTGTAATCAGCCAACATGAAGTCCATCCACCCCAGATGTATAAATCAATGTGCCTCTTCCCACCATTACCCGTTCATAGTCTCGACTATACCACATCCAATTTCTCACTTACCCCATTCCTTAATCTCAAGTTGATCACGCGCCCAGCCTCAACCACAGGAAACAGGAATACAACCCCGTCTACAAACCTCCATGCCACGCCCAACAACAGCCTACCTCCTCTCACCCCTACTCCCCATCCCCGGCACACACGAAATCACCCTCAACCGCCAAATGTGTCTCGGCACCCGGTCTCTCCTCCATCCCCGGTCCAACCCAGTCACCATGATCAAAGCCCAGACCCAGGACCAGACCCAGACCCCCTTCACGCCCCTACCCCCTCCGTCTCTCGGCCTCGGTCTCGGTCTCGGTATGCGTCGTCCACCGTCACCATCACCGGGGTCTGCAGCCCGTCCGTGGGCGTGGATCGGCGATGGGTGGGCGTATGAAATGGATGCGTTCAAGATTGCGGATGATGATGGGGATGAGGAGTATGAGAGGGGGGAAAAGGAGCGGAGTGAGAAGGAGAAGAAGGAGATGACTAGCAAAGAGACACGCTCAACCATGGGACCCAACACCAACACCAAAGACACCAACCCCAACAACCACCCCGTCCCAGACACCCCCTCCTCTCCGCCCCGTAAACGCAAACGCAACATCTTCCGCCGCCTCTTCGGCCGTCACCACCACCCCCCCGGCTGCTCCCCCTCTGACCCCCAACGCACCCACAACCGCGCCCGCTGGGGCAAATACATCGCCCTCCTCAGCGCCGAACAAGCCGCCGCCGACCGCGAAGGCCCCTCCGACATCGAGATGACGACGCTAGAGGGGGTTGAGAGACGACGGGCGGGGACGATTCCCGCTGAGAAGAGGTTGGGGAAGGGGTGTGGGTTGAGTTTGGAGAGGGGTGAGAGGGTTGGTGAGTCGAGTTTTGAGAGGTTTGAGAGGTGTGGTGGGATGGGGGGGAATGATGAGGAGGATTGGAGGGAACCTGGGATTTTAATTGTGCAGCCGGAGAAGGAGGTTGACGAGGGGATTGCGAGAAGGGAGGGGTTGTGGATGAAGGCGAGTCCGAGGAGGAGGGTGGTTGTTGTTGAGGGGGGAAAGGTTGGTGAGGAGAAGTTGGCGGAGATTGTGAAGAGGGAGAGGACGGTAGGGAGGGAGGTTGTTTAGGGGGCTGAAGGGGTGTTGTGTGATGTTGGAGGATGATGAGACGCGGGAACGTGTAGGATAGATTGTGTAGGATAGAACTCAGATTGATAATAAAGATTGATTGTTCTTCAACTCATTTTACTAATACCAAGGTACGCCTCAAAATCACAGTGGCAGAAAGCCACACAGCAGAACAGGGAACAGCACGTACAGGTACAAAAAGAAATCATTGGTATCTAAACTAAATCCTCTTCCCAATCTCACTCTCCCATCCGGCCGCCCTCTCAAACCCATTCGAGTGCGTCTGGTAGTCCATAAACGCCTGATACACCTCCTCCTGGCTCGTCAACACAAACGGCCCATACTGCACAATCTTCTGATCCAACGGCGTGCCCGCGACCAACACAAACCGCGCACTCCTCTCCGCCCCCTTATCCACCGCCGCATACACCGCCTGGCCCTCACCCTCAAACACCGCGTTATGGAACTGCCCCACAGGCCTCTGGTTCCCTTCCTCCCCAATCAACACCTCCCCCTCCAGCACATACGCAAACGCATTCCACCCCTCCGGCAGCGGCTGCACAATCTTGCCGCCAGGCTGGATCTCGATATCCAACAACCACACGGGTGTGTACGCCAGATCCCTTACCGAGTCCACCCCCTGACTCTGGCCGCTAATAACCTTGATCTTCACCTTCCCCTCATCCGCCTCCGCAATGGGGATCTCCTCCGCGCGCAGATCGCGATACCGCGGCTCACACGCCTTCAACTTCTTGGGCAAATCCACCCACAACTGCAACCCGACATTCGGCTTCCCATCCTCACCATGCACCGGCATCTCGGCATGGACAATCCCGCGGCCGGCCGTCATGAACTGCAGGTCGCCGGCACCCAAACGGCCGCGGTTGCCCGCAAAGTCCTCGTGGTCGATGGCGCCGTCGATCAGGTAGGTGATGGTTTCCTGGCCGCGGTGGGGGTGGTCGGGAAAGCCGCCGGCGGAGGAGGTGAAGTGGTCGAGCATGAGGAAGGGGGAGAAGTTGCGGAGTTTGGCGTTGCCGATGGAGCGGCGGACGCGCGCGCCGGCACCTTCGGCTTGCTCGACGGCCAGGAAGGTTTGCCGGATGAGCCGGGGGATGAGCCGGGCGGTGGTGGTGGTGGTGGCGGGCATGATGTTTTCTGGGATGATGTTTGTGTCCGTGTTTGTGTTGGTGTTTATGTTGGTGTTTATGTTGGCGTTTGTCGTTGTTCTCGTTGTAGTAGTCGTCAAGATTTTTTCAAGTACCGAGTTCGTAGCACTCGTCAAAAGAGAAAGATCTTCTTTCGTCAAGAGCAGCGCCAAAATAGAGAATATTCCCACAGCAACTGATAAAACAATGGTGATGTTTCTCAAAAAGGTCTTCATCGAATTGGCCGGACAGGATCGCACCTTATATACCCAAAAAAAAAAAAAAAACCAAAAGACTCAAGCAAAAGCGAACCAACCTATCCCTCGCCTCGATGCAGGATACTTCCTGTACTTGTATTTCTAACCGACGACAAAGAGCCACCCCCCCGCTTTCTAAACCATCACCAACCCGCCTTGCCCGCCCGGTTGTTTCGGCTTCCCGAAACTTCCTTGACTAAGGCTCAGCTAAGGAGGGCTTGCCGAGAGGATTTTGGGTGGGCTAGGAGGGGCAACTAGCCACTCAGCGAACGTGAAATGCTGACATAAGGGCCTGTCATGGATTGGAAAATGTGGGGCACTGATGACGGACGCCCAGACCCGCTGATTCATGCTTGGTTGATCGCGATTGAAAGCTGGGGTGTGTTCTTGGCGCTTCACGCATCCTCTGTCAATCTTTGCGATAGTTGACTTCGTACGGATACAGTACAGTATACTCGCACAGCTTCATTGCTAACAAAAAAACTTCAAAGAGATTAGGAGACTGGAAATTCTTCCGCACCAGAGTTCTTATCTTTCACTTTCACCTTCTAATCACCTCTCCTTCACCGCTTTACTTGCGACATCACACAACCCCCCTTAGCACCCACGCATTCCGAGAACATACAATTCGTAACCAGATTAACTCCATTCTCCGATTTTGAGATTTTGAGCTCTCAATTACCATACAAAATGATACCCCCCACTGAAGCCGCCGTTTACCACCAATAGTCTATCCCTGTTTTTGCCTGACCAGACAAAAGAATAAGTAAAGAAAATTAATCCTCCAGAGGGCAGCATCATAACACTAGAACCCCACGAATTGTGAAAAAGGAGGACAGGACTTCCGTCGTCCTGCCTCCCCGCTGATGTACACCAGCTAACCACCTGCCAAGCCCGGCTTCATCCACCCTTCCCTCTCTTGAGGAACGAACCCGCGCTCCAACCCTCAGAAACTCTCAAGTTCCTCCCACGGGTTCAAACGCTTACCTCCTTAGGGTCAGCCCCATCCCTCGGGCCATTAACCACAACAGCCGGGCCAGCCGGACCAGCCTCAGCATCCCCATTCTGACGCTTAACCGCCTCCTCCAGCTGGTCCACAAGCCCCTGGATCGACTTAATCACCCGGAACGACTCGCCCAACCTCAGCGCCTCACGCACCACATAAATGCCCCCCTCCAGGGACACCACCACCGCCGTCTTCGCGGCCGCCTTGCCGCTGGCAATGGTATGGTTCCCACCAGTACGCTGGTACGCGCCCTGATAGACCTCCGAGACGTGCTTGACCGGCGCGAGCGCCGCGTCGCGGGCGTCTTGGTAGAGCTCTGGAGAGGACTTCTTGACGACGGGGTACTTCTCTTCTACTTTGGCGAGCGTCTGCACGCCGAAGTCGTCGGCGCGCTTTGCGTAGGGAGCTACGTATGCCAGCGGCTTGCTGAAGAGGTTGAGCACGGGTGCGCCGACATATTGGTAGGCGGAGCTGGTTAGTTGGATTGAGACCTTGCCGACTGGGTGGCTGCTGAAGACCCGCACGCTGTCTTGCACGGCGGGGATGGTGAGGAGGTGCTGTGGTGTGGTGTTGTATGTTAGTATGGTGGTGGCTGATAAGGGTAGGGGAGGATAGATAAGATGTAATCCGTATGGGGACGAAACGTACGCGGAGGGTGTTGGACTCGGGCTGGTCGCCGTTGAGCACAGTCTTGGGTTCGGCCATGGCTTAGTTGTTGGATCTGGTGTGACGTTGTGTTAGTGGGAGTTTGTGCGCAGCTTGTAAAACGGGGCCGAGATAAGTGTTCTGCGGACGGAGAGCAGAGAAGACCGTGTGCGAGTGGGGGGAGCAAACGGGAGGGTGCTGTAAGTACCTGGTTGGATTGTAGAGAGCTGGGAAGCTGAAGCTTAGGCAGGGCTGTGATTGTGTGGGATAGCGGATTGAGAGTGTAGCTCCAAGATGGATGGTTGCTTTGCAAAAGCTCAACCAAAAAAGGAACAAGAAGGAGGAGGGGGAGGATGGTGTGCGAGATGACGAAGCAGCGGCGGGATTGTCCTTTAAGGGAGAAACCACTGCTCAAGCTCCCCGGGCCGTTGCAAAGACCCAGCAAGAGCAACGCCACACCTCGCCATGCCGGATTCCTTCATGTGCTTTTCTCTCTCCCTTGCTCTTTTTTTTTTCACTCCATACTAGCGCCCGTCTCGCCTCCCCCGATTTCCTGTCAAATGCCATGAGAACCAACCAGGGCCCCTTGAACCCCCCCTGTGCTGCCGTTACTTTTATCGCCATGCGAAGCTCTTGCTGCGCATGCTGCGTTCGCAGGTGGGGTGCGTCACTCAACGGGCAGCCACTCATAACGGTCGCTTCGCCCCTGCAGCTCTCAGTGTGCAGGGCTTATCTCGTTCTTTCTTTTTGACATGTGAATGGAAATCATGCTCCAGAGTGTACCTACCCCCACTGTGATCCATGCCCTTTCCCTCCGATTCAAACTTTCCGACTTTACCTCCCGGCATTTTGGTTCTTTTGAGATCCCCATGCAGGTTTACGAACTCGAATTCTCCAATCGAATCGAAGCAGAAATATATAGTATATTGATTATTGCGCCGGCTTGTGCATGAACGAACCGCCTTCCTTTGTTCTAGCCCTCGAGGTGGTGGCCTCATGTCACACTCGCCCAAGGCGCGGTGCCCGGACACTCCTCCGGCCGTCTGACCGGTCCAAGTCAAAATAACTAGGTGCCAGAGATGGAAACTCGGCCGTTTTATTCTCTCAGATATGCCAAGGCACGGTGGCATCACCATGAGCACAGATGAGGAGGTTCCGCATAACGGTGGGGTTGCTGCTGCAGCTGCAGCCAAAACGGTTGTTATCACTTGTCAATCTTTAGGAGCCGCTTTTTAGATGGACCGGCATTCTGGACCGCCCTCTGGCGCCATTATCCGAGGAGATGTTATCACCAATGGCATCCTTGATGCACATGCCCGGGCACTGTATCCGGCAGAGCCCGTTATCGGTCATGAGTCTGAGCGGGCATGCGCAGGAGGGAAACAGCCCCCCTCTTCCTCGAGAAGCTTCCGTCTCTTTGTTCTTCTCTCGTCTTCATTGACTTCTTCGCAGAGGGCCTATCGAACTCCCAAGAAAAGACAGCTGAATGTTTGCTGCGGCACCACCCCACTCACGGATGTCGTTTCCGTTATGCCCCGCTTTTGATGTGACCCCTCGTAACAGGGCTCACCCTCGAGACTTTCACATGTCAGAGGACGATCCATTGATTCGCCTGATACGCGCAAGAACGATCGAGTTTTTCGTGTGATTGGGAGAGAAAATTTCCTCCACAAAGGATATTAAAGCTGGATTGGCATTGACTAACCACATGCGATTGAGAATTGCCCCCGTTAGTGTATGCTGTCGTCATGGAAAAGAAAACGTTCCATGTGAATGAATCTTGGGAGTACAACCGGGGACCACTCCAACCACCAAACACCAAGCGCAAAGAGATCCACGAACCCACGCATCAGTAGGTAGCGGAACCAGCGGTCTCCTTCCGGGTTTTCCACCCACGCCAAGGCACCTTCACCTTCGGCCCGATGTCAACAAGTGGACATTTCCATTACCATCTGTCCCCGTTTCCTCCATTCGAACCATCCAGCCCAAGCAGCCCGAGCCGAACATTTGGCACGACTCGAGACTTGGCAAACATCATTGACACTGACATGTGGATGTGGACTCGAATCACATTATATTAGCCCAACGGGAGGTGGAGTTTTATTTCTCTCGGCTGGAAACCACCGAAGCAAGCGAAGCTAACACACCGGGCTGCCGAGACTGGGCAATAATTTGACTAAAATAAACAGCGTTTCGCTTGGGTTTGCGCTGAAATAAAGTTTGCCACTGCATCCGTGGTTTTCCGTAGACAGCCACACCACAGCATTTGAGGAAAATTCAACAAACCCAGCTTCTGTTTGTTTAACCACTTGATCAAACAGCCTCGGTTCTCATTGAGGGTCTGTGGTGAACGCCACTTTGGCGTTCAGGCCGTGCAGACTTTTTTTAGGTGCCTCAAGGGGCTCGGGGATTACACAGATATCAGAAGTATTTTAGCTTTCTGTGGCGCCATGTGAACTATTGAGCATACCGTACCCTGAACCCGAATGTGAAGGATGAAACCTTGATTTATTTTGGAGCGGAAATGATAAGACACCTCGAACCGAGTAATTCCCAACTCAGTGGTTGGCAAGCGGGAGAAGCGAAGCGAAGAGTCTCGCCGAAGTTAGACAGCAGTGGGCATACCATATAGCGTCAAAATGTTCTTGTATGTCCTTTGGGCGGATCGACGTGATATTGCCAGGCTTAGCCGATTATCTCGAAACCTAACTTAACATTACATATTGCATCAGACATCCCACACGCCCCACGGTATCCTTCAATACCACAGACCAGATCATCTTGCTCTCACAAATCACACTTCAACACCCCCCCTCAATCCGACTCATCCGACGACCCATAATCCACCAGCCCCCGCGCTCTCTCCATCCCACCCTCCTCCTTCACCTCCCCATCCTCCTGCTCCTCCTCTTCCCGACCAAACGTCATACTACTCCGGTCCGCCTCACTCCCCAAGGCAAAAACACTTCCTCCACCATATCCAACCTCCCTCCCCAGCGTCATGCTGCTCCGGTCCGCCTCACTCCCCAAGGAAAAACTACCTCCTCCGCCATATCCAACTTCTTTCGCCAGCATAATATTTCGACTTCTCACATCCCAATCCACATCCATCATCGGCGGTAGAACCGGGCCCCCCTCGGTCAGCACTGCGTCCGCGTTCCCCACTCCAGTCTCTTCATCATCATCATCGTCGCTGCCGATTTCGCCTTCTTCAGCGTCGGATTGATCCTCGTCACGCGGTACTTGTGGCCTTCCACCATCATTAGGCTTGAACCGTTTCCCACCCCTCCCATAACCCATTCCGCCGCCACGCGAAGAGCCGCCGCGCCTGCTGCCCTCGAACCGCGATTCAAACGTCCGCTTCTTGCTATTGTCACCGCGCCCGGTAGACATCCTGTTGCCCTCCTCTTCTAGCATTGTATTTCCAACCCGCGGCGCCCTTCTCTCGGTTGAACCAACGGTATATCCCGCTGGCACACCCCAGCCGTGAGGGACGGCTATGATGGTAGGGAACTCGATGATGGTGCGACCGGTGAGTGCGCTGGTGAGAGTTTCGGTTGAAGCGAGGGGTATGACTTTCTTTGTTCTTGACTTTGCGGGCGCGGAGTCGTTGCTGGTGTGGGCACTGAGCATGTAGAATTCCCATCGCACGAGGGTTTCCTCCAACGTTGTGTCGGCGTGTGGGAGGGTGGTCGTTTGGGTCCACGCGCTGGTATGGGGGTATTGGGTTGTGTAGGGCGCCGCAGGCCATGTGCCGGTCCAAGGGTCTTGCGTGGAGGGCCGGGGCTTGGATTCAGTGCTGCTCTTGTTGGGAGGGTTGAGTTTGCGCTTCTTTGAGCTGGGCGGCGCGCCGTCGTCGGCTTCGATTTCGGCTTCGGCGTCGTGCCCGTTTTCCGCGGCGGTTTGAGTACGGGTTTGTCGGTCGAGCTGGCCGCGGTGCCAATCTAAGGTGGAAGCGAGCCCGGAGTGAAGAGGTTTGCCTTCGAGGGTTTTGTGGAGGATGCGAAGGGGGTCTTGGTCGTTTGGTGGCGCAATCGCCAGACCCAACTCGGATACGTGATAGACTAGCCATTCAACTTGCCAATTGATGGATTGTGTGCGGCGATTCCATGCCGTTGCGTTCTCCTTTTGCCGTGCCATACCCTTGGGCATCGTGGTGGCCTCGATGTCGAGGAACCGGAGCCGTCGACGGACATGCTTGTCGAAGCCATCGATGAATGTTAACCCCTCCTGGGGCTTGCCATGCTTCTTGTAGGATTGATGTTGAACGGGAACATGATGCAGCTCATCGCGGTGCCACACCTTCTGAAAAACCTTCTCTTCGTTTTGCGGTCGCAGCTCTTTCTCACTAAGCAGCCGGCGGGCTTCAACGATGTCCTTTTCGGCTCGTTCGCGGGCGCGCTCGATGGATGTGAGGAAGTTGTAATCGTGGTCAACCCCGGACGCGGTCTTCAATTGCTTCAGGGGCATAAATGCGCGCGGGTTGCGTTGACCATCGCAGTCGGCGCGTGCCTTGTGTTTCTGAATACAGGGCACCGAGCAAGTGCGCGCGCTGCACCGCGGACATCTGTATTTCGGCGGCTGGGCGTGGCAGATACTGCAAAGGGTGCTGAGAACTGTTCCGGACATTTTGAGAAAATAATGATAGTTGGCCCGGGCTCAGTTCGTGAGTTGGCAGTTCCGTCAAATTGACTTCCCGCTGGCTCTGGCCCATGTTCTGAGGAAGTTCAAAGCATTTCTGGGGAAGCGGACGGCTGATAAGCCAACTTTTTGGTCTCCGATCGCCTTATCGGCAACTGGCCAATCGGAGCACTTGCCGTCGCTTGGGTTCCTCGAGCTTCCTGCTCAAAGCTGCTCTGGCTTGAGTCTGGTCATTTTTTCAAGATAAAAGAATAGGAAATAATTAGCAAACGAACGATCCCGGCAACCGGGATTACTGGTTGGATTTGGCAGGTGTCGTGCTCACGGGGTTCGATATATCGCAATGGTCCACACTTGCTTTGGCGGGCCTCATTGCCTTGCTAAAGGGTGCCGTTACTGTGGCATATTCTGTCTACGGATCCGTCGACGACGACGAAATGATGGGGAGAAAAAGTATGATGCCCGTAACGCCATAAAATACACAAGAGCGGCCAAGCCAATCCATATTCTTCTCCTACCCCTACCAAAATAGCTTTCCATACCATCTCCTTAATCCCCAGTATCAACCTCCAAATCCAACTGCACCCCATTCGAAACGCCATAGTCCCCCAACGAAATCATATCCTTAAACGGCCTCTCCCCCTGCCTCTTGAGCATAATCTCGTGCGGCTCCCGTCCCACGCGCATCGCCACCATAATCTTGAACTGCCCCACCGTGTCGCTAGGAAACGCCGGGATCTGTGCCTTGGTCCCGAGCCGATCGTTGACCGTGACCAAAATCATTTCCTCGCCGCCTGTGCTCGCTACCGGCGGTGGCCTTTGCGGCGGACCGCCGGCGCCGCCGCTGGTGGTGGTGGTTGAGGGGGTCGGTTTGTCCTTTTTCGGTTTCTTGTCACCTCGAGGGGAGCGTTCCCGGTCGCGGTCACGGTCACGTCGCTGGCTGTACGGAGACTTCTCTCGTTCCCTCTCCTTGTCTCTCTCCCGATCCCTTCGCCCATCCCTATCCCTGTCTCGATCACTGCGACGGTATCGGTCTTCCCCGTCTCTATCCCGACTCCGTTCTCGTCTCGGCGGTGACCGGTCGCGGTTCCCGCCCCGGTCTCTGTTTCCGTAGTCACGATCGCGGTCACGGTCACGATCTCGCCTGGGAGAGCGATCGCGATACCCGCGCTGGAGACGATCGTCGTCGCGTCTGTCGTCTGTTTCGGTCGAGCGTTTCTCCTTCCATTTGAAGCCGCCACCAGCTTTTTGTCGTCGTGGCGGTGACCGCGACCGCGATCGTCTGCGTGGAGAGGCTGGCATGATGTGTCGTCGAAATGGCGGTGTTTCGGGGGGAAGAAGCAGCGAGGGAAGTTGGCTGCAGCAGTTTGGCAAAAGGCAAGTCGACGGAATTTTAGTGGGGCAATGGCAGGGAAACGGGACGAAAGCTTAGCCACATGTATCAACAAGAATCACGGATCAAATTGAGCGCAGCGGGAACAGCAAAGCGAATTAAATAGATGGAATTCAAATTTTAATCGAAGGTACGCCGTCCAGCTTAGGGATCGGCCCATCGAAGAGCTGGTGTTGCAGCATCACAACCAGCTTCCGTCCTTCCCTTGATCCCGCACCAGCTAGGGTGAGGCATGCAATCAGACAACTAACCCGCCCAAAACGCCGTTCTCTGACCCATCCAAACGCCAAAAATCGCCAACCGGGACTCCAGAAGGTGTATCATACAGAGAAGCATGCAAAAGAGATGATGAATCCATCGGAAAAGAGGGCGACCGCCTACTCTTTGCTCGACTTCTTCTTCTTCTTCTTCGGCTTGTCCTCCTTGACTGGGGTCTCCTGCTCGGCGTCATGCTTGCGCTTGGAGCTCTTGGGCTTCACTGGCGTTTCGACGTCGGCATCCTCGTCGGCGGCCTTGGCGTCCTTCTTGCTAAGAACCTCGACTGACCCATCGGCATTGACCTTGATCTGGCCCTTCTCGAACTTACGCGCAAACTTGGACACGGAGATGCCAATCTCCTTCGCCAGACGCTCGTAGTCCTTCTCGGTAATCTCGACGGGCGCGGGCGCTTCGGCATCCTTGGACTTCTTGGACTTCTTGTCCTTCTTCTCCTTTTTGTCCTTCTTATCCTTCTTGTCCTTTTTGCTGGGGGCTTCCTCCATTTCCTCGTCAGAGTCCTCCCCAACATCGAGCTCGGCCATTTCCTCGTCGACCTCCTCGATGAGAGGCCGCTTAGGAGCCTCCGCATCAGCAGCAAGGCCGTCGGCATCGATGTTGTACTTGCGAGCCTCCTTGATATCCCACTTGGAGGGAGCACCTAATGCCATACCGTTGGGGTCAACGTTGACGCCCTTCGATAGTGGCTTGCCTTCCAACAACCGCAGGTTGTTCTCAAGCTTGGCCCTAGAGCGGATACCAAGGTTGGCGCGGGTCTCGTCATCCGCGTCATCCTCAAACTCGGCCAGAGCATCGGTGCGGACACCAAGAGCCACCTTGGAGGCGAGTTGACGGGCCATCTTGCCCTTGTTCGCGCCGGAGGCCTGGCCAACCAGCGAAGCATGGTAAATGAGACCGTACTTGGGGGTCGCGTGCTTCGTCTTGAGGGCACGGAAGAGAGCCTTCTCAGCACCAAGAATTTGGATGGTGGAACCGGGGTTCTTGGCGAGGCTGATAAGAGAACCGGCGTGCGCGATGAGACGGGCACCGACGAGCGCGCCAACGAGCTCCGTCATGTTGGGCGAAATGGCCTTCATGCGGTTCTCAAGGTACTCGGAAAGCTGTTTCCTGTACTCGGAGTAGCTGATGACCTGCTCGGCAAGCAGTTTGATGTTCTCGAGATCTTCCTCGGTGATTTCGGTACCCATGCTGATATCCGCGGCAGCCTTCACGGCAGTCTCAATCTCATGGGGCAAGATCTCTGAGAGGTCGGCATCGGTAGCATTAGAACGCATGCCGAGAGTGACAATGACCTTGGCGTACGAGAGGTTGTCCGGTAGGATCTTCGCCAGTTCCGGGAAGTGCCATCCGTACCACTCCTTCACACGCATAGCGTACGTGTTCAGCTCCTTGTCCAAATCATCAAGCAGAGACACAGCATGTACGATCATAACGTCCACCTTGTCTGGGGAGAACTTCAGCCTGTGGCGCGAGAGCGAGTGCGACAAGCCCAGAGCCATCTCCTGGAAGTTCTCTGGGAGCATGCCTGGGATGAGCTCGGGCAGATGCTGGCGAATGGCACGGAAAAGGTCGTTGGTCGATGAATCGGAGATGGGCTTGATGTTCAACTCGGGGAGCTTGACGATCGAGCTGCCGAGTTTGCTCTCAGCCACGGCCAGAGTGACCTTCTTCTCGTCTTTGAACTCATTGAGCAGACCGGCCAGCTTCGGCGTGACCTTGCCCTCAATGACACCAGCGATTTCCTCGAGCGCGGTCGCCGCGCTGTCAAACTTCGCAAACTCCTTGTATTTGATCCTGCGGAAGATCGTATTAATACACTGGTCCCGAAAAAATCGGTATTTCTATGTGCCAATTGGCAGTCGCGTGGGACATCATCAACTTACTCCTTGACGATCTTGTCAACGGTCGAAAGACGATCGGATAGATTGTCCGAGTCGAGCAGCTTTTTGTCGGCAGCCTTGAACAGACCGTAACTGTGATGGTGCATTAGAATCGTACATCAATTGGCAAGCACGACACCTCGATGCGAGCCGCGGCGCCCATGGAACCGCGCGAGAGGCGTTCCCCCAATCCTCCAATTGAGCCGGGAGCACTTACCCGGCACTGGTCTCGGCAAGAATAAAGAGAGGCATGGTGACGGAGTGTTGATGGGGTCACCGGCCGCACTTTCTGTTGTTGGTGGAAGTGTGGGAAAGCGGCAGACTGCGGCTGTGCTTGCACTTTTTCTGGAGGCTTCACGCAGAAAAAAAGTTCAAAGCGAACAGAACAATTTTTTACCACCGGTTTAGAGTTCTAGGTGGGGCGGAAATGGTCCAAGCTTCCTGGCTCCAAATGCAGCGGCAGGCAATTGCGCCAAGAACCTTACAGCGACCAAGTCCCCCAAGTCTTGGCGCCTCGGAGACTTGCGTATGCACGGTCCAGTCTGCCGGCCAACCAGCATGACCAGCCATCCAACGCCGCCCTGGGCCGCATCTTCAAGCTCCAACAGCGGCCGGTCAAAGTTGTCATCTCCAACTCTCAAGTGAACGACAGCGCAAGATGGAGGGTCTTCTATTTAACGTCAATAATGGGTAGGTTGAGTCCTAAATGGTGGGCATCATGATGGATTCCCTTGCTAACGTCGCCCGCTGCGCAGCTACATCGAGGGCATCGTCCGCGGTTACCGCAATGGACTGCTCACGGGTACCAACTACACCAACATGACACAATGCGAGACGATTGACGGTAAAACTTGGGTCTCTTCTTGTGTCGAGAATCTTTTGAAGTATGCTGACGTTGATGCAGACCTCAAACTCCAGCTCGGTCCCGCGTACGGCGACTTCCTCTCAACTCTTCCACCCAACCCCTCCACCTCCAGCCTCGCTTCTAAGACCACCGACAAGCTCGTCTCCGAGTTTCGCTATGTCCGCGCCAACGCCGTCGGCTCGCTCGCCAAGTTCATGGACTACGTTACCTACGGCTACATGATCGATAACGTGGCGCTGCTCATCACAGGCACCCTTCACGAACGCGACACGCGCGAGCTGCTGGATCGCTGCCATCCTTTGGGCTGGTTCGAGACGATGCCGGTCCTCTGTGTGGCGACAAATATCGAGGAGTTGTACAACAGCGTGTTGATCGAGACCCCGCTGGCACCGTACTTCAAGGGCAGCCTCAGCCATCAGGACCTGGACGAGCTCAACATCGAGATTGTGCGCAACACGCTCTACAAGAACTACCTCGAGGACTTCTACGAGTTTGTCAACTCCCACCCGGACATGGCCGGCACCCCGACAGCCGAGGTCATGTCAGAACTGCTTGAGTTTGAGGCCGACCGCCGTGCCATCAACATCACGCTCAACTCGTTCGGCACCGAGTTGTCCAAGGCCGACCGCAAGAAGTTGTACCCGAGTTTCGGTCTCCTGTACCCCGAGGGTACACTGATGTTGTCGCGGGCCGATGACTTTGAAGGCGTACGGTTGGCTGTTGAGGGCGTGTCCGACTATAAGTCCTTCTTCGAGGCAGCTGGGTTGGGTGGTGGTCCCGGTGGACCGGGCAACATGGCCGGCGGCTCTGGGTCCGAGAGCCGGAGTCTAGAAGACATGTTCTACCAGAAGGAGATGGAGATTGCAAAGAGCGCGTTTACGCGGCAATTTACGTTTGCAATTGTCTACGCCTGGGTCAAGTTGCGGGAACAGGTAAGTTCCTTAGTTATTATGGCTTCTGTTTTCGCATCTTTTGCCCACCTTCTAACTCTCCACAGGAAATCCGCAACATCACCTGGATTGCTGAGTGCATAGCACAGAACCAGAAAGAACGCATCGGCAACTACATCAGCGTCTTCTGATGCTGGTGAGGAGCACGAGCGACAGTCGTTATGTAGAGTCGTCTTTTCTGGGTACCCTGAGCATGCTTTGTTGTTTTGTTTTTCGGCGTCCGGCGAAGGTGAAGGACAAGCGGTGACTTGAGTTAACAAGATGCGAAATCTTTGCGCGCTCCCGTCAATTGTTGGTAATGTACTATACATAGATGAACTGACAACATCTTTGAGTATTCTTTTTTACACACGTCCATAGGCCCTCCCAACTCCCTCCTCCCATGTATCGAACTCGGATCTCTTGAAAATCTTTAGATACTGATCTGGTCCTTGTATGTCGCCGGCGTCAACCCCAAAGTCTGGATCAGGTACTGCCACCGCCCGCTTCCCCTTTCCTTCCTCTCCATATACCTCAGCAGCTTCTGCCTCCTGTGGCACAGCGTCCGCAAACTCCTCTTGTTGTTCTTATCCCTGTTCCCCTTGGGCCCCTCCAGCTCCTTCGCCAACGCCCGGATCTTGGTAGTCAGAATGGCAATCTGCACCTCGCTGCTGCCCGTATCAGGCCCAGCCCGGACCGGCTTAGGCTCCGGCACCTGGTTCCGCCCCGGCGGCGGCGCCGAGTTTGCGAGCTTATGATCCGTGTTGTGTCGGCCAAACTCCTCAATACACCGCCGGATATTGGCGTGCTTGCGGTCTTTGGCGCTGCCGTTCCGCAGGTCTGTGATGCGCTGCAGCGCGATCAGCGCTTTGGCGTGGTGTTCCTTGTGGTCGTCCATTTCTAGCTCCGCCCCTACCGGGTCGAGCTTCGGGTTCTCCTCCACCGTCAGTGGCTGTGTCACCCGCCGGGAGTGCTCGATCGCCCGCTCCAGCTCTTCCTTGGTGAGTAGGTAGTTGAGCAGGTGCGGCGACGTCGGTAAGGGGTGCGAGCCGCCGGATTCGGAACTCTCGGGTGATGTGGCTTCCTGGCCGGCGGAGTCGAAGGACTCGACGAAGGGTGTCGTGATGCCGTGCACGGGGCTGCCGTAGTTGGCTTTTTCCTCGGCGTCGATCTCCTTGCGCCGCTCGAGATGGGCGTTCTTGCGCTGCTGTGCCTGAGCCCAACCGTAAGGGTCTTGCTTCATCTTCCTCCGCTTTTCCTTGTTGGAGATGTTGGCCGTTTGGATTACCGGGAGCCGGCTCGGGGTGGGGGTGGAGGTTGTTGGGGTCGGGCGCATGCACACTGCAGAGGGTTGTCAGCCAGTCATTGTCGGTCCGGTGAGAGCTCAAGGAGTGTCTTACGCGTGAGGCTGCGAAGCCCCTGCGGGGCGGGTATCCGGGGAGGCATCGCGACGGTCGTGTGGGTGAGTTCACGTCTTCCTCATCGCCGTCCCGCTCGATGCGGCTCTCGCAACTTTCTCGCTGGGACCCAGATTTTGGATTCAATGGAGCTAAGCCTGGATAGGACTAGCGCAATTTCAGTGCCACGGTAAAACCGCGGCTAAGGTCCCGCCTTTGCAAGGTCTGAGGGATGCGGAACAGCTGGCAGCGGCCCGCCAGGTTTGGGGTCGCCAATTGCACAACCCTGGCGGGGCTCTCCACAAAATTGAATTTGTGTGCGAAAATCGCAGAGGCTCCGCCTGCTGCAGCTCGCGGCCCCAAAAAATATATCCCAATCTCGAAACGCCCGAAACTTGACCTCTTTCTCCTCGTCGTCACGTCCACGAGAGAAAGCACAGTCAAGATGGCGCCTGCTAACCTCCCCTCCATCTTCAATGCCACGAGCACTGACATTGAGCAGCTCCTCGCTGCTCAGTGCCACATTGGCTCCAAGAAGTAGGTTCTCTTATACCTTCGGAATTTTGAGATATTGGTGGCAGCAGAAGCTAACATTTCGCGACAGCTTGGGCGTGCACATGCAGCGTAATTATTCCCAACGGACCTCCGAACGAACGCGGGACTAGATGTCTGACTGGTTTCTGCTAATAGCCTACCTCTGGAAGACCCGTGCCGACGGTGTCAACGTCATCAACATCGGCAAGACCTGGTATGTGGGCTGTCGCAACTGCGCGCAGGAACCGAGTCGAAAGACAAGTAGGGCGAACATGTCGCTAACAGAGCTTTCTCCAGGGAGAAGATCACCCTCGCCGCCCGCATCATCGCCGCCATTGACAACCCGAGCGATGTGTGCGTGATCTCGGCCCGTCCCTACGGCCAGCGTGCCGTCCTCAAGTTCGCCGCCCACACCGGCGCCCAGGCGATTGCCGGTCGCTTCACCCCCGGTTCCTTCACCAACTACATCACCCGTTCGTTCAAGGAGCCCCGCCTGATCATCGTCACCGACCCCCGCACCGACGCCCAGGCCATCAAGGAGGCCTCGTACGTCAACATCCCGGTCATCGCCCTCGTCGACACCGACTCGCCGACCGAGTACGTCGATGTTGCCATCCCCACCAACAACAAGGGTCGCCACTCCATCGGTCTCGTCTGGTGGATGCTTGCCCGTGAGGTCCTCCGTCTCCGCGGCACCATCTACAACCGCGAGACTCCCTGGGACGTCATGCCGGATCTGTACTTCTGTATGCTTACCCTACCCCCTGTATTTCGACTTGTAAGTCTCAAAACGTTACTAACCATCTCGCAGACCGCGACCCTGAGGCCGAGGCCGAGGAGAAGGTCGAGGAGGAGAAGCTCCCGGGTGTTGAAGAGGAGGGCGCCGTTGCCATCGAGTCCGGCTTCCAGGCCGGTGCTGGTGACTGGGAGGCTGCCCCCGCTGGCTTCCCCGCTGCCGCTACCGGCGAGTGGAGCGAGAACCAGCCCGCCAACTGGGAGTCCGGCGCTGCTGCCCCCGCCGCTTCCACCGAGTGGGCTGATGCTGCTCCCAAGGACGCGGCCGCCGGCTGGTAAACAACTCAACACACAAGGCATAAAATAAAAAGGCTTTTTTTTCGGGGTCAGGCGTATCGGCGCGGACGCTACGGGTGTCGCCCTTTCCAAGTCGTAAATGGCTTTCTTCTCTCCGTCTTAGCTGGATCCTCTTGCAGAGTTTCTCTTTGGTTCAAGGTTACCCATGACCGCACTAATGAGGGAAAGATATCCTCTCTGGGCTTGTTCTGGAGAGGGGGAATGCCCTGTGGGGTCATGAGGGGTGGACTTAATCGTTATCCCGCCTTGCCATAGGAATTTCACTCTGTCTGTTTCCCGCTTGGTGTTTTAATGAAGTAGACAATTGACCCTGGTGCCTTTTTAATCCCGTGGTCCAACAAAAATATGGGGATGCCGTTCACCAGACCTTGATATCACCTCTCGTGCTTGAAATGTAGACGGCACATAGAGCCAAAGAATGAAGGTAACCTATAGTATCATTCCGATCATCGATGTACGAGAATTATGCACAATGTCCTGCAGGTGGAACTATCTGATGAACAAGACAGATGTACGCATAGCCTAAGATCCGAGAGTACTTAGGTATTATAATTTTGCTCCAACGCCACAACGACTCTTCCTCATATTCTTCTCAACAACCAGGCGTGGACCTAGAGTGGCAACCACCACAAGCGTGGTATGTGTTGAAATCAGGTTATGTTGTGATCGAAAAGTAGAGTTCCTCGTCTTACCCCCTCGCGAACGGAGAGAGGGATGAAAAATTACCTTCCGATCTTGTTTTGGTTAGGCCTTGCTAGATTTAAGCGTCACCATGGAAGTAGGGTTATATAAGGAGAAAGGCTAACGTAACAATTAGCCAACTTTAAGTATCCCTGAACCGGCAGTGGCTTTCCCAACGTTAACAAAACACTGCTCCTTCACTCTCTCCGTCCCGCCTCGCCAACCCTTTATCAACCCCTCCCGCACAACCCCTCCCAACGCCCCGCCAAAGTACCTAGCAACCCCAAACCGTCGAATAGTGCAGTTGGGGGGGCGTAGGCACACCCGCCGTGCCCATCCACTGGGTCCCGTCCCGCCTTTGCACAGGTTCGATTCCTGTTGTTGGCGCTTGAAGGCAAAACCACCAGGTTTTCGTAGCTGTTCCACTCCTCCTTCCTGAGAACAGGGAGGGGGAAGGTGGGCGGTGAGCTTTTTGGGTTTTGTTTTTATTGATTTCTCATGGCATTTTATTATTCATCTCTCGTGTTGGGTGCCAACGGAATGGCCCATTACAAGTAAGGCCAGGGCGTTATTTATGTTCAGGTATTTTATTAATAATGAGATATTTCTTTTATCAGATCGGGCGCTAACTATGGTGTTGTGCGAACCAGAGTTTGAAGATTCTACCTGTTCATTCCTAGATTGCATAACGGCCTGAGATAGATCCAAACCGAGAGTGGCTTCACTCTATCATCGTTACGGTCAATATCAAGAAGCTGCCTAGACCGGAATACTCCATCAAGCACCCAGTAACCTCCACAACGACAGAGCACAACACAAAGACAAATAGACCACTACATGTGTGCGATATCAACACAATCAATTGCTAGCTACCTTTCACCATACTCTCCTCAAACCCAGGTTGCAACACCCCTCTTCACTCCCGCCAACTATCTAACTACTACTCTTCTCTCACCCTGGACTCAGCAACCCCCACAACAACCCCTCTCGACCCCCCGGAGCCGGCATCTCTCTGCTAAACACCCACAAACACCAGACCCAACCCAGCCGATCTACAAGAAGCCACGACAAACCGCCCCAAGCAAGGTATATCCCCCTCAAAACAAAACATCAAAAATGCAACAACCTGCATCTACCTCACGCGAAGCCACACCACACCACTGAACCAGCCACTGAACCCACACCCCAAAAGCAAAGACATACAAACAAACAGATAGACAGACAGCCACACCCGTAAAGTAAAAAGACACCAATACGCCCCGCTACCCATAGTGATGAAAATGGCCGGATATAATCCAAAAAGAGAGCAATCGCAAAAGCCGCCACACTCCCTTGGGCCAAGACGAAAAAACGATGAGAAGCATGAAAATCATGTAATAAACTCCCCCCTTTTTTGTTTCCCCATCGCATCGCATAAACCTCCCATCGCATATAACAATCCCTTAAAACCCCCCGAAAAGGAAGTGACCGAACCGACCTCACCCCACAAGACCATACACAGGCCATAGGAGCCATGAATGAGACAAGTGCATGTATGTAAACACCTACTCCAACCCCTCCCCCAACCGTCTAATCTCCTCATCCCCCAACGCGCCCATCCACAAACACCGTTCCGTAACCCCCTCCACCGGCTGAAACCGATACAACATACTCGCCTCCAACAGCCTCAACAACGTCTTCACCACGCCCGCAGCCGTCCTACACCTCTCGAAATTCACCAGCGGCGCGCCCGTCGGGGAACTCGCAATCTCGCTGGGCTTTTGCGCGTTGAAGAGAAGATCGTGCGTGTAGATGCCTACGAAGGGGATGCAGGCGCCTCCGCTGGGGTCACTGGCACTGCCGGTGCTGTGGCCGCTGCCGCGGCCGTTGGGGGAGAGGGAGTACTGCGACGCACCCTCCATCTCGGCACGCATGTTATAGAAATTCCTCGTCGGGGACACCAGCGCCTCGAGCTCGCGCAATGTCTTCCGATCGGCAACAGGCACCATAGCCCAGGTCTTTGCCAGCCTGCCCACCTCATTACTAGTCAGCGCGATCGCGATCTGGCTCATGGTGGCAAAGTTGCGGTACCGCCGGCAGTGGGCGGCGATATGGATGAACTTGATCAGACAGCGGGCGCGCTCTTCGATGTCCCGGGTGAGGACGACTTGGGAGACAGCCCATTTGACCATGATGTTGAAGCGGGCGATGACGACTTCGACTCCGCGGGCGTCGGTGTCGCGGAGGAAGGAGACCCAGCTGCGGATGTAGGCGCAGCCGCTGCTGCCGTTGCCGGCGCTGTTGCGATTGCCGGTGTTTTGGTCGGCGTTCTTCCAGCGCATGTCGATGAGTTCCTTCCAGTCGATTTCGTTGAGGGCGTCTTTTTCGACCAGCGTGAACTGCTGTGCTAGCATGTCGCTGTCGAAGGCGAGGATGAACGGTAGATGTACCGAGTACTTGTTGTTCAGCGACCCCGGGAGTGGAGAGTCCTTAACGGTAGGATCGGTGAGTGACACCGGGGAATGGACAAACGACGCCGCGGCAGCGCCGGTAGTCGGGGTAGTCTCAGGAGTCAACAACGGCATGGGCGGCCGGTTGCCAGCAGAACCCATCTTCTGATGATGGTGTTCCGTCTCGCGGGGCATCCGCAAAGCCTGCATCAGCGTGATCCTCGGCGACGCAGGCCGCACAGGAGCCTCTTCCTCCCTCAACAAATGAGACGGCATCGTAGACAGCGCGACGCCAATCTCCCCCGAGGAAAACCCATCATCCACCGCCTCATCGACCATCACCTCCTCCGCCGACAGCTCCGACGAGATGACACTCGCATTGTCGTTATCACTATCAATATCCAGGAACGATTGCTCGACACTCTCCGCCGTCTCCAACTCCCCAGCCAACGTCGTGCCCTGCCGGATCAACCCCAAACTCTCAGTCCGACTGACAAATTCATACGACGGGTGCTGGGAATCGGTCATGCTCTGCTGCTCTGTCGGCATGGCAGGGTCCTCCTCCGGGTCCTGGAGTATCGATCGGTCGGTCCACTCCTGCGTGGCGGTCCGTCGGCTGCGTCCATCGTCGGTCAGGCCGCGGTCGAGAAGCGGGGTGGAGGTGTAGGACACCAACGAGCCGTCGGAGAGAAAAGACTGGACGAGACTGTGGCGGCCCTGGCCGTTTGTTGGGTCCAGCAACTTGGCGTTCCGGGTGGGCGTGGTCGTCGTCGATGACGAGGGTGGAGGCTGCTGCTCATTCCCCAGGTATGCCCCCCCCTCCTCCTCCATCCCATCATCATCCACCTCCTCCACACCAACATACACCTCCTGCAACATTTCCTGCTCGTGCGCGCCCTCCTGCGATACCTCTACGGGCTGCACCTCCACAGGCGCCACAACCCCCCTCCTCAAATCCATCGACAACTTTGGCCTAGGCCTCCGAGTCGGAATTTTCCCCTCCAACTTCAACAACGCAGCCTCCACCCCCCCATCATCATCCAAATCATCCGGAATCAGCGCCAACTTCTGCGCCTCGGCCTCAAACGACGGCCGCATAATCGGCTTGGACGAGTGCGTGCTAAACAGCGACAGGTTCTGTTTCGGTGTTGGCGTACCCTCCTCTTTGTTTTTCACCTTATCCATCATCTTCTTCTCAGCCATCGCCCCCAGCGAAAACGTCTCAGCATGCACGGGCGACGCGTCGCTCGCCACAACGTCGACATATCCGCTAGACTCGGCCACGATGATGCTCTGCGCGCCACCGTACGAACTGCCAATGGAATCGGTGTAGGTCGTCAGGGATGCGACCGACTGCTGCAGCCGCCTTGCCATAGCCAGGTCCAGGTCGTTGACGTTAGTCACGGCGCGCAGGTCCCCACCAGGTCGTCGGCGCAGGACGCGGAGTGGTTCGGGGGCTGTCATGTCGTCATCGTCTTCGTGGCTGTCGTTGTCATGGCTGTCGTTGTCATGGCTGTAACCCTGAGGCTGACCGTAGATCTCAAACTGGCCATAGATATCAGACTGGCCAGAGACAGTTGTAGCATCGAAACTGCGGACTGTCGGCTCGCGGTACACGCCGCTGGCTATCGACGCGCGCCGTGTTCGGCGTTGCGAGGGATCTAAAGTGTAGGAAGGGTGCTCAGCGTAGGAAGGGTCGGATGCGTACGACCGGTTTGAGTTTGACTCTGGCCTCCCCCACGCCTGTTCGCCAACAGCGACAGATTGGGTATGAGTATGATTTTCCATCTCGCGCAAAAAGTCAGACGAAGGCCGAGGTTGATCTTCCGACGGCCGCTCCGACCTTCCCAAGGTTTCCATATCCGGGACAAACGGTGGTAGAGGATCGGAGGCCGATGGATGGTGATGATGAGGTACGTGCTGGTCGAGTAGATACGTCTCCCCGTCTACCCCGATGGCCTGGCCCGGCGGCGTATTCGGCGGAGTTGGATCGGCAGCCCCATTCACCGCGAATCCCTCGCTGTACCCCTCCATGCCCGAATTTGCAACCCCAATAGCACCCGTCATGACGGGATACTCTCCTCCACCCAAATACGTGTCGTCCACAATGACAATCGACTGGCTGCCCGTCGTGATGCCCATATCGCTTGTCGGCCGATTCAACACGTAATCATGCCCGTGACCATGACCATACCCAGCCGGATGCAGATGCGTGTCTGACGAGCCCTGGCCCTGAATAGCAAGACCAGCCGGTTGTTGCTCGGCATCCTCACGAACAGGCGACTGTTGCTCCGACTGTCGCTCCGAATTCTGCTCCGACTGCTCCGACTGCGCCAGCGAGTCCTCCCTAACAGCCTTCTTAAAATCCTCCGCGACCTCCGCCCCCAACAAATCAATCCTCACCGGCGGCCGCCCGCCACGCGCCCGATGATACCCTTGGAACTGCGGAACAATCGGTGTGCCCGGCAACCGGTTAGTGGTCGCGCCGCGGGGCATGTCTGGTGCGATCACACTGCCAAACGTGCCCTGCGTAGGCGACAAGTGCTGCTGGCCCTTGGTGCTCAGCGCTCTTCGCACGCTCCCTAGCAGCTTCTTCATGCCCTGTCCGGACATGGCCGACGCATCCTCTTTGTCGGTGAGGTCAGCAGGCGGGTGTTGGAAGATGGTGGTGTGTCGCGCGTCGTTCATGTTCGGCGGGTGGACTTCGACGAGCGCCTGGGACGGGGGCATGATATCCCCGCGGACTAGGCTGCCGCTATAAGGAAGCGTCAACAAGAACTCGGCGTTTTTGTAAATGCCCTTCTCAGTTGTCGGGTTCTCCCGCAGGGAATCGCTCAAGCTGCCGCTTCGTTTGTGAGGCATGTGGCGCGCAGCACGCTTGCCCATGAGAGCGCGCGGTGTCGTAGCGACGGGGCCCATGGTGGTCATGGACGATGGGTTAACGGGGTGAGCTGCCGGGTAACCGGCCGCTGGGCGCATCGGCCGCATGCTCTTGGTTGGGAACGAGCACGAGACCACATCCACACTCGTGATACTCGTCGGCGAGATCGCTCCGTTCCTCGCCGCCGCGTTATCGGCATCTGCCCCATTCTCTGGCGTGGCCGGCCGATCCCCCGCTACAACGGCATCGATATGACCCGCCCTCGCTACACCCCCGTAGAAACTGATGTGTCCGCGCGGGCTGGCAGGAAAGATCAAGTCCTCCAGCTGGGGCGGTTCCGCGTTGTTCTCCGCCCAAAACGTTGGATCCAGCCGTGAATCACGGTTCCCTGCGATGCCCCCGGGTGTGACTGGCACATCCGGCCCCAGCGCCGTATCAAACTCCGGCCCGTCCCAGAACTGAGTACACACCCGCCGCCAACACTTCTTCAGCTCGGCCAGGATCTTGAGAGGTACTTTGCGCGCGGCGGGGTCTTGCGCAAAGTCGTCCATCAGTTCGTTCAGCAGACTGCAGAACGTGACGCGGATGCTGTAGTCCACCAGGAAGTCGTCCATAAAGTAGTTCAGGATCCAATGGCGCAGCGCAACGAAGGTGCGCACCCGAACCACCTGGCCGACCTCATCCGCTCTGCTGAGCGCCCATCGGAGTCGGGCAAATAGCATGCGGACCAGGTCCGAGGACTCCAAGAACGAGCGGTACGTTAGAAAGAAATCAGACAACAACTCGTAATCGACAAAGCTCGGCGACGTGATTTCCGCCACGAGCCGTGGTGGTGTAGCCGCCGTAACAGCACCCGCCGTGGAGTACCGTACAATCGTGCGGTCGTCACATGCAGGGCCGAATGTGAGGTCGTCAAACATCGCCGGCTCAATGACGAGGTGCGACAAGACGTACGGTATTCGCGGCCGCATCGGGAGCCGAGCCGGACCGTAACCCATCGGGTTCGAAGGATCGGGCGAAGGGGACAACATCCCCGATGAGCGGAAGAAGCTCCTCCTCCGTCCATTACTCGACTGCCCGTCCAACGGCGTCAGACGCAGGAACGAGGTACTGCTAGTGCGCGCCTCCTCCGTGGGAGCATACGACGAGCCCCGAATAAACGGTGTCCCCCGGATGCTAAACCTGGGCGTGCCTATCCTCCATGACGGAATGGCCACCTCCAGCAGCGGTGGCACCTGGTTCAAGTCATTCTCGTCCACCGTCCGTGGCCGTTGGTCGTCCCCGGGTTGTGTGATGACCACCTTGAAACCCCCCGGTTCCGATTCCCGCGCAATGCTCGTATCCGGAATCGTCGAGTCCGACATCGCCCGGCGGTGCCTTTGGCGGATCCGTGCCTGCTTGTCCCCCGGGTGACCCCTTCCCAGTAGGCTCGGCGATGATGATAACGGGGGCTGTGATGGCGTCCAATCCCGAGGTGGAAGGTCGGCTTGGGCGTCGCGTTCAAGCTCGAGTCGTTGTTCGGATGCCAGGTTTTCGAGTCCGGCCGTCCCAGGAGGCGTCATGGGGAAGACAAAAGGCGGTTGTGGGTACCGCTGGTTTGCTGGTCGGACAGTTGGCCTAAAACACAGTCAAGGTCAGTGACTGTTTATTGCACACCTCCCGACGTCGAAATGTGCGGTTATGGGAAAAAGAGAATAGGTGAGCTCCGCAGGCATCCGACAAAGCTGCACATCGTGTGCCCTACCTGAGAAATATGCGGCCGTTGTTCCCGACATTGGCCACAGCGAACTGCCTCCCCTCGCGGCCAGCCGAACCCCCATCGGGGGTAATATCCCACTTCTCGCCATCGTCCTGGCTACTCTTCTTCCCCCGTCGCCCAGCCAGCACCTCCTCATGTGACGTGCGCTCCGTGACAGGCAACAACGGCTTCGGTGGCGCGCCGGCTGACACCCAAAGCTTTGCCTTCCCCAACCCTGTTCCTCCGGTTCCGCGTCCTCCCGTCTTTGTCCGCCTAGGGTGGTGATCGTGCGGTGACCTTGGCGGATGTTGGATTTGCACCCTCTCCGGGGATGCCGTGACCTGAACCTGCACCTGTTGCTGCTCCTTCGGGGACTGCGGCGGTTGTTGCCGTTGGACGGGGCGTGCCGTCAGTCCGACCGCTGCTGATGGCGGCCACATTTCGGTTTCCATCGCGCACAAGAACAGGCCCTATGGGCAAAGCGCGCGGCCGCCTGTGTTCTGACCGAGAAACCTGCTACTCCTGCACCTGCTGCTACCGTGGGCGGAAGCGTCCAGACAGAATCGAATACATCGAGCGTCAGCGCGAGTGCATGGTTGCTACTTTGTCGTCGTAGTGTCGTTTATCTTGGTGGAAGTATGGGGGAATATGACGAGAAATTGGGAAACGAGCGCGCGGGCGAGGTGTGGCGACCCTTTTTCTTAAGTCCGGGTTTTGGTCGTGTTTACCCAGAACAAGCCGAATCCCAGGGTGGGAGTTGCACAACAAGACACGGACTGGACACACGGGAAAACAAGGGAGCAGGCCGCGCGAAAACGGCTCGGCCAAACGAGAGAAAACGGGTTAGCGTCGTGGGAGAAAACGTCACGCGTCCAGACCCTCAGCCGAGCGAAAGAGTCAATTGTTTGCAAAAACACGCAAAGAAGCAAAGGAGCGGGAAGTCGAAAACGAAGAAAAAATGTGAGTGAAGGGAGGACACGGCTGGTGGATGGAAATCGTTGGTCAGTTCAATGGCTCGATCAATGAATGACACTGGAAGGGCAGCAGATCCGGAAAGACAGGTCCAGAAGACAACCAAAAGGAGCCAAAACACCAGCTTCTGCAAGTTGCTTGCAGGACGAATGCAACAAGGGCCTCGACGAACGAGAACCGCAGCCGTCCGATCGGCGAGTGGGGAAAACCTCGAGGGAAAGAAACAGGGCCAGGGTTCAAAAGGCAAGGCAAGGGGGGGAACAAAAAAAAATAGACCGGACCAGGGTCCGGTCCTGTCCTCGTCCCGGAGACGCGCGCACGCAGAAGGCACGAACGGCCGACTCGCAAGCAAGTGGGAAATTTGGCAGTCAAGTGGGGCGGGAAACCGAGGAGCAACGCGGGAGGGAGGGAAGGCACGCACGGCAGGCAGGGTCGCAGCGGAAGGCCATCCGAGGTGTGCCTGCCCATGCGAAAGTCCCGAACTTGGCTTCGAGGAATTGACGAATGCAGAAAGCCGGTTGGGACGGGACATGGGATAGGGTGTGGAAAAGTGATTGTGGCTGGCGCAAACCAGGGCAACCGTTCCGCCGTTTGGTGCTTTGCAGGCCGTTTTTTTGGGCATTGGTTGCAAACTGCGGAGTCGATGACAATTGCTGACTACGAATATGTAGGGCGGTAGGCTGACCGTGCGGTGTGGAAGGTACAGTAGTTAACTACTAGTAAGACGCTACACTTGTGTAAGACTCTTCACGTGGTATCAACACTGGCAAAAATCTGATCTCATCCCCAAACACCAAGAGAAACCACCGAGTCTCACAACTCGCAACCCAGCGTGCGATCCTACGTTAAGTTGCAGCAGCCCACGGCCCAGCACACCGGACAGAGCCACCCAACCTGACCGCGCCAATTCGCAAGCAGAACGATGGAGCCAAAAGGGGGGCAGCGTTACCGCCAGGTTACCGCGCGCATGGTCAAGGCCAGAAGGCCTAACTCGCTACCGTTAGCGCACCCAACGAGCCCAGCACTGCGGGGCTTGGGCCTCTTGCCCGGGTCGACGCCGGACGAGGCTCCACGATGCGCGTCCGTCCAGCCTACCAGAGGCGAAACCGGTGACGAGGGGTCGCGATGCATGCACGAAGCAGAACCTTGACGGCGGGCGGCCAAGGCATTGGATGGATCGTTCTCTTTGGCGGGCCTTGGCGAGCTCGGGAGCCCACGGAGCTTGGGGATCATGCAGGTCGGTGGTTTGTGTCCTTGTCTTTCAGGACGTCAGGAATCGACCCCTTGATCGTTTTGTTCACTTGTGGGTGGGAATTGGGAATCCTCGGATACCAACAAATCTTGACCCGTCATCCGTGGTCGGCAAACGGTCTCAACCAAGGACCCAGGCCCCTTTTTGCGCTACAAACCGTTAACTAAGTTAGCTACCCGTTGCTCCGTAAGCCGTTAGCAGTTGCCCGCCCGTTGCCCGTTGTCTCGAACTCGGCACCAGAGCCGCAAGCCTTCCACGCCCTGCACCAGTACCACACGTGGGTCCTCCCCCCCGACGCAGTGGAGATCCCAGCCTCAAGCCCATGCCCGCCCCGAGACGCTGCTCCAAATCAGGATGTGAACATCCCGGTTGTGGTTGGCGCGGAGGCAGTTTCCGGCCAGCCGGTCTCGCTTGGCCCTGGGGCCTCATTTCCCAGCCGGCCGGAAGAGATGGGGCCAGCTTTAGCTCCCGATCGTGTGCGAAGCTGTGGATAATTTGTGGCCGAAAGAGAAGAGTTTTCTCAAACGGCCGGCGACAAGGCAGACTGTTCCAAAGTGCTCGCTTTTTTCGAGTAACTATGCCGAAGCCGCTGTTGACAGGGTGACAAAGGAACACACGGCAGAGGACTTATCACAGCGGTCTCAAGCAAGCCGGCCACCAGCGACACCAATCTCCCCCGATCCAAGCAGAATGCAACCCGCGACATCTCTGCATCTCCGGTGTCGTCCGGTTGGGTACCACTTTCGTCCGATAACGAGTTAAGCAGCGTAGCAACGGGTCCATCCTCCCTGCTCCCCAGTCCAACGCGCTGGAACGCCCAGACAAGCCAGGCTCTTCCAAACGCTTGACTCAGGGGCAATCCGAGGCTCTCGCAAGACATTGCTAAACCCCCACGTCATCCGTCCCCGCGGTGCCACACGGCGCGGGGAGGATAACCACCTCGATAAGACCAGGAAAATGGGGGCCGCTCACCTTGGTGTTGCCTCAAACCGGCAAGTGACGCCGTTTGTGTTGCAGCCGGCCGGGTCTCTCAGTTCCTGCGTTATGCGTTCGTTGATCAGGAGATCAGGTCCCGGGAGGTGGGACAAGACGATTTTCGGATCCGTGTCGGTTCCACGAAGGGGGCGAGCGAGCCAGTCCAGCGAGCCCAGTAAGGAATCCACTGGAAAATGTCACTGAATGATCCCCGAAAGGGGGACATGAAGCATTGTTTACCTCGGCTTCCAAATAACCAAATAACCAACTATCACAAGACGTCGTTGGTAATCGTTGATTCAGCAGTTACGAGCTCAAAAAAGGTATCAATTTGCCCCCTTCGTCCCGGCCCAGGCCGAGGCTTGAGTTAATTACCCTTTCCGGGCAACACAAACTGCCCCGCAGTTCCCTGATCGCCCTCGCGCTGACTCCTCCTGTCCTGGCGCATCTTCGCCTTTGCCCGTCATCGCTCGCGCCGAAAAGGGCAAAAACAACGAGAAGGGCAAGAAGACAGAAAACATGTGCTGACGGCGATCTTTTCAACGTCGCTGTCATCTTTTAGTGTACCAAGTAACGTGGAAACTACACTGCGTGGACATATTATCCGTCTATACACTACGAGTCTAGGAAGTACACATAGCTTGAGATTCGGCCGAACGGGATCGACGGGTTAACTTGGCAACTGTGCGGGCTGTGTCGTTAACTTCAGAGACAAAGCAGATGGAGTTTTCTTTTGAACGGTTGTCTCGGTGGCTCGGCAACTTTCCCGCTGTCAAAAGACGATCAATCGGATGTCTTGTGTAAAATCCATTGTATGCACAGTAACCTTCTTTTTCTTCAGCTTGACTTGACGTTATGACTTACCCTTTGTATCTCATAAAAAGCCGGGTAAAAAGTAAGGTTAAACAGAATTCACGAACAGTTCCTCCAGCAGTCATGGGAACCAACAGAATCTCATCTCATCTCATCTCATCTCATGCAATGCAATGCAATGCATAACGCGCCAGTGCCGGCAGGGCATTTGACGTCCAGTCGAGAGCCGGTTCCAACCTCCAACAACATGACCGCTCGGTTACCATTCATCAATGTAACCGGCATTCTTACCATCCGATCATCGCAACAAATGTCGTTCATCTCTCGGGCCATCGGCAACGTCAAGCACCGGCCAGGAACACCCTTCCAGGACATTACAAACCTGCGGGGAAGCTCAAGGTGAAGTGGAGGCAGTGGAGCGGTGGTCCAGAAACTGCTCTCCAACTCCAAACAAGGGAAACGACGCACTCCAGTTGACAGGTAGCCTCAACCTCCCCTTGCTCCCCAAACCAGAAAATGACACTCTACAATCCCAAACAACATGCGGAAAGAGACCCTTCAAGATATCCAGCCCGCCACAAACAATCCCATCCCTTCCCATCCCTTCCCAACCCAGCATCTCCCGCATCGAAACTCCTTCGCTTAACCTTGCCAGCTACGTTAGCGACTTAGCGTGCCAGACACTCGGCGTTTTTTTCTACACTCCACTACGACACCCGTCGGTCGATGGCGTCGATCTCCTCCATTTAACTCGAGTCGCTTGTCGCGGTTGCACCGCTAACTAACTAACTAACGTTAAACGAGCCAAACTGACGAGCATTTCCACGTGCGGGAAGGGAATACTCTCAGGGAGGGGGGGGGAGAGGGAAGAAGCGAGCGAGTGTTGATCAATTGCGTTCGCAATGGTCAATCACATGGTTACAACCAGAGACCTCGCTCGCTCGGCAAAGGAATCAAAAAGCATTTTGGTGATCGACCGCTAGGCGGCTTGACGGTGAAGCTAGATATGCAGGTGCTAACCCGCTAGCTGGATGGGGGAAGGGACGCGAATTGAAGGGTCAGTTGAAGTTTGACGAGAAGCCGAGAGAATGACTTGCGGAGGTGTGAGTGGACAATGTCAAATGTTGGATGGGTGAATAAATCATTGGATCATGAAGAGGAGAGGAGAAGAGAAAAAGGTTTCAGTGGGGACCATCATTGACTACACTACACTAACTAACGTTAGCTTGGAAGTCGGGGATGGTGACGAATGACCCGACAAAAAGCATGTCGCGTCCCAGATCGTCGGGTCCCTTTGTTCTTGGCTGGCTGGCTGGCGTGGCTGGCTGGAGGAGAGAAAAGGTCTCGGACTGACTTCAAGGTCTCGATCCTCGTGTAGTGTAAGTGACATCTGACATCTCGCATGGAAAAAGTGAAAAGAGGGGAATGTGACTCGACCTTTGGCCCCCCGCGTTGTCGATTGCATCTTTTCGACACAAAACCGGAGGTTTATTGTTGTGTCTCTGTTCTTTCTTTTTTTCCCAAGTCATGCATGCGCTTGTGGTTCGACTTATGAGGGGAAGACGCGGCAGCCTTACGTAAAATGCCCGACGACATGTCATGGGATCTGTTGAAGACGACAAATGGGTCTGTTATCGTGAGAGCGCATTAGAGTAACCATGGCTGATTGATGTTATGAACGAACGAGATAAAGCTGGGAGGTCAACTCTCGAGCTAAGCAAGTTGAGCATGCTCTTTGATGTTGATACAACAGATCAGCAATCTGCCAAGGACCAATGATAAGAAACTCGAAAGAGACGGCGAGATGTGTTTCGAGTGACAAGCAGCTTTTGAGAATCGTTGTCACGATCTAAGACCCACAGTTCCAGGTCGGAGTGGGGGTAAAACAGGACTTCGGCGTGTGTATGTATGTACAAACAGGAAGAGTAGAATATCGAAGCCCCAACTCCAAGTAAATATCACTCACCTGTTTGACGGTCCAAGACGTAAACAGATGCCCAAAATCGGCCAAAGAACCGTCTCACGGGGTCACCACTCCCAGCACCGGCACTAGGAGGGGGGAAAAAGGGAGCTAGTAAATCGAACAGAAATACAACCCAACAAAAAGCTCACCCACTAACCCTCTCTTCTAAGTTAACAAGCTACAAAACATAGGTAGGGGTTTGCTCTTATAATCCTGTCAGATGCAGAAGAACGAGTGGTAAGAGAACCTCGACTGGGTTCCCGGTTGTATGGATTCTTCCCCTCTTGACCATGGCTTGGCTCTCGGGGGGTGACATGCGAGGAAGATAGAGGGCTGCTTTCCCGGTCAAGAGTACTAGAAGCGCTGAGCGGCTATATCTGATAACTTTTTCACATCCGCTCATGTTTCCTTCACCATCAAGAGCTTGGGCCAGGGAGGAAAAGGTTTTTTGAACGAGTCAGACAATTCATATCTTCCAACTGTCTAGAAAATGAAACCGAGCATATATAACTGCCAGTCATCTTTTCTAACCCGTCCCTCTATCACACAACCCCTAAAATCCAAACCTGCGTCCTTTTCTACCCTCATAGTATGGGATGTGTGTGCTTTCATCAACTACCAACCTCCTTCACCCCACAACCGCCAACCGCCTCTGAATCCTCTCCTCCAACTGTTCCACAAACCAATCAATCCCCCCCTCCGCATCAAACCTCGCCGTCTCCGCAGCCGCCAAAACCGTCTTGACCCCAATCTCCACCGAATCCGTCCCCGTCGCCTGCCTCAACGAGTCCACCACATACCTGATCCTCGCCTGCGCCCCATTCCCATTCCCATTCCCGCCATCTTCTTCCCGCTCAAACACCTTGGTGTAATCGAGCAGGTACGCTAGTTCCTCCGTGTTGCGGACGGGGGGTTTGTAGATTTGCTGTTGGAAGGCGACGGTGACGTCGAGTTGGTCGAGGACGGACATTTGGGAGGTGGTGGCGAGGATGAGGAGGCGGTGGCCGTGCGGGGGTGGGGTTTGGAGGAGGGTGATGAGGGCTTGGAGGATGGAGTTGGAGAGGCGCGGGCCGACGGGGTTCCATTCGATTAAGCGCTCGATGTTGTCTGTTGATTGTTAGCTGATTGTTAGAGACTACTGAAACTAGTCGCCGGAAACAAAGGAAAGGGAAGACACATACCGAGGATGAGCAAGCTCAAAGGCGACTTGTAAGCGTCGGCAAAAATCCGATGCAAGTGGTCTTTCTTGGCCATCTCGTCACGGAACCCGACCAGGGTCGCGGGGCTAACCATCTTGATGAATGGGTAATCCGATTTGCTGGCAAGATAAGCGGCCAGAGCGGTCTTGCCGCTCCCAGGCGGGCCATGAATCAGCACGGCTGTGTGTCGGAAATGATCCTGCTTGCGCACGCCGTCGTAGCACCGACGGCCGGCGTCCAGGATCTTGACCATGTCGTTCGAGTAGCTGACGATACCGAATGGGAAGGTGTCTTGAAGCTCCGACTCATCGGCACCAAAGGCCGCCTTGACCTCGTTCAGCGCGTTGAGGAAGTCTTGGTGGGTCACCTTCATGTTGACTACGTCCTCGCTCACGCTGGCGGTGGTGCCGGCTTTGATGTTGCGCGAGAAGGCGAAGGAGGTGGCGGACTTGACGAGACCGCTCAGCTCGGCGCCGGAAAAGTTTTTGGTGAGAGCAGCGAGCTCAGCGATGTCAACATCGTCACCCATGACCTCGTTTTCCTTCATCTTGGCCGTGTGAATGTTGAGAATCTGGTTCCGGCCGAACTCATCCGGGAGTGAGATCTCAATCTGGACCTCCAGACGACCGGGACGCAGGAGGGCATCATCAATCATGTCCTTCCGGTTGGTCATTCCGATGAGAAGAATGTTGTTGAGTTGGTCGACACCGTCTAGTTTTGAGAGCAACTGGTTGACCACGCTGTCCCCCACGCCGGTGCCACCGCCGGCCCCCGAGCCTCTTTGCTTGCAGACGGCATCCAACTCGTCAAAGATGATGATGTGGAGGCCTGACTCGTCACCCTTTTCTTTGTACTCCTTCTCGGCGTCGGCAAACAGCTTACGGATGTTCTCCTCGCTCTGACCGACATACTTGTTGAGCACCTCTGGGCCGTTGATAACCTTGGGCTCCCTAGCGTTCAGCATTTTGCCGATCTGACGAGCAATGAGCGTCTTGCCTGTCCCTGGTGGGCCGTACAGCAGCATACCCTTGACGTGCATGATGCCGAGTTTCTCAACGAGCTGGGGAGGGAAGATACGCGAGGCGAAAGCGCGGCGGAAGATGGTGGAGAATTCGCTGTCCAGACCACCGATGCCCATGCTTTCGAACTTGAAATCCGGGGTGATGATGGCGTTGGCGGCTGGGCGGCTTTTGGAGGCCTTGAATTTGACGGGAGCTTTGGGGTTACTGTAGAAAACCATAGTGGTTTGGGTGGTTACAACGCCGCGGTCCTCCGGGTTGCTGCTAACTGGAGGTTCAAGGTTTTGGGGTGACTGCATCGTGAGGTCAACCAAGGTTATGGTTTTCACATCGACGTAAAACGGTATGTTCTGGAAGTCGAAGAGCAGCCTCTGGCCCGGGGCTAAGACGTGGTTCTCAAAGTTGTCCGTAAACGCAGCGGTAAGCTGGTCTTGATCAAAGGGAACGTCCGTTGTCTGCCTCGGCCTCGCAAACCCCATTTCGACGTCGAGAGAACCGGCGTATGCTGCGCCGCCTTGGGCATAGGGGTCGTAGAGCTCAGCGGTGATGTTTTCCGTCTTCCCAACGTCGGCCCACGTTCGCTGAACGTCTGATAGACTGATAGTTCCAGGAGGATGGCTGGGCGTGGGGCGAGCCTTGACGACGCATCGTTTTTGCTTATAATCGCCTTTGATGAGGAGGTAGATGTCGGAACCAGAAGGGAAGTCGTTGGGTGACACGCCGCAGCTACTCGGGTCAGTTACTGCCCCAACACAGACGCCCAACGCATAGGCTAGAAAACCTAGAGCCAAGCAAATACTCACATATTCCCGAAAATGTACTTGTTCTGCTGTGTGTCCTTCGGTATCTCGATTTGTTCCAATCGCATCTGGCTGGCCTGCTGCGGCTGGTACTGGCGGGGGTTAGGGTACGGAGCCGGGCCGCCACGCGGGGGTTTCTCGAGTCCCCCGGACGGGGCCGGGGGCCGTTGATTGTACGAAGGCTGTTGACTGTACGCATCGTAGCCGCCGCGCGCGGCCGGGGGTGGCGCCTGGTTGTTTGGTGGGGGCCGTTGCTGCACCTGGCGTCCGGGGAGACCGGGGCCGGCGGGACTGCCGCCACCGGGGCCTCTCGCCATGCGGTCGCCAAACAGGCTGTTTTGTAACGCCCGGGTGTCCGGGTTGTTGCGTCCGCTCATGATGGTGGTTGGTCTCGTTTGGTTGCTGGGAGCTCGGTCGACACGCAAGCTGGGTGGGGTCGCTTCAGTTGTCTTTGTTGGGAAATAGTTCTCGCTAGCTGCGTCGTGTTAGCTGGACGAGATTAAGAGTATAAAAGAAGGAAAGGATGGAGAGAACTAACAAATAAGGAGTGATTTCAGTTATCGGGATGAAATCGCGGGTCGTGGTTGTTTTAACTTGGAACCTTGCGGCGGGCTGTGTTTCAGTTGCTCAGTGTTGCTGTCGTCTGGAGGGGTGGGGTCCAGTGGCTCGGGTGGAGACCCGCCCGGATGTGTGGAGCCACATGACATTCCAGACGGGCCGGGGTCTTTGACCTCAGGCAGCTGCAGGTTCAAGTTTTCTGATGAAGGTAGGAAAGAAAGTAGTTAAACTGGAGACTTCAGCTAGCGGACGGTATTTACAAGCTTAATGGACGGTATAATTTACGTTGGTCACGTTATACTCTATGTAAGAGGAAATCTGGTCTTTGTTCGGCCCATGATGACCCACAGCCCCCAGATGATGCCAAGACATCTGATAATGCACCTGAGCTTATGTCCAGCCCGATGAATTAATTGATCTTCAAAGTTGAAAGATCAACCGAGAAGGAACAAGTGACGATAGGAGAAAAAAGCTCCCAGTAATAAATACGGGGAGATATTAAAATAAAACGCTGAGGGTGAAGACGGGCTTCTCGATTGTCGAAAGTCGGGGTGCTGCTCTCCTGTAACTAGGTGCCTGGAGATTTATAAATCCCAGCGCATGCCCATTCAGCCGAAGCTTGTTCTGTCAATCTCAACCTCAAAGTTTCCCCCTCAGCTCTCCCACCATGCCTCTGTAAGCCCTCCCTTTCCCAAACAAACGACGACAAGCTTTATTAACATTCCCACAGACACCTCCTCGGCAAAAAATCATGGAACGTCTACAACCCCGCCAACATCGCCCGCGTGCAACGCGACGAGGCCGCAGCCCAAGCACGCGAAGAAGCCCACGAGCAGCGCATGCAAGAGGACGATGCCGCGCGTCGCCTAGCCATCCTCCGCGGCGAGACACCGCCTCCCCTCAGTGAATTAGAGCAACAGCCAGAACTTGAACCCAAACCTCGCGACCGCGACTCCTACTCCACCACCACCCGCAAACGCAAACGCCATGGCGAAGACGACACCGATTTCGAGATGCGCATCGCCCGTGAGCGCGCAGCAGCGGGCGACCGCGCAACCCGCGAGTTGGCGGGTCCTTCTTCTTCTACGTCTTCTTCCCACCCGCGCTCGTCCACTCGACCCGGCGTAGAACCCTCCCTAGTCGATAGCAAAGGGCACATCACCCTCTTCTCACCGCCTTCCCCCTCCCAGCAACCCCGTGAACCCCACCCCGAAGTCGCGCGCGAAGCGGCGCACAAGGAGCGGGAGCTGAAGGATCAGTACCAGATGCGACTTGTTAATGCGGCGGGGAAAGATGGGGCGGGGTTGACGGATGGTGGGCCGTGGTACGCTGCTGCTGCTGCTGCTGCTGCGGCGAGGGATGGCCAGGCGGAGGAAGGATCTGGGACCGTGGAAGTGGTGGAGAAGAATGTGTTTGGGAGGGATGACCCGGGGAGGAGGGTTAGAGCGGCTGCGAGGTTGGATGCGGGGGATCCGCTGGGGATGATGAAGAGGGGGGCGAAGATGGTGAGGGAGTTGGAGAAGGAGAGGAGGAAGGAGAGGGAGGAGAGGGATAGGGGGATGAGGGAGTTGGAGAGAGAGGGAGAGAGGAGGGAGAGGAAGAGGAGGAGGGGGGATGAGCGTCGGGAGGATAGGTCAGAAAGGAGAGAACATCGGCATAGGGACCGTGGTGAGGGGCTGAGCGAGAAGGACAGGCATAGGGATAGGGATCGAGATAGGGATAGGGATCGAGATAGGGATAGGGATCGAGATAGGGATAGGGATAGAGACAGAGACAGAGATCGAGGATGGAGTGGACGAGATGAAGCGGGTCGTAGAAAAGAAGGGGATGGATCTCGCCAGGAAGAACGTACACACCGGGATCATAAAAGAGAGCGGGACAGGCAGGATGACAGCCTCAGATCGTCTCATCCAAGAGATGACGGCCATCGCCGTTCACACAAACGCGAGGAAAGAGACAGTTCCAGAAGAGAACCTCGCTCACATTAACAATTACAAATCCACCACTATAATCCACTATAATCTCAAGACAAACAAACAGCCCCAGAAAATACCATTCCCTACGCCTCCCCCCACGGCAACCGAATCGCAACCTCCCTCATATCCCTCTCCACAATCACCCCCAACTTCCCTTGCCCCTTACACACCCTCTCCAACTCCGCCAACACATCCCTCGCCAGCCCCTCACTCGGCCCCTCCCTCCGATCACTATACACATCCAACCCCTCCGCCGTAAACACAGTCGGCGCAAACCACGTCACAACCCACCTCTCCACCTCAGGCTCAGCACCACCACCATTCTCCCCTTGTCCCTGAGATGATGGGGAAGAAGACGAAGAAGAAGAAGGCTTAGAAAGCGGCCGCTCCCCCCACCCCAAAACCTCCCAATGACTCCCCACGAAAAACAACAACCCACTCCCCCTCCAATCCCACGCCCCCCCATCCCCTTTTGTTACCGCCGTATCCACCCCCTGAATCCTTTTCACTTTATTCCCCTTCCCCTTCCCCCCCTTCTTCCTCTCAACAACCCCATCTCTAGCTCCAGTTCCTCCCTCCCCACCATTGGTGGTATCCTCCTTCTCCTTGTCTTTAGATAGGGCCTCATACTCCACCAAATCCGACACCCTTTCCACGTCCTCTCCTCCCTTGGTTTTAGAGGGCAGAGGACCGTAGGTGATACGCACGTTTTGAGCGGTGCGCCACATGCTGAGGGTGGAGTGGGTTACGGACCAGGTGCGGTGGAGGAAGGGGAGGGGTGGGGGGTTGAAGGGGGTTGTTGATGGGGAGGAGGATGTGTATTTGGAGGGGAGGCGGATGGTGATGGGTGGTTCGGATGCCATGGTTGTTGTTGTTGTTATTGGAGGGAGGTGGTTTTGGGATTGGATTGTTGTTGTTTTGTTTTGTAAGACGCGCTTTTGGCGTTGAGCCGTCTGGTGGGCTGGTGGGCTGGGTTGATGCCGTGGATTGGGGTTTTGAGATTGAAGATGCCAACGGGTTGTGAGGAATTGGCAACGGAAACAATGATGTCGGGGCGAGATGGTATTAAAGTGAGGTTGGGTCAGGATTATTGAGATGTGACGGGGGTAGTTCAAGGGGTGTTTGAGCTGGAGCCCGTGCGTCATTGGTAAGCTCCAAACACAGTGTGTAAAGATGCCGGGAAAGCTGGGCGATTAATGTTGGCCTTGATTTCTTGAGTGTGTCGGATCCGACCTAGAGGACTTTTATTCAAATTTACTAGCCCTATTCTTGTTGAAGTTACTGTATTCCGAAAGGCTAGACTCTAAATTATAGCACAGCAAACACCTACCTGGGACCTGGGCGAGGTAGGCATGCGCACTGTCTAGACACTGTGCATCCTGGGTTGCAGCTTCTTTATTTCATTCCACCTGCCCCACAAGGCTGAGAACAACATTCAACAGCTTTATCTTCGGGATCCAACTGGGCAGGCGCGAGCCTTGAATGGTGTGATCAGTAATTCTAGGGGATTTTTTTTGGGCCCTTTTGCCATTCCAGCCGTCTCGTCTTCCCGCGTTAGCAGAGCCCAACGGCCCAACAACTGGACCGCAAGCGGCAATCTTGAACCAAAGAAACGGAACCGATACCCCGGAGGTCGTTCATCCGAGATCTTCATATACAAACAGCAGCCCTATACTTAAGCTTTGCAGGCAGGATCACAACTGCCTAAATATTCTCAAACAAGGTCTCAAACACATAGTTCACCTGACGCCGTTATCATGGCCCACGATAACCCCGACGAGATCGACCTGTCCGAGGATGAGCTGCAAGCCGACAAGGACGTCGAAGTCGACGAGGAAGCCGCCATGGCTGCCACCATGGGCTTCACCAGTTTTGGCGGTGCCCGGCCCACCGACGACGACACGGAGGCCAACAGGCCCCCCAAGAAGCGCCGCTTCAATCACGGGCTCGACGAAGCTGTCGTTGCGCATTCTGGTGGGGAAAACTACTCCGGTTCCGTCGCTGATAACGAAGCTTTTGCGACTAGCGCCAACGCCGTAATCACCGGGCCGCGATCTCAGTCTCAATCTCAATCTCAGAATCGGCCACTATCCCCGTCCTCCCACAGCCTTCCACCCAACCCTCACGGCCTCCCCAGCCGTCCGCCACCCGTAGTGTCGGCTGCCGCCGCTCAAATACACCAACAGCCCCCCTTCCATCACCACGGCGGCCAGGCCCACCACAACCAACCGCACAATTCCCTCCCAACCGGAGGTCACAACTCTCGCAGCCACGGGGGCCAACAGAACCCGCTTTGGTACATCAACTACTACGATCACAGCAGCAACAGGAACCCCTGGGAAGAGCTGGAGCAGCTCAGGGGGCTGGCGCCCGTGGGATCGTGGATCGCTTTCTCTGGTGGTGGGGATGGTGCAAGGGGGCGGGGAGGAAGAGATGGGGGGAGACCAGCAACTGCTGGGACTGAGGAGGGGCAGGAAGTGGATGTGGCTGCTGGATGAGGGGCTATGACGTGAGACGAGGAGGTGCGTGGATAGGAGGTTGCGTGGCTGTGGGCGGTAGTGCGGCTTTCATGCGTCGGTCACACCAAGGAAATCAGCAGGGAAAACACAATACTGGAAAAAGGCTGTATCAAACAAGAAAAAACCAAGCAAAGACGCAACTGGGAAAGGAGAGAAGTTGGGACATCACGTGACGGCATCGGGGACGCACACCCATCAACCACACCAAGACTGCCAGCCCACGACAACGTCACATGACAGGGCCAAACAGGTTTAGGAGGGTGTGCCAGCACAGTGCCGGGATGCTGGGCGGACGGGAATCGCCACTTTAGCATCAAGAGACAGGAAACAGCCTAGAAAAGGGCACTGTACGTGGCAGGTCAGGCTGGACTCAAGTCACGAGGGAGGTCACGTCCACAGGTCACAAGCAAGCAGGCTTAGGGGACTGGAACGGCAACTGGAACAAATATCTACCGACGCCTGGGGCCCTTCCCCATGGGACCGGCTAAGAACTACGGCTGGAAAGTGGGAATAGTTACGTACCCGAACAGAAAGAGTCAAACGAAAAAAAAGGAGTAAAATCCTACTGGCTCAACTCAACCGACCAAGCCGCGCGATCCACCCACACATGTCATACGCATCCCCAGCCTCCTCCCTTCCTACCTCCCACCTCCAAATCCTCACCTCCCCCAGCAATACGCGCACTCACGTGTCCTTGACCCTCTCACCTCTCCCGTCTCACTCAGCATACCCAGCTCAGCTCACCTTGACGGCCTCAAACCAGCCAGCCGGGCCCGCTAGCCACTCCCGTTCCCTCCCTCCAGCTCGGCAGCCAACCTAGCCAGCCGGCCGGCTAACTTGGCCAGCCCATCTGCAAACTGCAGCCCTACCCAAAACGCTCGGCGCCCACGCTAGCCGATCGACCGTCCCGCGCTTGCCGCTCCGTCCCGCCTGTTTGACCCGCCCGGACGGGTCGAATTCGGTAGGGGGGAAGGGATGGGGGAAAAGGAGGGGGGTGTGGGGTTAGTTTGGGGGGTGGGTAGAAATGGGTATTTTTTGACCACCACCACCTTCATACCCGCGAGTGAAAGCACCACCACTGCTAGAAAAAAAGGGGGAGAATATGAAATGTGCTGCCGTTTCTTCCGTCCGCCGAACCAATCCGATCCGATCCCAAGGAAATAAACCCAAAAGAAAATAATAAAACAACCAAAAAAGGAGAAAAAAAAGAATAGAAAACGCCCGCTCCGCTAGACCCAAATACCCAATCGTGCCCTCGTAAACCCAAGCCGTGTGAAACCCTCGCTTCCCGCTTGCTCCCGTTTTCATTCCCCTACAGACATAATGACACCCGCCTAGAGGTTACCACGTGGGCGTCCCCAGATGCCCAAGATGCCAGCCAGTGATGCCCAGATGTGCACTTTGCTGCACTGCAGGCCAGCCAGGCAGGCGGGTGCAGGAGAGTGGAGGTGCGGCCCGCGCCGTTGCGAAACACACATCTATCTCCCTGATGGAGGGGAGTGTGATATCGCAGATTGCACGCCCGTTTCCCGGCCAGCCAGCCAGCGGTCTCGTTTCGAGGAACCGGAGACTGAGACGGAGAAACGCAAACGTCACCGTTCTCTTCTCCCACCTTGTCCTGTCCGCTGGCTGGCTCGCGGGCTCGCTGGTTGACCCGCCCATAAGAATGATCCTCGCACCCCCGTTTCCGTCTCCAGTTTCACACCCTCTCCAGCGGCTCGTTTCCTGCGTGGCTCGGAGATTTTTCTTTCCCACCCTCTCCCCCAAAACAAAACGTGAGACATGGGGAGAACACCGCATGCAGATGCGGATGCAGATGCGGCTCTGCATGCATGCGCCTCGCCAAACTCTCAGATCCGGACTTCCCTCCTTTTGAAGTGATAGGAAACGCCAAACACCGGGATGATGAAAATGGAAAATCAACGAAAAAATGAAAGATCAACGGAAAAACACCGGAAGAAGGAAAGGCTGTTTGGCGGCGAAAAAGATTAGTACATATCCGGCGACGGGTACCGCGCCCGCGCCTTGGCGTATTCCTTGGTGTGCTTTTTTGAGGCTTTTGTCTTGAGCGAGCTGTTGTTTCATCCCATTGTCAGTTTTCTATTTTCTCACTTTTCTCACGGAAACACCATTCCCACACCTGACCCTCCCCGGCAAGCAGAATCTCACGATTCCAGCACTACTGGGGATTCTGACACTGCGAACTGGGAACTGTAAAACGGGAACTGGGACGGGAAATCGCTACTTACGCAACCTTCTTCTGCGTCCACTCCAAATCATTATGTACCTCCCGCGCATCCTCCAAGCCCTGGGCAAACCGCGCCCGGGTCTTGGCCAGACGGGCCTGCGCTTTGGCTTGCAGTTCTAGCAGTTCGCGGTGTTTGGCGTTGAGGTGGCCAGAACTATGGATTTTGTTAGCGACTGTTTCCAGAATTCGCTTCGCTCGCTGGTTTGTGACGGGTTTTGCCGTTTTACTTCCCCGTTCGCGGGAGGGAGGAAAAGCAGAAAAGAAAAAAGGGGAAAACTCACGTCTGCGCCTGCTTAGCAGTACACTTATCCAACGGCAACGGATCAAACGACGCCGCAAACCGCTCCTGCATATACTCATTCAAATCGACGCCACTCGCCGACACAACGCTCTCCTCTCCACCGCCGCTGACCCCCGGGACACCACCCTGGGCACCGTAGTGACTGTGAGTGATCGCAGCGCTGCCGAGCGTGCCAACAGAGTAGCTATGTCCGCTGTACCCGGAGCCCGAGGTCCCGCTGCTGACGGAAGCATCGAGGTCCTCGTCGCCTTCGGGGGGCGAGACGGAGTAGGTGCTTTCTTCGCCGCCGCTGGGGTAGTAGCTGGGGGTGTAGCCGGAGTGGTATTGGGGGTAGGAAGGTTTGCTGGGGGGGATGGGGAGGGCGCCGGTGGCGTAGTATTGTGGGGAGTAGGTGGAGGACATTGTGGTGGTGATGAGTGTTTGGGTGGGTAGGCAAACGGTTAAGTGTGGGAACTGAAGTGTGACGAGGGGTGTATATGGCTGGTGGGTGTTCTTCAGAAAGACTGTTTGTTCGGTGAAGGTAGTGTCACCTGGGACAACTTGGAAATGTTCAAGTGAAGTAGGCGTGAGTGTAAGTGTGAGTGTCCGATGTTGGTGTCTGATGCTGGCGTCTGGTTCCTTGGAAGAAAAGAAGAAGAGAAAAGGAGAAAGAGAACTTTCCTCAACCCCGTCAACGACGACCCAATTTATACCCATCTCGAGACCCCCCCTGCCGGCCAGTTCTCGCCATCACGAGTTTGATCAGGATAACATCCGACGACTCTATTTGTCAAGGACCTCCACGACCCCGCTCAAGACCAAGAAGACGGATATGAGAGATGGGGGGGAGGCGAACAGAGTTGAGGTGACGAGAGCGGAGTTGCCCCTTCATCGAACCACACCTTCGTCCGCCCCCCCGTCCGGGAAGGTGATGAAGGGAGGGGAGAGGGACAAGGACCCAACCGGAAGAAGGGGAGATGGGCATGGTCGATGGGGTGATCCTGGATCGCCGACCAAACAGGGTAATGCCTGGATTGGCTCCAAGACGAGTTTCGATTGATCAGAAGAAAAGAAGTGTGCAATCCGGGTATGCATATGGCATCCATTCCAACGGTGGGCAACTATCACCGTTTGTGTCGATGACAAGGGCCCGAAAGGAAAAACGGGGGCTGAAGAAACCCTTGTCTCAGACAAGAAAACTTAGGCTTTCCTTCCCGAGCTCTTAACCCTCAAAAAGGCCCAGAAAAAAGACGGACAGACAGACCAACGGAATTCGATAGGTCGCCATCCACATGGGCTTGAGATAGGTTGAGTGGGAGCCAGGTGGGTTCGGTAGGACGGAGGGGCACAGGAGGCTCAACGGCGACGATCCGTGAAAGAGAGACACACACTAAAGAGAGGGGTGTGAACCTAACACTACTAGGCTAACGAAGGGATGGGAAGGCGAGAAGAAGAAAGCCAGGGCCATGAACAGGGGTCGGCCTTGTGAAAAACCCAGGCCGAGACGACGAGAAGGGGGATGGGGGAAGCATATGACAGGCTGGACCTCCCCGTGGAGGTAAGAGACGAGCCGTTCGGTTCATCAAAAACTCTGGAGGGCCATGGGCCGTGAGCTCCGAGTGGCCGGAAAACAAGAAAAATGGACAAAACGGACGAGGGGCGGGCCAAGAGAGAGAGACGGAGATGGTCGGGCAAATAGAAAACGAGGGACGGGGAAGACATGAGAAACTCATGTGTCGATTCGGAGGATCGGCCTGGACATCGAATGGGGATAAGGTAGGTTACGACGAACGAGGTGCTGGCGAGAAGTGATGACGCTAGTCAAGATTGGCGAAAAGAAAAGTAAAATAAAAAAGATTAAAACGCCAAAAAAGGACAGCATGGGAACTGGGTTCTCACACCGGCCAACTCTTGTTGGTTTGACAAGGGGGAAAACGGCGACGTCAAACAGTTGTTGCAAAAGGTGGGTTAGGCAGAGATGCGTCAGGTCGGGCAATGTGTTGTCCAAAAAATGCCTGCGGGTGGGATTTATTTTTTAAGAGGGGTCCAGGTCTTACACGGACGCTGCGAGTGAATCAATGGCAAACCACCCTGTCTGTTTAGCCTGTGCGTCTTACAGACGACACACCTCTTAACGGAAGAGAATGTAAGGCAGTTACGAGAGATTAGGACACAGATACACAGTCAATTCCCAATTAACTGCGGAAAACGGGCATAACGACCCGGGGCAATTTCTCGGTGTGAATTGGGCAAACATCGGGGTTGCTGAGTGGTGTGTGTGCAAGGCAAACGTGCTGTCCAAGGCTCGGCGGTTAAAAAAAGGAGGAAAAAAAAAGAGAGAAACGAGAACGTCCACGGCCCGGAGCCACGGGCCAGGAGGCGCCTTTCGCTTGATAAGCCCGAGTGGCTCCGATGTAGAGTAACTCGGCTGCTTGCTGCATATCGTTTAAAGTTAACTGTGCAGTCTGCCCCGGCCTGCCGGCTGTCAGCGGCCCACACGGAGAAGGGGAATTGCACGTCTAAAACTGCCCGCCCACCCACGTTCTGCCCTCTTGAGATAGAGCACAGAAAGGAATAAAAGGTCTCAGCCCATGGGCAGCGGCAGGTGCAGGAAACGCCGTGGACCGTGGGGATTCCGAATACCCTGGTCACCACGCCGAGCCACAATCAACTGACGGGCAGATGAAGAGATGGACGGACGAGCACACACGCTTTGCCTGTCTCGGTAATGCGGGTTCCGAGGTCGGTTGTGTAGCAGTATCAAGTCGTGTTCATCCGCCCACACGGGAGTCGACAACGTGGAGGTCTTCCCCAGTTTCCCGAGTAATGCAAGCGCCTCAGACAGCCCGGGGCGAGAAAAGTGTGCAGAGCCGTCCCGTTATCCCGGCTTGAAATTGAGATTGCACCACGCACTGGTTCCGTGAATATGGATGATACCTTCTTCCTCCCTTCAAGCTTGGGGGCTTGCCGTTGGTGTTTCGTAGTGTCTGCACATGATACCGTTCCTAGGGAGGGGAGGGGGTCCATGAGAGAGACTAAAGGCTAGCCTCGGTGTGTGCCTCAAGTTTCAAAATCCGCCCCTCTCACCAGTCTCGATACACATCCCACGTCCCCGGCATCTCAACCAGGCAGCCCATCCCATTTTTTTGTGGCCGAGATGGGCATGGAGCGGCGAGTCGAGGCGGGGAAGGGGCATGACCTGCGGGCCATGCGCTGCAAAAAAACGAGACTGGCACTGGCTGGTGCCTTTCGTCGGGTCCAACAAAAAGGCACGTCCAATGCGCTCCATTGGGCGTTTGCCATTGGGTGGGTGATGAGGATCGAGCCGGGAAAGTTTGGGGCCCGCCGGAATGGGGAGCTAACGTTAACTCGTCAAGACCTCTGCATGGCCAGCAAGGAACACCCGGCTTGGGTCATTACCCTCCGTTCTCGCGCTAACGACCTCTGAGAAGAGAACCGCCCCCCTCCCTCCTCGGGACGTGGGCGTGGCGATGGCGTCAGAACAGCGAGCCCTTCCACGGCAGGCAGCAGGCGGCGGACGGGGAGGACAGAAAACGGGCTGACTGACGGGCGAACTGCAGGTCGTAGAAGGCCGGCGAGAGACGCACAGGACGGTTGTATGAGGTGTTGAACTAACGGTGACTCGTCCTTCCAAACGGAACGCAAGGGCCCGTGAACGTGAAGGTTTGTTCGGATAAGATGCAAAGGCCGGATGAGCGACGAAGACAACGCATCAAGGTGTCCTGCAAAGCCCGGGGGCGGTTAGTTTAGCAGCTGCCGTTGCCGTTGCTCCCCACGATCTCTTCGGAGCTTCGGGGGCTTCGAGAAGAAATCGGTACCGCAAAAACACAGAGAAACAGGCTGAGCGTGTGGGTACCGCAAAATGTAACAGGAGCGTTTGAGTGGATTTAGGAAATGCAGTCAAACCCAGACTTGTGTGGCCGATTGATGACTGGGCACGATTCTATAGGACAGTGCCCGCAGCAACCGGGTCTGAACGCTGCGTTCTGAGAGGTCGAGGAGCAGCAGACGTTCATGGACAATACACTGGGACACATGCCCACTTACGGTGTGCTCCTCATCCGTGGTCGAGACGCCGTTTTTGTTGGCTGAGTAGGCCCGGGGGTGAAAGTTTATCAAGAATCGGAATCCGAATGGGTAGGCGCTTCACAGTCCTTCAACAATGACACCGGGCTCGGCCAAATTCATGGTGATGATTCGGCTTTCTTGACACCAAGGTGCGCGGTCAAGGATGACAACATGTCAAAATAAAAGAAAACGCGGGTGATTTCGGACATTTCGGACATTTCGTGGTCGGCGAAGCGCCTGGGGCAGGTGTTCGCGAGAAGGGATAACTGCGGCTGGCGGCGTCGGGTGCGGTGACACGTTGAGCTGCGCTGCGGATCGGTACATTAGGTCGCGGGCGATGGAAGGTAGTTTGATGCAAGAAACCCATGGACTTCCAAGGATGAAGAAGTGGGGAGAACTTCCCGCTGCGCTGCTGTGACTAGGGAAGGAGCACAACACAAACGCGAAGAAAGAAGAAACGGGAATACTTCGTACAGTGCCAAGCGCTCAGCACTTCAGTTGTGAATAGACCCACTTTATTTCTGTGTCGATTTTCGGTCTCGTTACCCCTGTCGAATGGCCGCCTTTTTTCCTTTTTCGGCCCGGGGAGGTCGAGGTTCAAGTCGACGCAGGAAGGCAACGCGGGCTGCTGCAAGACATCTGCACTTGCGTGGCAGCTGCATAGCCAACGAAGACCCCGGCACATTCATCTCTAAGGAGTCAAGGTCAAGGCCGTTGAACTTCCATGTCACGAGCGAGATATCAAGCGTGAGAGGAAGGACTTGCCCCGCAGCGTGGGCTGTTGCTGTGTCTAGCGCGGGGTGAATCAAGAGAGGGTGATGGCGATAAAAGGACCATAATTCAACGAGAGAGGTCGGTCTGAGGAAAGGAGATTTAACATATCGTCTATGTTCTGTTCTCGGATTTAGGTGAAGCCCACCGGCCGTACACAAGTACATCAAACCCAGTCTGCAGCTCTGTTGGTACAATACATACCCAAACGCCGTCCCATGCATCTGAAGAGACGTACAAAATCCCAACCACCCACGCCCGGCCCGGTCATCAAAACACCAGCCATTATCATTCCACCCGCCCCTCCATGGGAATTGAATCCAGGGCCATTTCGGTGTACGACGATCCTCAACCAAAAACCTTCAAGAACCCCCAAATCCCCAGCCCACTCAGAACAGGTATCGTCAAGTTATCATCCCACCCAAACACATCCAACGCCTCACTCGTCGCCGCAACCAACCCCGACCACACACTCATAACCCCCAGTGCCAACCCCCCCGTAATCGTCGCCTTCGCCGGTTCCATCCCCACCGCCTCCACCACCACGCGCGGCAAACTCAGCGCCCCCGTAAACATAAACAACTCATCCCCCGGAAACGGCCCCTTAGTCGGCACCAACCACCCCCACCAAAACACCGAGGTGCCGACCCCCACAAGAAACGCCGCCAGCGACCCGGCCAGCGACTTGCCCTTGCGAATCCGCGGCGTGTACCGCCCGTACAACCGCCCAAACGTACTCGCCGCCGTATCACACCAGCTCAACAACAGCGTCCCCATGACCCCGACATCCTTGGGGAACCAGTAGAGTACCGCCCAGGCGCCCAACAGGTAAAAAATAACCCCGTTATACCCATCAAACTCACTCTCGCGCATCAGCGCGCCCAACACACGCACGTAAAAGCGATTAAAAGGCGCGTAGTTATGCCGCAGCACGTCGACAGCTGCGATGGGCACCAGCGCGGCCATGAGGTAAGGGCAGACGGCGCGGGTTTGCGTGCCCGAGAGGTACAGCCAGACGACGAAGAAGCCGATGGAGACGTGGAGGGCTTTGCGCGGAACTTCGTGTTTGTGGACGAAGGCGCGCCAGCGCCGGTGGATGGGGATGAGGCCCAGGGGGCTGGGGCTGCGGCTGAAGTCGCGCCAGGACCAGCCGTAGTAGGTGGATGTTGTCGCGGAGGAGGGGGGGGAGAGGTGGTTGTTTTTCTCTTCTGTGGTGGGGGGGAGGGCGTGGCCGTTGGTTGTTGGCGGGGATGTGGTTGTTGCTGATAAGGTGTGGCCATTCGTTGTCGCGGTGGCTGGTGATTTCCGCCTTGTTAACCGGCGCAACGTGCGCGAGTCGATCGGGCTGCGGCTGCGGCTGCGGGCTCGTTGGAGGTCGGGGGACTCGTCCGAGTCGAGCTCGTCGAGCGCCGCGATGGTCGGCTGCGAAGAAGCAGCCAGGCGCCGTCGCGCTGCCGACCGTGTTGTTGGGCCAGAGCGCAGGGTTGTCGTGGACTCCGGCCCGCTGCGGCCTTGTTCGGACCGTGTCGGGCTCGGCGAGATGACCCGCGGCGTGGCCGGGATGTTTCTTGTCGTCCTCCGTGTCGCCGGCATGTTGTCGTATTTCTTGTGTGTTTTTTGGTTCTTGTTGTTGTTATTCTCGTAGGGAAACGGAGGTAGCGCGGGAAGCGAGATAGCGCCAGCGAGGGCTCGTCGGAGGTCGCGGAAGTCGAGCGGGAGGAAAAGCCAAGGAGGAGGGGAGAGGAGGAAGAAGTCGTCGTCGTTGTGTTTGTCTCGTCGTCGTCGTCTTCGCGAGTCGCGCACGTCGGGCGACGGCGAGCCGGGAGGTGCGCTAGACGCGGGTTGGTGGGATGGAAAGAGGTAGAAGAGAGTTCGTGAGATAGAATCCAGTGTGCCGAGGAAGATGCAGCGGAGTCGGAATACTCCACCGCATGGCTTTTGGGGCCGGAAAAAGCGCTCGACTCCCCGGGGGGTCGGGTTTCGTGGCGGGCGGCGGGGGGATTTAACTGCGCGGTCGGGTCGGCAGGGCCGGTGTTGTTTCGAGGTACCACGTAGGTAGGGCAGGGCAGAATGGTGGGAAATGGACAAGCATGTGCGTGGGAGGCGTTGCGGGCGCGGGCGGATAGGTCGGGCTTGCGGTAGGATGTTCCAGTGCGAAGAAATTTCGGCTGCAGCGGGCGGCCAACCACTTGCTCCGGTCTCACTCGAGGTGTCAGCCCCTGTCAACCTGCATGTGACACGAAGTCGAGGGAGCCTAGGGCAGAGATAGGGCTTAAAACCTTGAAAAAGGCTGTGAAATGTCTGTTCTTTGAGTTTTAGTCGCGGAAATGAGGAGTATCCAAAATTGTAAAGTTGATTGAGCAAGAGTTTGAACATATCATAGTCATTTCTCCGGGTGGGTTTGCATTTTCGTCGAGGCCACTTGACGTCTGAAAGCAGCAATGACGCAAATTTCGAGCGGATCAGAACACGCGACCAAAGCGATTTGCCCGCACCTTACCCTTAACGGATAATTATCACACGGGCACCGAATGCAGCGACAATGCAGAGCTGAACCACCACTTTTTGGATACTTTTACCAACAGTTCATCCCAACCATGAATGTTTCGCGTGCAATGCGACGAATATCTCGTCAGCTTGGCCGTAATTACGGCCGGGCAGCAATAACCCCCGGGCGCTGGTTAATCCACGCCGAAAAGTTCCTCCGGTCGGTGCGCGGGCCAGTTGCTGAGATTTGCTCGCCGTCGGAGCGAACAACATCCCGACTTGCCGATCTTCACGGCCCAAGTTGTGGTGCTCCACCCAAAAATTGAACGAAGGCGCCCCATCAACTTAGCCTTGAGGTCGCCGCTTGCTTGTTTCCATCGTCCTACTTCGTACACTAGGGAGATACTTTCAGCTTGAAACTGCGCAGTTGCTGTCTCACTTTGGCCACGTCGAGCATAAATGTCGATCAAGATTGGTGTCACCTGCGAGTTCGTAGGTACTGTGCATGTACCGTGGTTGAGTCGCGAACTGCTGCGTGGGCTAGTAGTTGAGACAACTCCCATATGAATCAAGTCTTACAAAACAGATTCAAAAGACTCAGTTTATTTGAGGTTCTCAAATAGAATGTCAAATTTTGACACTTGAAAAAGGGTTTGCGATCCCGTTAAATCTCGAAGAAGATTTAAAAGTTGAAGGATAACTCGGGTTGACAGTGCACAATCAAGACCCTTGCACAGCTGATAAGATAAGCGAATCCCGACTCTTTTTTCTGCCGTCGCAAACATCCCACTTGGACATTGAGAATTGATTGTAGAACACAAATGCCAGACAATGGCGCCGTCACAACCCCGCGCCAAGAAGGCGCCCCGATCGTGGGAAACCCTGGCGCCTAGCCTTGCGCCGTGGGTCCTCGATTACCTTTCTTCCATGGGCTTCGAGCAGCCTACGCCGGTACAAAAGTCGTGTCTCGAGATCTTCCGAGGGAACAAGGATGTCGTCGTAGAGGCCGTGACGGGGAGCGGAAAGACGCTTGCTTATCTGATCCCGGTGGTTGAGGTGTGCATCTGTCTACTTTGGGTGATAATTAATTGAAGCCGCCAGCTGCTGACTGAATGTGACAGAGGCTCCTCCGATCCGAAGAACCAGCGAAGAGACACCACGTTCAGGGCATCATCATTTCACCTACACGAGAGCTCGCATCCCAAATTTACAATGTGCTTGTATCATTCATTCAGTTCCACGGCCCATCTTCCGAACTCCTCTCCCACGCGAAGAGCGACGAGAAGCGACCGGCCACGACAGAGCCCGTGATAGTCCCCCAACTCCTCGTCGGCGGCACGACGAAAGCCGCCGAAGACCTCAGCGCGTTCTTGCGCCTATCACCCAACCTCCTTATCGGCACCCCCGGCCGTCTTTCCGAGCTGCTGTCGAGTCCGTATGTCAAGGCGCCGTCGTCCTCTTTCGAGGTCCTCGTCATGGACGAGGCCGACCGCCTGCTCGACCTCGGGTTCTCCCAAGAGCTCACGCGGATTCTGGGATATCTTCCAAAACAACGACGTACGGGGTTGTTCAGCGCATCGCTAAGCGAAGCAGTAGAACGGCTGATCACCGTGGGGCTGCTGTACCCTCACAAGATCACCGTGCGGGTGAAGAGCTTGAAGGACGGGGGCGTGATCCAGGAGCGCAAAACACCCATGTCCTTACAAATGTCCTACCTCGTAACACCAGCCAGCCATAAAATCCCCGCGTTATGCCAACTCCTCGAAAAGCTCGACCCCCGCCCCTCTCGATCCATCGTCTTCTTCTCCACCTGCTTCGCCGTCAAGTACTTTGCACGCGTTCTCCACGGCGTCCTCCCCCAGGGCTTTAACATCGTCTCCCTCCACGGCAAACTCGAACCCCAAGTCCGCGAAAAGAACTTCGAGCGCTTCGTCAACGCCACGTCCCCCACCGTCCTCCTCACCACCGACATCGCCGCCCGCGGCCTCGACATCCCCCAAGTCGACCTCGTCGTCCAACACGACCCACCCACCGACACCAAAGTCTTTATCCATCGCTGCGGACGCGCCGGACGCGCCGGCCGCCGCGGCCTTGCCGTCGTCCTGCTCCAACCGGGCCGCGAGGAAGGCTACGTACAGCTCCTCGACGTCCGCCAAACCCCCATCACCCCGCTCGCCAAACCACCTGTCTCACCAACCGACGCCGAAGCCGATCGCGCGGCGTCCCAGATCCGCGCCCAGGCCCAAGCCGACCGCGAGATTTACCAGCTCGCGCAGCGCGCCTTTGTCAGCTGGGCGCGCAGCTACATCGAGCACCAGGCCACGTCCATCTTCCGGGTATCCGACCTCGACTGGACCGACCTCGCCAAGGGGTACGGCCTGCTCGAACTGCCCAAGATGCCTGAAGTCCGGGGGTTAGACCGATCTCTCGGTCTTGAGATCGACATAGAAGCTATCCCGTTCCGAGACAAAGCCCGTGAGAAAAAGCGACAGGTCGAGCTGGAGCACTGGAAGAAGGAGAAGGCGGCGCGGGAGGCGTCGCGGGCGAATGGTGGTGATGCGGCCGCTACGGCGGAGGGACTGAAGAGGAAGAAGAATGAGGCATGGAGCGGGAAACAGGAGCAGGAGGATGTGAAGCTGGCGAGAAGGGAGAAGAAGAGGCGGAAGAGGGAGGCGCAGAGGTTGGGGCAGATGACGGAGAAGGAGAAGGCGGAGCAGAAGACTTTGGAGGAGATGATTGCTGAGGTGCGGAAGAGGAATGCAGAGGCGGGAACGGGGGATGGTTCAGGAGGAGGTGGTGGTGATTTTGAAGGCTTTGACGACTAAACATAGACGCTTGTCTAAGCTATGGGCTATGTAGTGTATAAAGGTTGTTAATAATAGATACCCTGAGATACTCCTCACCATACCCGCGACGTGACACCCATCATCCACCTCACCCCATCAATCCATACCAAAGCACACATCAAGTTCACCATCGCGAACACCCATCCCCCCCAACACGTGACCCCCCCTTTTGTTTCCTCTTCGCACTGTCCCCCCTTCCCTCCCCTTCCCTCCTCTTCACAGCACGCACTACACACAGGCAAGCACGCACTATATAACCCCCCATCGCGCACAGCACTTCCAGCTCTGCCCAAGCCAACCTGCGAAAAAGTCTTGCAGTGCAAGTTTCTCCAGTTTGGTTTGGGCAGAGCCCCCGCTGGTCGGGTACACTTTGCAGCACAAATTCTCGGAACGCCAGCAGTTCGAGTTGCATCTCGGTTGCTAAATTTTCCTTTCGCTTTCTCTTCTCTCGCTCTTTATCACTTGCTATTTCCTTGCGTTTGCTTTCCTTCCTTTCCTTTCCTTAGCTTGCTTGCTTTCCTTGCTTCCTTCCCTTGTAAAACTATCCCCTGGTGGGATGGGTTTTCGTAGCCACTTGACCTTCCGCGGGGGTCTGGTGGTGAGCTTTTTGTGGTTTGAGTTTTGGTGTTGTTTATTGTTTGGTCGGCAACCACAACACTGAGATAAACCTGACACGGCACTGCACTTCTTGGTCGTGCAACGATACTTCATTATTTAACAAGGTGCAACGACAAGATCACGATTGACAAAAACAACACGATCATGACCACAGCATGTTGTTTCTCAATCACTACAGCACACACGTTATTGTTGATCACGACTGCACAACCATGTGAACATGTTTGAATAGCAAAATGAAGGTGGTATCATTCGAACAAAACAAGGAAATACTATCAAAAGCAGACATGAGACAGACAATAAGGCCCACTCTCCCACCACCAAATACCCTTCTTCCGCCTTATTCATCCCTGGGTATTCCGACATGTTGTGTTTGTGGTGTTTAGATATATCATTACTGAAGCATTGTTGCGTCGTATCAATCCCCCATACCAGTAGGAAATGCGTGCCTCAGAGTTGTCGATGAGCCGAGGACATCTTAGATGTTCTCAATCACCCGGGCATTCATCGCCTGCTGAAAGCCCTGATTACCCGAGCCGTAGTCATGGGCACCATCATTCGAGCCCGAGGCGCCGACGCCATCGACATTCTCCATAGCAGCGTTGAACGCAGCCTGGCTAGGCATGGTCTGGTTGGTAGCAGGCAGGAAGATGACCTTGCTGTTGGCGGTCTTAGCCATAGCCTGCATAGCCTCGAGGTAGCGGATCTGCATGGCGGGGGCAGACGACAGGATATCAGCGGCCTGGCGCATCAGCTTGGCAGCCTCGACCTCGGCCTTGGCCGCGATGACCTTGCTTTCGCCGATACGCGTGCTCTGCGCCGCCATCGACAGCGACTCCTGGAGCTCCTGGCTGAAGATGATGTCCTTGATCAGCATGCTCTCCACCTGCACGCCCCAGCCCGCGGCCACGTCCTCGATGATCTCGCCGATGCTCTGGGCCACTTCCTCGCGCCGCTCGATCACGTCTTGCAGCACGCGCGCGCCGACCACGTGCCGGAGGGTGGTCTGGGTGCGCTCGATGAGGGCTTGGCGGATGTTGGAGATGCCGAAGGCGGCTTTGTGGGGGGACACGATGTGGTAATAGATGACGCTGGTGAGGTTAAGGGTTACGTTGTCCTTGGTCATGCATGTCTGTTGGCCGACTGGTAATTGTTAGCTTTTTCTGTTCTTGTGTAGTAGTCAGGCAAAGAGAGTAACCGCTAGCTTACCCTCGACAATCTGGATCTTCACATCAACCGACGTGAGGTGCTCGCTGAGCGGGTTGATCTTGACCAAGCCCGGATCAACAGCCTTGTAGAAGCGGCCAAACTTGGTGACCAGCCCAACATTGCCCTGGTTGACCTTCTTGAATGGGTTCGGGCAGCAGATGCAGCAAGGAATAGCACCCATCGTGCCGATGACCTCGCCCAGGCAGTTGACCATGGCACCGTACCAGCCGGGGAAGTGCACCTCGTCCACCACGCTGGCGTAGCTCCGCTGCAGGTCCTCCGGCTTGGGGCGCTCCACCCGCATCTTCTGCTGGGGCTTGAAGCCGCCGTTGGTGGCCGGGTTCAGCGGCGCCTTGCTCGAGGAGCCCCGGTCGTCGTCGGAGTGGTGGCTATCCATCTTGATGTGGGTGGGTATTGACTTGGGAATGGATGGTTGTGTTTGTTTGGTGTGGACCTGTGTTTTGGAAAGACGTGATGATGCAGAGACAATGACGAGATGGGAAATGCGACGGGCAGTCGTCTCTGTTTTATGTTGTTTTTGACAACGTGGGAGCCAGCAAAACATCCAAAGAGGTGGTTGCTGTCCGCCTGTTCGGCAGCGGCGTTGCAGTGAGCGGGGCACTGGGGTGCAGGGCTGCAAGGGTACTGTGGAGCAGAACGCCCGGCTTTGACAGGGAGTTTGCTGCGGCACATCGGGCTGTCATTGGCCGAAGCTCCCACACTCCCCAGAGTCTGTTTCCCCAAGCCATGCACACCCATGTTCCAAGGCTCAAACATGGGAATTTCGAAGAGAACAGAGCGGAGGTTTCACTGGCTCCCAAACATATTCTTCGGCTTCGTCTCTTCTTTTGCGACCCCTAAAGGATCCGGACGGCGGCGAACAACGGGCATTTTCCCAGGCAGACCCGGGGCGAAGTTCCACGCGCCGCATCAATTTTGAACGACTTCTCCCGAAATCTTGTGGTCGATAATTAATTGCTCAGAGTGGCGCTCGGCGGCACATCACTTGATCGGCTCGCTATCACCTTAGGGGGGCTGTGCGTCCACGGGCGCCGTATCCCGTATTGCTCCTTGGGCATCTCAAAATCAGGTTGAGCTACTTATTAGTTAGGAAGCATAGAACTTGTGCCTGGCACGCTGGTCCCCGCTCACCTTCCCTGTCCGGAAACTATGACACGCGATTTCTCACCACTAGGGCGGATTCTAGTTGCACAACATCGTCGCCTGGCCCATCTCGGCTCTCGGGGTTTCATCGAAATGTACGCGAGCCCAACACGATTCCGTCAATTCCCGTGCGGCTCTTGGGGACTTTTCCGTCGCGACTTGGAATTGCAATCGCTCAACTCGGGAAGCCAAAATTTGTCTGTTGGAATTGGCTCTGGCGCTGCCATTCTGCTCCTTCAGGACCAAGTGACGTCACTGCCTGGGACAGATCAGCACTTCCTCCCCTACAATGCCCCGAGATGATCATGGCGCGGTTGGCGCGGGTGTCGGACAGCCTCCCCATAGAAGCTTTCCAGAATCCTTCCCGATGAGAAAGGGTGGCTCGGGTGGCTATGTCTGCTCATCACAATCCGGGCAGCGGCCCAAGGCCGACACAAGGGCAGATAGGACTGCCGTGCCGGTTATTCGATCACGATTGTAATTTCCGAGTTCTCGGCGGATACCGGAATTGACAGAAGAATCTAGTCCCGTCCGCCTCACTTCTGAACTCCCAGACGTGAAGCCGGTCAGATGGGGAAGCGAGTACGGAGCTTCAACTCCCAGTGAGTCCGCGGGCTTCCCGAGGTGCACCTTTTTAATCCACCTACACCACAATGAAACGCGGTACACCTCTCAGGCCTCGATATCCTTTGGGAGACACATTATTCGTGACTGTTGTATAGTAGCATATCTCACGGAACCGGCGAATTCCACTCCAATCAGGCGCTTACTTGATTCGCCCGAATTTCTACTACGGCCTGGCACACCCGGCCACCTCTCCGGGCTCCGGACAAGGTGACTTCGCCTTGTTGAGATAGGCCATGAGGACTATGAGTATGTGAGCCTCTTTGTCCAAGTCCCCGAATCACCGAAACATTGGGACCTAACCTAAGTTACACTCGCACGCTTCCTCAGCCCAGATCTCCCCATCGTCAACGTCTCATAGTTTCTCAGATGTACGTAATTACCCCAGGGAAGCCGGCACTATTTCCTAACCTTCTCAGCACAAATTTGTATATGGTTTAGGGCCGCGGCTCTTGGATGTGCCATGGCCACAAGACGGAGGCGCGAAAATTGTTCAAAGCAAAACTATATACTATTACCAGTATGAAAAGCCTTGATTTCTATACTTGCGATGAACGTTTTCCGTGTCTGTGTCTCGTCCGGGCATAGTCCGGTGTTTCAAATCGACCATCACTCCTGATCTGCCCCCAACCAAGTCAGAAACTAGAAGCGACCAAGCCCCAATACTGTTTGCTCTTCATTTTCTTTTGGCATGCCTTTCTACAACTCCATTTTGGGGCACTGTATCTGCTTTGTTGATATCAAAGCGGGTCACTTCGAGCTTCTCAAAAGATGAGAGTTTCCTATCACACATGCAACGACGAGGGCCATGTCAACAACGTGTCCATTCTCATGACCAATCCAAAGTGCTGCATTTAACATTGACGGCCCTCCTTGCTGTTCATTATTGTGTAGTTCTTCAAGTCCGATGGATGGTTTAGGTCACCTGGAGGATCTAGATTGATCACCCGCGAAACACTCTCTCGTAGTATTATTTTCCAGTAATTACCATGTAACTAAATCGGATATCGATGCTTCCTCCTTTAAATTGATTCAGAAATCCATTACATCAACACAACCGCCCCAACAGCCAACACAAGCCCCACGATCCCAGCCTGCACACGCGAACCCGCCGACGGCGAAGTCGTCGCGCTAGCCGGCCCCGTAGTCGTCTGCGTGCCTTGCGAGCCCTGCGTAGCCGACCCAGTCCCCGTCGTCTCAGCCCCCGTCGCCGTCCCAGTGGTCACAGCACCGGTCGTCTTAGACGCCGCCCCCGAGGAGACCGACGACGACGAAGAAGCAGCACCCTTGCTAGCACTGCTCGTCTTCGGCTCCCCAGCCGACGAGGACTTGGTGGACGACCCCGACCCGGACCCCGACCCAGACCCAGACCCCTTAATATCCAACACATACGTCGCATTCCCGGAGTCACTCCTCGTCGAATCAATACTCGCCCAGCTCGCCCTCCCATCCGTGCCAAGCGACACACAATCCTCGGTGTACGCATTCGTCGCGCAAATACTATCCCCCGTGCTCCACACATTCCCACCAGCCTGCGTGCACGACACCAACAGCTGGGTGATCATCATAGCGTAGTTGTTGAAGAAGTCGCTGCCGGCGCCCTGCGAGAGACAGTCGCGGCAGCTGTCGAGGTAGCCGTACCAGCCGTCGGGGTTGGGCACGCACACGCAGTCGTGGATGGCTTTGCCATCGGGGGTCATGGGGAGGGTTTGGCATTTGACCATGGTTTTGTAGATGGGGCCGCAGCCGCAGTCGTCGAGTTTGGTGGGGCTGTCGGGGGCGGTTTTGGTGGTGGACCAGCCGTTGGGGTTGGGGCTGGCGGTGGTTGTGGCCAGGAGGGTGGCGAGGGTTGCGATAGTGGAGGCACGCATTTTGAGGGTGGTGGTGGTGATGATGTTGGGTGAGATTGTTTGAGAGGTTGAGTTGTTGGGCGTGTTGAGATTTGACGGTTATTAAACAAGCGAATGTATTTCAAGCGAAGGACGACTGAATGTTGGAACGAATGACAACAAACCAAGATTGAATGACAACAGAAGGACAAACACCAAAAAGAAAAACTAAAAGGGGCCAGCTCCAGTCTTTAAATCCTTCAACTCCAAACAAGAAACTCTCGACCATCGTGGGGCTGTGGCAATCTCCGGACGCGACAGGGATGACCGCGCCGGCTAGCCCGGTCTAGCCTCTGACAGCCCAGCACCGTGATCCGTGCCTAACACAAGATCTTTGCAGCCGCGCCAGCAAGCATTTCCCGAGATTGGCTGCTGAAATGCCTTTCCCCGTGGCTATTCCCGGCTGTCTCCTTCCATTTTTTTCCTGCAAAAGTTCCTGTGTTGAACCTGTTAAGGACTGATGGTCGTGAAAGTGAAAACTGACCACGCGCCCAAAAATAGCAAACCTTCTCCTTTTGTTCCGTCGAACGTGTCCTCCCCCAATTTGATTGGTCAACCCCGGAGTGGAGAGCCGAAAGTGGATTGCTCGTCCAGGCACTCGGGATTTTCTCGGCGGTCGCGAAACCCCCCCCTTGACAAACAAGCTTTTCGACGTCGACAGTCTGGGCCTTTCACCCGCAGGGGATCCCCTCGTGTACACGAGGTAGTCAATGATGACTTCGACCGTAGCGTAACAGAAAGGGGCGAATGCGTATTTGTGAGACACCCGAATCCGAATCCATCGCTGACGATGAACCCAGTAGTGTACACTAGACTGCACTCGCTGCGTTCGGGACCGAGGTGAGACACTGGAGATATGGAAACTGAAAAGCAGAACTAACATGATCGTGACATATACTACTGGGCTCCCATTTTCCGAATGAGATACCTCCGAATGGACATAATTTCCCGTCCTATCCCGTGACTCTGGCGACGGGGAACCGAGTTCAGACCTTGGAATTGTCCAAGTTGAATATGGAAAGTGGAAAGTGGTACTCCTCACGTTGTATCTCATGGTCACAGCGGATTTAGGAGAGGAGGGTTGTGGCTTGGGACTATCCAGGAGGTTGAACTGGCAGAGTAGCAAGGAGATGCCCCTTAGCGCGGTCGGCTAGGTATTTCAAATGTGTAAGCACCTTCCAAAAGGCTCCCAACAGGGGGTGGAGTGTCAAGGGTGAACCGTGAATGAAGACAGCGAGCGAGAAGGGTACTTTGTAAATCCAGGTTGTACTTTCTGATGATTTCCCCTTCATTCCGGAGCTGTGTAATGCCGCAATGCTTGATGAAAGGCGAATACCTCCAGCAGCTCAAGGGTCTCATAATCTAGATAGAAGGGGGTGATCAGGTTCACCACCCTCAACTTGTTAACACGTTTCCCTGGGTACTCCGAGTACAACCTTCTCATCCCAATCCCGACACCATCCAACCCCCTCGCCATGTCTTCCCAAATCACACTCTTTGGCCCACCCTGCTCCCCTTCCCATCCCCACTCCTTGCTTACCACGGCTCATACACATAACACAACGGAGTGCCGCCGACCGTGTCCATGGTCTGGCCGATCGTCACATTCCGGTTAAGAGGCTCGAAGCCCATGTTGTCCTCCAGGACGGCCTCGGGCGTAGGAGGCTGGTCGTACATGGTGTTGGTGCCCGCAATGGTCTGTCCTCGTCAGTATCTCTCGCTCTCTCCTTCTCTCCCCTTTTCCGCAGCATGGAGAAAATTAAGAAGCAACTTACCTGCCGGTTCTCCCAATCCAGATTCTGCCAAATAAAATGCATCCGGTCAATATTTCCATGATGCAAATAAAACCCCGGCTCCAGCGCCGAAAAGTAAAAGTCACTCCCCGGATCACCACTAATACTAAAATGCCCACCCCCATGCACCGCCATACCCACCGTCCTCCCCTCCGGCCACCGCCCATCCCCCTGCACAATCGCCTGAAACACCGCAATATCCGTCGCATTCAAAATCGGCTCCGTGGTATTCCGCAACGTAGCCCACTTGCTGCAGATATCGTTGTTCAAATCACGCTTGATACAGCGGGGGTTGTATTTCAGCGGGTCGGCTGAGCCCACGGGGCCGATGTTGACGGTGAAGTTGGAGAAGGGCCCGGATAGGAGACAGCCACCGCCGGATCCGGCTTTGGCGCCGCCGATGGAGGGGCGATGGCCTTCGATGAACTCGCCGTTGCCACCGAGCGAGTACTCGCTGCCGTCGAAGACCGGAGAGGTGTCGACTGTGCCCATGGTGCCGCAGTCGAGGCCCCATTCCCAGTAGGGGAAGACGCCTGGTTTGTTAGCGCAGCTCATGTATCTCTACCAATAACGAACACAAGGATCAAAGGAAAAGGGAAAGAGATAGAAAACCCACCCGTATACCCGCACAACTCCTTCAAATCCTGTTCCAGCACCCAGTTATAATGCCGATGCCAGAGCAAAAATGTCGCCGAGTTGTGCACATACGGCGTCTGGTAGTAGTGCAGCGCGCCGTAGTCGTCCCACGCCGTGCGCACCCCGTCCAGCCCCGTGTGCCGTGCCGGCTGCTGCATCAGACACTGAACTGCCTCCTGGTAGCCTTTGCGGTCGTCTAGGGTCATGTTACGCCTAGTTTCTTGTCAGTACGTACGTACTTACACCTTGGGTCGTGGGGATCGAGAAAAGAGTGTAAACGCACCACTCCTTACGAATCCGCACATTCTCCTTAGTGCAGCCCTCAGTCGAGGCCTCGACACGCGCGAGGGCATTCTCGTAGGCGATGCGCCCCAGCTCGCGGATGGCGACGCCCGTGTCGATTTCTTCTTGCGTGAACTGTGGGATCTCGGCTGCGGCGGCCAGAGCCGAGCTGGCCAGCGCCAGGGCGCTGGTCAGGAGGACCGCGAGGGATTTCATTTTGGTTGTTTGTCTTGCTTCACTCCTGACTTGCTGACAGAGGAAACTCGGAATAGACAACGTCGGCTTCACCTCTAGGCCGAGTAAACCTGGGAGAAATGAAGATGACTGGATCCGTCAACAACACCCGAGAATATGGTCGACTAGGGTGTCTGTCTGTTTATATACCTCCCGCCTTACAATATCCATCGGTCCCATCCCTTCCATTTGATCTTCGTCCAAGAGCAGCCCCGTCTCCCGCGCCATCTGCCTCTCTGTAAGACGCAACCCTCCTTGGACCCATCACCTGCCTCCTCCTAATTAACCAACCCCTGCTACCCACAGCCAACTCCTCTTTATTTTTATTCCTGTGCTTCTTTCATCATTCTCTTCGCATACTCGGATTAAACTCAACCTTCTGTTCCACCAACCACCGCAATGCCGGCACTTCAGTCTTGGCATGCATCGGGATAAAAAAGATTTTAAACTAAAAGGTTAAAGTGCTACGCGAATCTGGGGCACGGGTAATTCGGGTTAGATTACCACGGAACAACCCAGGGGAGCCACTCGGACGGTTCCGCTGCACAGAAGTTGCATGGGAGAGGCATTGAATCGGCCGTGTTGGGAAGGCAGTAGATCAGAGTAATCTACGTTGTGGGTTACTGGGTTATCGTCGGCTGCACGGCGATTACCTTTCGGAAACGCGGTTATTCGGCCGGGATACACCTTTGGGTTGCGAAGAGAGAGAGGGGGGGCATTGGCGCCGTGGCCGGGGCCGAGTCGGGCTTCTGGGCGAGGGAGTGGTCAATATAAGGGGTCTTGGCAACTGCGGAGGTGAGAAGATCGGGCGGGTTGTTACCGCGCGGAGTTGCCGACAGGTTGAGCGGGGGACTACTTCGGAGGTTTTTGGAGATTTGTAGAAATGAAGAGGATGACGCCAAGTAGGGTTCTGTGTCAGCAAAACATATTGGACGCGAAGGTGTAATAACTGTCTGCGTTTGCTTTATCAACGATGGGCTCGTGGTGGTTCAAACGGTCTGAGACCTCGGTCTCTCTCAAAGCCAAGGCGCCGACGTCCCATACGCTTGTTGTCACGGCTCACACAAGACTTTATGATGTCGGGCCAGATAAGATGGTTGGTATAGCGGCATTTCAATGACCGAAACCCGAATCGATTTCTACTTTCTAGGTACCTAGCCATCGAACGGCTTTCCTACTTGGGTCCTACAGCTGGCGCAGAGTAAACAACATCAGGGCCACGATGGTCCTGCGTTACCGGCCAAGATGCTTCTCAGAAGCAATATAAAGCGAGCGATGTATGTTGGCACTGTCCAGAATTGAGAGTGGGACGTCGGCTTTCAGTAAGTTATCGGCCTTTTCCGGTTGATTTCTGGCGCGTCTTTATCGTACGTAAAATGTCCTAATTAGCCCTTGGCAACACTCTATGTGCCTCATCCCCTCTCTCGGCGTTCGTTTGCGTTTCTACCCATGGTCTAGAGAGAACCCGTGACTTACAGCATGTGAAGGCGTCGGTGCGGACAGCGTTTCCCCCCCTTTGCCCGCGTTACCCAACTTCTTCTCATCTCCGGTTTCTGGGTTTGGGGCCCCTACGCAAAAACCATAGACAAGTAATCAATACACAAATGCAGGAGGGGAACGAATTAGCACCTAGTTTTGAGCCCCTATCAGCCCGTTTTGTTCAAGATAATAACCCGTGACGACAGCGTGGCCATGCCAGCGAAAGTCCTCGTTGTTTGTCTTCCCGTGGGCATTTCCCTGCCCGACAAACACAGCCCACACGAGATTTCCGACTGCTCAACGCAGGGACCTTGTGTTCATCGTGAAGGCGCTTTGGGCAGACCTCCTGATGCCGCTGGGCCCCGAATCTTTTGAGGCTGAGCAAGACCGAGTTTCCATATCGTCGAATCAAATGCCTCAGTTACGGAGGTGCAAACTGCAATAAACCCACGAACTCACTACGGCACAATATTGAATATAGTCACACATGGGGTCGTCCATACCCTTCAACAAATCGAATATCACCCCGTTAGAGTACTGGAAAAGAGAACCATGATTTCAACCCTAACCCTCTCCGGAGCCATTTGTTAGCCAGGAGCTCAAAGGTGGCCAACGGCCGGACAAACCGAATCGCTCATAGGCTCCAAATGCATATGGCGTAAGTGTACCTAATTGTTCTTGCACTGCGATACGGATGAGAGATTACCTACCTAAGGGGTTTGAATCTTAACAAGTTCCAGTAAGAAAAGACCAATCCGGCAGTCAAGGAATGAACCCCGGGAGGAGGGAAAAAGAATGTCGCCGTTGGTTTCTTGGGCTTGCGAATGCCGTTCATCAGCGGTGGGCCGACTTCCTGGGACAAGATGGCGACCCGGAACTCGGCTTTTGTCCTTGTTAGGCTGTTTCTAGGTGGTTGGCTGTATCTTGCTTAGACTTAGACAAAGAGTAGGAGGTCAGTAGTTCAGCACGCCATGGCAACCTTGAACCTTCAACGACGGTAACCGTACAGTACAAGGAACTGCAGAGGGCAGACAACAAGAAATCAAAGGACCGTTTCGCTACGCTCACTGCGTCAATTATCAACTTTTTTTCAGGCAGCCAACTGATTTCCTCCCCCCCTGCAATTAACCAGCTTCGCCACTCCTCCTAGCGCCATTTCGAATGCAGGCATACATGTCTTGCATGTGTAGAATGAGCCTGATAAGCTCATGATGGTGCTAGCAACGAGTGAACAGTGTTTTCCCCTGCACTTGGCCGCCACTGCCACTGGAGGGGAGCACCGATATGCACGGGATGGTGACACAGAGCTATGTGGCCGCCAATTGCTTGGCTCGTCAAAGAGCTGCAGCATGCAGGGTGAAGCGCCACTATGCCTTGCAAGGCTCGCATCGGTGGTTGGGAAGCGAATTTGTTGGCGGCGTCCAGAGAACCGGTTGGCAAGTGAACTTCCCCGCGTACCCGGGCAAGTCTTTTGGAGCTTCATCTCTTTATTCTTGAGTTGTGGTATTTGTATCTTGACACAACACTGGACAGTAACGATCCGACGACCTTTACATTACGCTCCCCTGGGCCTTTTCCCACTCTCCTGGCATTCTTGATTAAGTCACGCATTACTTCTGGTTTGCCCTTTCAGCATTGATTTAGCTAGAAGTCGAGGCAGTGCGCTGCACTGGCCGGCTTTAGTTGATGCATCATGGACCCAGCAACCTCGATCGGCATGGTCTCTGGGATCCTATCATTCGTGACATTCGCCTGGAAACTCGTCAAAGGTGGCGCCGAGATATACCGCCAAGGAACCCTCGCCGAAAACGCGACACTCGAAGATGTCCTTCACCGCGCGGAGGCATTTCACGTCAGGCTGCAGCAGATACCGTCAGGGCAAGGGGCCTCCTCCTCGATGGACGTTCTCCTATACAACCTGGCAAAGGACTGCCAAACAGTTTCTGGCGACCTTATCCGCCTTTTAGGATCTATGAAGCACCCAGATACGCAGGGATTGCAGGCGAAATGGAAGTTGATGGTTGCATCGTGGAACAACGTCATTCACGCGAAGGAGAGGACAGAGTTGGAGGAGAAATTGGGTCGATGCGAAACCCGGCTGTCTGCGGTTCTAATATACTCCTCAAGGTGCGCATATCTGTATACTTTTAGGTATCCCGTTGAATATATTACTGACCTGCCGAAGCGTTTCCATCTCGGATCTCGGCCATGCCGCGGAAAAGAACAGCACCATCCTCGTCCAGCTTCTGACCAACGTGGATGAGCTCAAGCGGGAACTCCAAACCCAGAACGGCGACCGGTCCTGGATGGACGGCCGCGACCGAAAGGCCATTGAAACCCTTATTGGAAGGCAAGAAGAAGTTATCCACAAAGTTGCCCACTCCAGAATTTTGCGAGCACTTCGGTACCAGAACATGAGGGACCGTGATGATAGTTTGCAAGAACACCTCGATAATATACAACAGCAACTGCGAACCGTCGGTGGCTCCTACAGTTGGCTTTGCGGGCCCGAAATTGATTCTCTGCCCGAAGATGCCGAAGAAGCCGCCATGATGAAAGACGCCCGTGACAAACTCCGTCAATGGCTCTCTTCAGATGGCGGCATATTCCACATCGCTGGAAAGTTCGGTTCCGGAAAATCAACCCTGATGCAACTTCTTCGCAATCATCCAGAAATCACGAACCAGTTGGAGAGATGGGCGGGCCAAAGAACTTTGGTCAAACCTGCCTACTTCTTCTCGGTCATGGTTGGTGGGCCCCAGCAACAACTCAGCGGCTTGTTCAAGACACTTCTGCATGACATCCTTAAGGAGTGCCCCGAGCTGGCGCCAGAGGTCCTACCTGAAATATGGAGAACAGCGCTCGACCAGCCATGGCAAGCGAGCGGGACACACCTTACAATCAGCCCGTCACTTGTTGAAGCTGCCCTCCGCAAAATCATCTGCGATGAGCGGTTTTCCACTCAGTACTGTTTCTGTATTTTCATCGACGCCCTGGATGAATACCAAGACTCTGGTGGCAGGGATCAAACTGATCTGGTTGACTTGTTACATGAGTGGGCTCCAGAAACCAGTGAGAACGTGAAACTGTGCGTGGCTAGCAGGGAGGAACCTGCGTTCTACAATAAGTTTCCTGTTAACGCCACCTTACGCCTTCACGAGTTGACCCGGTTTGACATGCGGCGTTTCGTAATGCAACGGCTGCCCAAGATTCCCGAAGATGTCAGAAACTCAATTGTGGAGGAGATCCCTCAAAAAGCGGAAGGGATCTTTTTGTGGGCGACTTTGGTTATTCAAGAGATCCGTGAGGACTGGGAGTCTACCGGCGAAGTGGACATTCATGTTCTCGACAAGTTCCCAGCTGGATTCCGGCCGTTGGTCGACAGGATCGTGGCGAGCATTCCTGAAAGGCACCGAAGGAAAGCTTACCTTACATTTCTTATGGTTACATTCTCGAAAAATCACAAGATCCCACTGACTGCCCCCCAGTACTCTTTCCTTGAAGAGTATTGTAGGGATCCGTCGTTTGCCCATAGAATGGCCATTGTGAACTGGGAAGATTTCGTACGGAAAAGGGGTATCCTATTTGACCGTATCAGCCAAAGAAAGAATCAGGCATACAAGTACTTACGCCTTTGGTGCAAGGGGCTGGTGGAGACGCACCAAACGGAGGAGCACTATTATTCCGACACCGAGGACTGTCGGATTATTGAGTCGCCCGCGATAAGCCCGGTAATTAACTTCGCGCACCGGTCGATCCTGGAATATTTCCGGGATCCTCTAATCGAAGAGAGGCTGATGGATGCTGTCGGCTTTTCATCGCTCACTGAGGTGGCCGATGCGATATGCCAAACCTTCTTAGCTGAGCTTAGCTTTGGCAGTGCCTTTAGCCACCGTCGGTCCAGGTTCATGAACCGTCTGCTTGATTTTCGGCAAATCAGAGGAATGGATGCGCCTCCGTACGACTTTCTGGAACGCTTGGAAGCTGTCTTCGAGCAGACACAGTTACCCATTCTTCTAGGAATAGATGGTCGGGAGTCCGGGCGTCGAGCCGAAGATCATGAAATTGGATGGCTTAAGGGGTGGGGTATGTACCCTCGCCAGGCTGTTATAAGCCCACTTGTTGCTACATTTGTGGACAAGCCAACCCACAATCATTATTCCTTATGGACGCTTGATAACAGCCCTCGGACGTGGTTGTTGAACAGTGCAATGGCACTTCTACTCACCTGGGGATATCTCGAACAGCCAAGAACATCGCCACATCTATCCAAGACCGGCACCGAACTTTTCCAGAGGTCGTGCACAAAGCTGTGGCCATATCTTGACAGGAAATCTGGCGTTTGGATAGAATATACAACTTATGTTCAGAGAGTCGGAGGACGAATCCTCGGGCCAAGACTATGTACATTGGACCCTGAAGGCATGGTTGTATGGCACCACTATCCGCTTATGGAGCTTTACGCGTTGTTGTGTCTTGGCTGCGATGAATGGGTCAAGACGAACGCTGGCGTTTTTGGACAAGTGATGGAAATATTTTTGAGGTTGGGGGCCAACCCGGACTGTTCATTTGGAGTGGAGGTCCCGCCCCCGGGGAGCTATACAGATTTACGCATTTATGTTATCAACGCGAGTGGGGATGGTAAGAAAGATAAAGCAGGGAAGTGTTGGCCGGCAATAGATCACAACAAGGATTTTCTGGAGGGTATTGAGGAATTACCCTTTTACAAACACGGTGAGGTGATGGAATGGACCCTGCGCGAATGGATCGAATGGCTCGACGTCCCAAACAAGAACACGCTCCTTCAGCTCGTCAATGAGAGGCTTGCTGCGAATGCCATTGGTGCGGCAGACCCGACTGGCGACGCGCAACTAACTGGGACACTCGAAAACGGTACCTCAAAACTCCTTGGCGCGCCTGACACAGAATTGGACCGCTCTGGGAAGGAACCCGAGGTATCTGCTGTTGACCCGCCAGCCGCTGGGGATAGCGTCTCACAACCCGGGTCAGGAGGTGAAAATACGCCGGATGGGGAAGTGGAGGAGTATGGAGGGGAGATGGAGAAAAGCGATGAGGAAGGTAGTCAGGCGGAGACTCAGGAGAAAGGTCAAGGGGATTCCCGCGAGACACCTCACAAAGAGGAAGTACTGGGAGAAGAGGATCAGAGAGCAAGCGACGCACCAACCGCCAACACCGAGCAGCCCGGGGTGGAGAAGTTGGACCATGGTCTTGTCGAAACCTTGAGGCGTGTTGCAGTGGATAGGGACATGGTTGGGTACCTGCTGACTTTTGTTATGGGTAAGCCTGAGTTCCTTGCAGTGTGCTTTTCTAAGTTTGGCGAACTGACTTTTTTACCCGACAGGTTCGATCTTTGCGATGTTGGTCTCTTATGTTTTGTGATGGGTGATGTTGTTTGCCGTGTTGGTCTGCTTTTCGTCATTTTTGGATGGGTTTTGGGGTGTCTGATTTACTCTGGTTCTCTTCTTTCTTTGCGCGGTTTTGTTTCGTTTGTCTTTTGTTCCTTTCGTGACGCTACTCAATTTCATGACGTATATTTGCTCATAGACGTACAGTTTTAGTTTCCATGTCTTATCATCGTGCCCTTTACGTTCGTCTCCTTTTCGCCATCGGTGAAAGAGCCAAGAGAATCCGCAAGTCAGAACCGGGACTTTATGCTACAAACTCTGTAAACAGCGACGAGGGAACGACAACGCTCTCGCAAAAGGACCCTCCCTCGCGTCAGTCGGTCCTGGGCCACGACCTCGTTGCCTCAGTGATGTGTTCACTGTGTATGGATGTGGACAGACAATAAAGAGTGGGAATTGTTATTATGAAGAACAAACCTTGCCAAATGGCCATCTTTAGTTTGTCTTGAAATTAACGATCCATGCCCGGCTACTTTACAGTTCGTTTGCATGTGTCGTCAGGTGTCGTTGACTCGGACGTCCGAAAAAGGAAAGTGGCGGCCCGGCCCCACCAGCGACCGGACGGAGAAGTGGGGCCGCTACAGCCCCGCTGATTTCTTCTATATCTTTGACATCTTCTTGTAAATAATGAGGCAAGATATGGTGACACTTTAAGATAATGTTTGATACAGAGTTGGTTAAGTCATGAGAGAAATCCAAGTTTGTCTGGTGCAAATATGTAGTTATCCATTGTCGCTAACAAAAATCCAAACTCCCCACATCTATTAACTCCGAACTCATGTCTCCACGAGATGTGGAGGCGAGCTTATTGGCCATACATGACAATGCTAAATCCCGCGGTATCAATGGGCTGTAATACGCTCTCTCTGCTGCTGCTGCTGATACTGCTGCCGGATTGCTGCCGAAGCCAGTCGTTCGGGCGTTGGACGAAATGTACGCATGCCGTACCACTTCCCATACATCGGTTTGTCGCCACCTATAGGTTTCCGCCATCTCCCTCGAATTCGATGGCGAGGAATGGGTAGATGAGGCTCTGGTTCTATATCGGTTGCCAGTATCTCTGGCCCCAGCGAAATGAGTTGGGTTTGATGTCTCGTCTCTGGAAAGGCCTCGTGCCTGTCGTATCCGTAGAGCAGATCAGGGGCCGGGTTGCTGATCTTGCGATGCTTACATCGCAGTGGGGAGAGTGCGTGCTTGTCTATCGGGCTTGTAAACCGCGGCGGAGGTATAATACCTTCAGCATTGGCCGATTCATATTTTTGGTAACATGTCACTTATCCTATCCCAAACAAGTCACTGCTTTTAACCGATATCACTTATGTGATCCTGTATATTGTCCTGTCCCACCGATTCATTCCACTTCACCATCACCACATTAACTAGTCACACCTGGGTGAGCAAATACCAACTCTATTTATATAGCGCCCCTAGCTGAGCAGATATTCAACACCCTCAAATCGTAAACCCAACGCCCTAAGACTTATGTACCCTTCCTAGACCGTCGCCCTAACCCCGCCTGCTTAACAGGGTAAGCTACCTAACCTGGCTGTTGTTCATCCCCTACATCTCTCACCTCGTCTCGCCCCCCATCCCCCATTCACAACCCAATCTAGACACGCTACTAAACCAAGCAAACCTACCAAGTAACCCCAACCCCCCCTCCCATCCCCATCATACCATACCCCCACAACCACGGCGACAGCTCTTCCCCATTCCCATTCCCATTCCCACCAAACAACGCCATCCCCGCTTCCCCTCCTCCTTCCCCTGTGATATCCACCCCCGGCTCACTCATCAGATCTGGCAGGAGGATATCATGGAGCAGAGGAAGTGGAGAGAGGGTGATGTCTATGCTTAGTGGGGGTGTCATATTTGGTTGAGGTGTTGATGATGATGTGTTTGTGTGGGTTGGAACGCTGAGATGGGTGTCAGGATAAGGACTGGGGTGTGTCGTAGCAGGGTTGGTGGTGTGGAGGTTGGGACTGGGGTTGGTTGTTGGGTTGGAGTGGGTGTGAGAGTGGGGAGTGAGATGTGAGCTAGGGGGAGATGTGAAGTGCGCCGGGTTCGGCGTCGAGGCTAGACTGGGCGTGTTGTGTGTGAGAATGGAGTGCGGATGCGGGTATGGGCTGGCCTGGGACTCGGTCGGGTGGTTTGGGGTGTTGTTGTGCACTGGGTGATAATAACTTCCTGAGCCTGACCCTCCTGAGAAAGGAGGCGGAGGCGGGGGCGGAAGTGGATAGCCATGTAGATGTGGCTGCGGTGAGGGATACGGAAGAGGCCCGTGAGCTACAGGTGTTGATGGCGCGGCGGGTGCAGTTGTGACGATGGTAGTGACGGGATCGTAGAATGTCCTATGCGGTCGTTCCTGGGGTTCTTGGTGGTGTTTCTCTTGATGTGGCTGTTGCTGTTGTTGATGTGGCTGTTGCTGTTGTTGATGTGACTGCTGTTGTTGTTGATGTGGCTGCTGCTGTTGGTGTTGTTGCTGTGGTTGATGTTGTTGCTGGCGTTCCTCCTGGGGTTTCTGCTGCTGCTGGCGCTGCGACCCTTCCCGATCAGCTAGCGCCTCAAACATCACCAGACACTGCCCAGAAAACGGCGTGAGATGAGCATGCGCACGGCAAGCGTGGATCACCAGGGCAATCGTATCCGCAGACAGCGTCGGCAACGACGACATAGACGCACTCGGCGTCTGCTGCTGGTGCTGGTGATGTAGTGCCGCGGCTAGCAACACAATCCCGGCTACATGTAAATACAACACACGTTGCCACCAGGGGATGTCGACGTGTCTGTGGTCCCCGTCTGCGGTAGTGCTGGCCCGGTTGGCATCCCTCGATGTGTAAGAACCGGGATTACTCGGATTACTGCCAGTGGTAGACGGCGGCCGAGGACAGCACTCGTCCACAAGCAGGCGAAGTAAGATTTGTGCATTCTCCACGCACAGCGCAGCAGACTCCTCGACGATGCGACTCCTGAGGGTGCCGCCGAGGGGTTTCTCGGGGGTAGTGCCATCAGGGGCCGGCTCCGGGGGTCGCAGCAGGCAGTGCCGAGCCAGCATGGGCCGGAAGAGGGTGAGGCGGGCATGGAGGGTTCTTCTGATGTTAGTGAGGAAACAACAAAAAAAGAAAAAAAAAAGGGAAGAAAAAGAAAGGCGAAGAGTAAAAAGGAGAAAAAACTTACCTCATCCGCAAAAGCACGGCCTGCGTATGCAAAACCCGATCACCACCACCACCATCACCCCTCTCCCGTGGCACATACCCCATCTCAGCCGTAAACTCCCTCTCCCACCGCTCCAGCGCAACATCAAACCGCGAGACATTATTCAAATGCTCCTCGAACCGCGATACAGGCGGCGGTGCCGACCGTGGAGGGACACCAGAAGAGCCGGGACCGACACGGAAGGAGTGGAAGGATAGCGAGATGAGGTTCCAGATGTCGTATAGTTTCATGGTGAGGCACATGTACCGGTCGCTGCTGGGATCGTCGTGGGGGTCGGAGGTTTGATGGGCTAGGTGCGGGTGGGTTGTGGGGAGGTAGACGGCTGATGCTCGGCCGGTCATCCAGGAGACTTGTCTGTGTGTATGTTAGTGTCAGTGTTAACTTTTCTCAGATCCTATGAGAGGGAAGCACGTTACCTGTCGGCAAAGACACAGAGCTGCCATAACCGCCTCCTAAACCCCTTCCCACTCCCACTCCCACTTTTACTTCCACTCCCACCTGTACCAGAAACCCCACTCCCTTTCTCCTTCAGATCCCCCCGATCCAACCCCATACTCTGCGCCATCCTCACCGCGGCCCCCACAACCATCCACGTCCGATGCGGATTACTCGAGCACTGCAAATACCTCCCCATCATCAACAAGCACTGCACCGTCTCAACCCCAACCGCCTCCGTCGCAAACAACAACAGATCCTGCCCGCACATAAAAAACAACCCCCACGCCCGTCGGAAATACATCCCCCCCACCCGGTCCCGCTCTCGGGCTGGGATGGTTTCTTGGAGTTGAGTTGCCAGGGCGAAGACGATGTTTAAGGTGGCGAGGAAGATGCGGTCGTCAACACCACTTCCCGGCTTGGCGATGGGATTAGCGAAAAGGGCATCATACCGCCCGCGAAAAGCATGCTCGTCAAGAAACGGTTCCAAAGGCTGAATATGCGACCAGTACAGCCCAACTAGATAATCTGCTTCATGCCGAGGCGGAAGTGCAGTAACATTCGCATTCCCTTCTTCCCCCTGATGGGAACTGCTGTTGTTATCGGTATTCGAAGAGGCACCAGCACCAGGCGGGTCTTCATCCAACCGGAGATCAAACAGCGGCGCATCCTTAAACGGCGTCAGACTAGCCCCCCGCTTCCCCGGTGGGATCCCCAGACGTGAATCCCATGCTGCGCGCACTTCGCCGGCCCACACGCCGTGGACATACCCGCGTGGGGGTTCCGAGTCGTCTGGTGCATCCTCGTGGGGTTGGGTGGCGCCGGGGGTTGGGGCCGGTGTTGATGAGGATGGGTTACGGGGGGGATAATGATAGGATCCTGTCGGTGGTGGTGGTGGTGGTAGTTGTGGTGGTGGGAGAGAGGGTGGAGCGTGGCCGGAGAGTAAAGGCCGATGCCAGGTTGGATCCCGGTCTACGCTGGGTCCGGGTCCGGGTCCCGGAGTCCGGCTGGGCTCGACCAGGCGAGGGGTGGGACCGGAGCCGGAAACGCCTGTGGATTCCGATCCGCTGGGTTCGGGGCGATAGACGCAGGGGGTGCGTTTTTTGTGACATTGGTTGCACACTGCAGGGTGTCAGTCTTCATGTGCGTATGTAATCATGTTCAGCGTAACCCTCGTTTTGTCCCGTGGAACGGAGATGAAAAGATAAATTAGCAACATACCCGGCCGCGACCCGTCACACTTCTTTTTCCTCGCCCGGCACAGCTCACACGCCACCGCAATCTTCAACCTCTTCGGCCGTGGTCCCTCGACTTCCGTCTGCATGGTTATGAATTTGGTGTCTGTGGTGTATGCGTGTTGTAATAATCAATCCGTAACGAAACCCGCAGTTACCGTGTACTGAACCCGTCACGCGTGTAACGTCACCCAAACACACCCCAGTCGCACGACACACCCACACCGTCCTGCGTGGTAACGAACGTGCAGCGCCGTGCCGTGTCCTGCCCTGTCCGTCCGTAACACAGTTGGTTGTCAGGATTGGGAATGCGGAATGCGAAACGCGGGATGCAGAGTGGAAAAGGGCGGAACAGAGGGCGGAGGCCAGCGAGAAAGACACCCTGACGGTGCATGCGAAAATGAGGGGGAGATTGGACGCTGGGCGGAACCCGCGTTGATTGGTGTCTTGCTTTCGTCCTTTGACTGGACAAACTGCTGGCGAGTCGGGGGTGGAGCCCCGACGCCCGGCGCCGGGCCGGCTGGTCATATCTAACTAACCCTAACCCCGCTACATCCCTTCCATATCTTCGACGTTTTCCATGTCTTCAGCATCTGCAACCAAAACCCTCCAACGTTAAGGTGTTGTCCCTGTGGCGTAGGCGTACAATGTTCTATTGATTGATCTTAAGGAGGAGAAAGGGAAGGCATTTAGCTACAGAAGAGGGCATATCATGTGACCCTACCCTAACCCTGGCTCCCGGCCCCAGCACAGTGTCCATATAAGGTTGTGTTGATGGTCCGTGCTCTTCCTCCGTTTTAGTCATGTGATCCGTCTATTTTCACGTTTTAGATTTATCTTTTTTGTCTTTTTTCACTTTTTCACCCTTTCAGTTTATTCTTTTTGATCTTTTTTCACTTTTCAGTTTATTCTTTTTTGTATTTTTTTCACTTTTGTAGAAAAACAAGTTATCTAACAACTTGGTCTGCCGCTTTTTTTGGCCACAGCGAGCCCAGGCATCGCATGATCGCCCACGGGTGACAGAACCCTGGTCGGCCGAGGGCCGGACCTTAACACCAACTTCCATCTCACTCCTGCGTTCTCTCGCTGGTCTTGTATCTCTTGCAGCCGGTGTCGGGTTCGTCAAAGGGCGCCGGTCGAGATTTTGACGCCGCGGACACCTTCTTCCTGTTCTCCACCAGCGTGTCAAGAGACCCCTGGATTTCGCGGAGCCGTTTGTCCTTGCCCCAATCGAGGATGTTTAGAACGTATTTTCGGAACTTGATGTAGTGTTCAGGCTGCTGTAGCGCAAAAGTATCAACGTGTGCCGTATAGTAATCGAGTTCGAAATGCTTCCACGAGACGAAAAGGCACGCGAGCCCAGTGTTCATGGCAATACTGAACGCCGCGGAATCAATGAGTTTCACGTTCTCGCTGCCAGATTGCTTAAGCTGCTCATTCAGGCGTTCATCAAGATGTACGCATGCCGTACCACTTCCAAGACATTGGTTCGTCGCTACCCACATGTTTCCACTATCTCCCTTGAATTCGACAGTAAAGAACGGGTAGATCAAACTCGGGCTTCCATCGGTTGCCATGAGCTCTGGTCCCATCGAAATGAGTTGAGTTTGCTGTCTCTCCTCTGGAAAAGCCTGGAGCTTGCGGTATCCATAGAGCAGATCGGGGGCGGGGTTGCTGACTTTGTAGTTGGATTGCAATGGGGGAAGAGTGTGCTTAGCCATCGGCTCTCGTCCACTCCATTGGAGCTGGTCAGTCGCCTCGATGGAAGGGACAATGTGGTGCTTGAAATAGTCCTCGACCTCAAACGCCTCGGCCCCCAGCAACAAGCCCTGCAGCTCTCTATTATTCTCGACCTCGTCGACGGATGGGCCAGGAGATTTCCTGTCACGGCGCATCGAATCCACCAACTTCGACAGATCTTCGGGAAGCGGGTCGCATGGATGCTGCATATAAATGCCGTTTACAGCAAGATTATAGTCCCGGTAGAATGGTTCTTCAACCAAGCTTCTCTCGGTTGATCGACTGGAGTTAGGGGTCACGCCCGTGATGGCCGAAATGGAGGCAGGCCCCTGCGGGATCGCGAACCCATCCTCATATAGTGTCTGGTCCATTATTGGGGCCGACCTTGCTAGTCGTCTTGACACAAGCTCTTCGCTGTTGGGGAGAGAAAAGTGTCGATCTGGTCGGGAAAGATGGCAGTCGGGCCGGCAGCGCCTCTTCCTATCCGTCCCAATGGTTTCGAGCCACTCAAATATGGCTTTGTGGAAAGGCTGAGGGTGACGTTGAAGGTCAACCGGGTCAAGAAAGTCTCGGAGGAAGGGAGCGCCGGGGAGGTGGACACGTTTGGGTTGAGGCTGTTGAAGGTGAATCTACAATGGTCCCTAGCTAGCCTATGATTCTTTTCATCACGGACCTCCTGATGCTCCGGTGCTCATACCCAAGCCGGCTCCTCACTGTTCTCGACAACCCCAAGTTGTGTTGTGTTCGTTGGTGCCAATTGAGTGTTTTTCGCAGCAGTCGAATTTCTGCGAACTGGGCGATGCGCCTTCGCGACCTGCCTGTTCATCTGGTGCGCAGAATTATCCATTGGCCCAGAGGTTGCAAGATCTGTGCAGTGTGCACAGGGAAGTTGAGGGAACGGCGGCTTGCTGTGGCCAAAAAAAAAAAAAAAGTGGCAGACCAAGGTCCTTCGATGTGCCACAGTGCGACTTTTCTACAACCATAAAAAGCAGAGAGGAAGGAGCATAATCAAACAAGCAAAAGACGACAAAAAAGAATGAACCAAAAAAGTGAAAGAAGACAAAAAAGGATAAATCAAAACAGTGAAAGATGACAAAAAAGGATGATAAATAAGAAAAGTGAAAAGAGAGGAAAAAGAATATTCAATCACACTATTGACAGGTTTAAACTAGGTTTCAAACAACAATATACGGCCATATAGGTATTAGGTTCCTAGGTAGCTATTCCAGTTATAGCCGTTAAAGGCCATTAAAATTTGATCGAATGTTGCCAAACTGGACTTGGGTTATCTGTTTTGGCCTGCCGCTTTTTTTGGTCACAGCGAGCGCAGCCTGTCACCTGTATCCACTCACTAGAAATACCGTATGCTTGCGCTTGCGGTTTAATCAAGCGCCTGTCAGTTGCCTCTTTCCGCAGCATCTCTTCTTGACTCTCCAAAGTACCTTGCTCGAGCTTGAAACTACTGCCAGAGGTGGCGGGTGGCGGCCAACTCAAGGTACTTGAGTCAGCGACCTCGGTTTTGAAGACAAGGCTCACCGAGATGTGGGTAGTTTCAGGTTTGTGTAGCTGGTGGCCGGCTGTAAAATCCTGTACCCATTCATGGACTTAAAGTTGGAAAACCAACATCAGGAGACAGCGTCTCGCCCACCGACCACCGCGGCCGAGAATGGGCCAGTGGTGGGATGCCCACACCGACTTCACCAAACGCGGATTGAAGGCCCAACAATCACCTGTTGGGGAGGACGCTCCCTGGAAATGCTGCGAAGATTCGGACGTCCATTGAGTCAACAACAGCCGACAACATATGTAAACAGAATGTAGAACAGCCGGGCAGGGATGTTTATTTCAAGACAGAGAAGGCGATTTTGTGCTCTTCATGGTGCCAATTTTCTACTCTCCATTCCATCTGCACATCCATAACACTGTGAACATATCCCTGAAGGGGAGACAATAGGCTGGTTGTAGGTAGCGGTCCTTCTTCGTGAGGTGGGGGTTGTTGTGAGCTGAAAGCGCAGGGGGCGGGTGTAGTTTTGCCGTGAATTGATATGGGGAAGGAGAGGAGGAAAGAGGAGGAAAAAGAGAAAGACTTTCTTGATGTTGGAAGGGTTGTAGAGAAGGGATGGTGAGAGTTGAGAGATGAGAGATGAGGGTACAGCAATGAATAACAAGGGAACTTAGTCAAGCAGGCTGGGCGAGGTGGGAAGAAAGGAGAAATAGAAAATGAACTCAGCACTTAACCACATGGATGGCAGACCGTGTACCCGCGTCGAGGACCGGAGATATCTCACTGTAAAGTGTAGTGATGGTGGTATAGTTCACAAGCTGGAGTCTATCGAGCGTCACGGCCCATTCCAGATTCACACCATCCCTCGTTTCAGGCGACATAACCCCAACCGAAATAACAACCCCGCCTCGACAGAAACAACACATTTCCATTGCATTTGATTCGACCTAACCCTAGCCAGTAGTCCCAAGCCCATCCCTACCCGTGGTATCATCCCATATCTGAAGTATAACAAACAAACATACAACCTCCAATATGAGCGCCCCGCCTGCTTCATTTACATTGGACAAATATGCGGCGCTGAATTAAAACAAAACCTCGTATCCCGCTTCTTCCATCTTGTAATAACAACCTCACAACTTACAATATCTGCCACACTTCATATTCCACAACTTCAAACTCAACTCAATGACCCAGATCCTGACCCCTCGGATACACCAGCCGCAACTGGCACGGCATGCTGTTGTTGTGGTGGTTGTGGTTGCTGCTGCTGCTGTGGTGACCGTTGGTGTTGGTGTTGCGGTTGGTGTTGTGGTTGTTGTTGTTTTTGCTGTAACTGCGGCGATTGTTGATGTTGCGGGCTCGGCTGCTGCTGGAGCTGTCGCTGCGGTTGTTGCTGTAACTGCTGTTGCTGTTGTTTCTGCTGCAACTGCGGTGATTGTTGTTGTTGCTGTTGGGGATGCTGGGGTTTTTGTTGAACCTGCTGCTGCTGCTGCTGCTGCTGTGATTGAGCCTGCGCCTGCCCCTCACTAGTCGTAGACGCCGCAATCGCCGCCTTAAGCGTCTCCAACAACTTGGTATCCTGCGCATGGTCTGGCGTCGAGTGGTGGTTTGGTGGGATGGGAGGTGTCTGGAGGGGTTGGACCGGTTGAGCTGGTTGAGCCTGTGCGTGACTCTGAGGTTGGGCATGTGCTTGATTCTGTGCTGGAGACGGTGGATGGGCCTGCTGTGCGTTGGCTGGCGGTGCTCGATGTTGTGCGGGTTGTGTCTGTGTTTGTGGTGTCTGCTGTGGTATGGGTTGTGATGACTGTGGTGGTGCCGCTGTCGTAGGCCGCGGCGCTTGGGGATGAGGTCGAGGTTGAGACGACCCCGGCTGCCCTGGATGATGTGGTTGAGGCGTCGACTGGTAAGCCGATTGCGGTTGAGTTGGACGTGCTGGGTGTGCGCTCTGCTGTTGCGTCTGCTGCATCTGCCCCTGTTGCTGTTGGGGTCGAGGTTGCCCTGCCGCCGGCGGCCTGTGTCCATCCGCCTGCTGTGGCTTCTGCGGCTGCTGCAATGGTTGATACTGTTGTTGCATCTGCGGCCTTCCCTGCTGCTGCCCCGGCTGCCCCTGCGGCTGAAGAGCCGGGAGATGACTTCTGGCCTGCTGCACGGCCGATCCCGGTGCCGGTGCCGGCTGGATCGGCGGAAAAGCCGTGACCTTATGCAGGGCACTCTGGTCAGATGCCTCCGTCTTGATCCGAGGCATCCCCGCCACCGCACCGTTCGCCTGAGAACCCGCGCCAGCACCTATCCCTCCAAAGCCAGGGGTAGAAGGACTAACTCGCTTGGGTGGCCCCAGCTGCGCGTTCGTAATCGGATGGTGGTTATTCTGCAGACCCCCAGCCAGTGCAAATATCCCCTGCACCCGCGCCCGCTCCTCCTCGGTATTCATCCGCGCCTTCTCCTCCGCCTCCTTCCGAGCCGCCTGCCCGGGCGCGCGCGTCTTCAGCTCCCCGGTCACGCTTTGCAGGTAGTACGGCATCTCCGAGTTTGTCTTCAGGAAGAACAGCTTCAGGTTCCGCGCTTTATCCTTCAGCTGCACCTGCGTCCGATCCTTGAGAATGTCTGAGATGGTCCCCTGCGGCCCGAACAGCGACAAGATCTGGCTCCAGTGGGGGCCTTTAACCATATCCAGTCCAGCCATGAGCGCTTTCTCCTCTTCCGGGGTCCATGGTCGCCTCGTCGAGTGCAGCCCCTCGCGCCGAGTGGTGTTGGACGACTTCGCAACGGCTGCTTGCCGGGCCTTCTCATAAAGGGCGGCCGTGGGCATTGATTGGTTGGGCGGTAGCAGGTCGCCGTTGGCCCCGACAGTTGGGGCTCCCTGAGGGTAAGATGGGTACTGTGTAGAGTGGCCCTGGTTGGGCTGGCCGGGATACTGTGGGTGGACTGTCTGGAAGTTAGCATATTTTCCTTAGAACTTGGCTCTTGGGGGAGAATCTTACCATTAGGCGAGTGCCCCCCCCCTAGAAGATTCGGCAGGCCATGCGGGAGATCCAACTCAGTCTTCAGTTTCTCCGAAATAAACGACGCCAGATTCTTCGAATCCAAATCCGGTGTCCCATTCTCACCATCCATATCCGCCGACGGAATCTTCAAATCCGGAACGTGTGAAAGCGAGTCCTCAATCAACTTCCTAAGCGCGAGGCCCTCGTCATCCGTCGCGTTCTGGTCTCCCACAGCGCCCAGTAAGCCGTCTCTCCCAGACAGCAAATCACCGTCCGTTTGGCCGAGATGAGATTGCAGCAGGGCCACGAGATTATCGTCCGGCTGCGCACCCCTCGGATCAGGTGCGGGAATCGTGTCCTCTTCGTTCAGGGGAATGTTCACGCCATATTTCTCGGCGTAGTCTACCACAATGCCGAGATGGCCTTCCAGGAACGAACTCAGGCTCTCGGCAAACCGTGAGCTCGATGATTGCTCCTCGAGAGTTCCTGCAAAGGTCAGCAAACTATCACTAATACGGTAATTACCCTGCCTCAAAAAACCTACTTTTAATCCCATCATCAGCAGCACTCTTGACCAACTGCTCTCTCCTCTCCCGGATTTTCGCAACCAGCACCTCCTCATCCCCATTCAACACCGGCTCCCCGCTGCGTTGCTTGACAATCTCCTCAAAATTAACCGGAAACAACGAATCCAACAACTGCGACAGCGGCTGCGACGGCTCCGTCTTATTCAGCGCATCCAGCAACATGCGCGTCTTCAACGACACAAACAAGTCCGTCACAGACGCCTTATACTCCCCGTCCTCGGGGATGAAAATCGACAAAAAGACCTCGTGTACATCGTGGGCGGCTACATCGTGCGCGCCAAACACGCTGGCGGCGGCCGCGGCCAAGTTGGACATGCGTATCGTCTCGCGGTCTTCGGAATCGGTGATGTCGAGCTCGTCGGGGGAGAGCAGCGGCGAATCGGAAAAGGCCTTGCGCGTCTCGCGGAACATGTCGCGCAGCATGTCGTAGGATCGGCGGAACTCGGAGGCCGTGTCGGCGAGGAGCGCATCGGTCTCGGCCCGCGATTGTTGCGAGAGCCGGAGCAGGATCTGCACCGCGATGTTGCCCAGCACCGGCAGGCTCATGGAGCGCATTACGTAGAACGGGTTGCTGGACGCCTTCATAATCTTGCCTTCTTCCTTGCCGGCCTCCGGCGTGGCCGTGGTTTCTGGCTCGGCTGGTTGCGTGTTTTCGATGTCGGGCATGGCGATGTCGCCGTCTTCTGGGACGGTGTGCTGGTCGAAGTTCGCAAGTGCATCGTTCAGAAGGGCGGCAAAGTCGACACTCTGTGTCCCCGTGGCGTCTGGTCCATGGCTCGGCTGATCTGTCCTTTGCCTCTTGATGTTGCTCTCATCGGTCCCGTCAGGACTCCTGGGGCGTTTTGGAGACCGCGCTCCTGGCATCTCTTGAGCTAGGGCGGTAGATGTAGGCGGCTGAGGTTGTTGGGGCCCTGCATTGGGCTGGGGGGGTAATGTATTTTGTGGAGGAAGCTGAGGTTTGTGGAGAGTAGGGGTCGAGGCTTTCGGCGTTGCGTCCGGCGCAGCGCGCGAATCGAGGGGGGAAGTCATCGTCGGTAATGGCGCATTGACGGCCGAGGGAACAGGAGCCGGTACGGGGGCGGCCGCCGCCGGGGCCGAGGTTACGGTAGTTGGCGCAGGAGGGAGTGGTTCTGTCGAAGTCGGAGATACAACATGAGAGAGTGAAGGGCGCCCAGCGGCATCGTTCGATGGCTGCTGTGGCTGGGCATTGGATTGGGTCGGGATATCAACTGGAGGCGCAGGTCCCGGCGCGCCGAGGGCAGCCAGAAGCTCTGCTTCTAATTCCGACGTGTCGGCCATGGCGAACAAGACCAGGCCATGCAGCCCGCGCAGCCGGGGTTAACGTGGTGGTTGGCACCGATGACGTTCGAGTCGCGGGCCAATTGGCGGATCAAAACGGGGGAACCGTCGCGAACGGAAGGGCGCCGGTCGTGGGAATCAATTGCGTCTACAATGGTATCGATCTGGGGAGTTTCATCACGATGAACGGCAAGCTTCAAAAGGCGACCACTCAGGTGGACGAGACGGCGATGGCTGGGGGGCACCTTCCTGGGCTTGTCGGAGAAATTTTCTGGAGAGCCGCCGACCGCCGAAGCCCTCTTTCCCAGCCCCAAACTTCTTATCGCTTATCGGTGGGGCGATACACACCACCCGAAAACTGCGCTGGGTCTGCAAAACCATTTGACATTGACATTTTTACTGATGAACTGTCAGGAAAGGAACCTCGACTCACAAGCGGGCCAGAATTTGACATTCGACTCTAAACCAAACCCAGCGTGCATCAGTGACTCCATCCGTTTTTGAGATAAATATACACCAAGTGTCGGATCAGACCCTTGTCTTCGGGTTCCGACTCCAAGCTCAGAGTAAAACATGTCTGGAAAGGTGAACAGGAACAACAATGGTCCAGACCTCGAGTCTCGAGGAACAGGGCACCCAAAATTCGTCAAGGACGTCACCAGGTTGCTAAGCAAGGACGCTCGATTCGTACTGTATACCGCACTGTGATTTGCTCTCGCTCCCAATTAGCCCGAACTTCCCTCGAGTTCGGGCTGACCTCCCCGCTACCGAGCAAAGCACCGCTCAGAAAAACAACGCCGGTAACGGATCCCAAAGTGTTACCAGAATCAACCCGCCACTTAGAGTTTCATTGAGGGTTGACTCTAAAGATCGGTTGTCTGAGATACGGTATGTACACAGCGCTGGTCTTCCGGAGACCCGACGCCAAGATCGAGCTCGGCTGGAGGCGTTCGGCCGTGCGGGGTTCTTTGATAGCATCTGCACACAGTGATGCAAATACTCATCCACCAGACACGAGCAAACATAGCGAGACGGCTTTCATGAACAAGTACAGATGGCCTCTTCATTCTGGGCCAGGAGCAATGGAAGTGGTCTCCTGCACGTGGTCCCGTGAGCAGTGTTTCCCCTTCTAGTGTAGATTCCGACGGCCAACCACACCCGGCCGTGGTAACAACGCTTCGGCTCGGCTTAGACAAGCCACGCAGTGTGGGGTAGCACATCTCCGTGCCGACCGGACTGCGGGGAAGCTAGGAAGCGTATCATCACGATCAAAGGGACTTTGGAACGCTCTTTTTTTGAGATTCTATGTCAGTTTTGCCATCATTAGTTTAGATGGGCGAAGCGAGCTTTACTTGCCCTTCACCTAGAGCTGTGACCTTGTAAGCAGCTCCTATAACAGAAATCTGCACACGGAACCGACTCAGACACACGGGCCGATGCGCGGCAGCTTGGAGTTCTGCTATGCACGGATTTTCCTATGAACCGGCCGTGCTGGCCAATTGGACAAGCTTAATCGTAACATTTCGTCCCTTTCGGTCTCGGCCATCGTCACAGCAGACGCAGACAACAATCCCTGATGGACAACTGGAATGCACTAACCCCGCTTAACGACCCCTCCGGAAAATGTCTGTCGGGTTTCCCCGTGGGCCGGCATACATAGTACATACTGTGCATGACAACAATGGAACAAGACTGCTTGCTTGCTCATCAATTGCTGTTCCACTCGGCCGTTTGGAGGAGGGGGGAATCGGAGAAGGCCTGACGTACATAGTGCGGAGCTTGTGGACCATCCGCTCTCCCGGCTTGCCACACCCCGTTGCCCCTTAACTAGGACATCTCGATATTTCCACTTATAAAGCTCGGGCGGGGCACCCCCGTCCCATCTTCTCTTTGACCCCTCGTTCATTTTCCCCATCCAATAATTTGTGGTTTCTCAAAGCGTGATCGAGCTTAATTACGTTGTTCTACCTGACACAGATTACGTTGCGGTTTCGACTCTCCCACAACACTACCACATCATCATCATCATCATCATCATCATCATCATCATCATCATCATCATGGCCAACGTATCCATCCAGCTCAAGACGCCGATTACCGGCGAGTACAAGCAGCCGACAGGACTGTAAGTGCCGCGTAGTACCCCGCAACGCGCCACACGCATTTGAGACCTCCCAAAGCTAACACAACCATTCACCCCTAGCTTCATCAACAACGAGTTCGTAGAGGGCGCAAAGAAGCAGACATTCGAGGTCATCAACCCCACCACAGAAGAAGTCATCTGCTCCGTGCACGAAGCCACCGAGGAGGATGTCGACACCGCCGTTGCCGCGGCCCGCAAGGCCTTCGAGGGCGAGTGGCGTCGCGTCACCCCGCAGCAGCGCGGTGCGCTACTGCTGAAGCTGGCCGACCTCGTCGAGAAGAACCTGGACCTGCTAGCTGCCGTAGAGTCGCTTGACAACGGCAAGTCGATCAGCATGGCCCGCGGTGATGTCGGTGGCGTAGCCGGCTGCATCCGCTACTATGGTGGCTGGGCCGATAAGATTGAGGGCAAGACGATTGATATCAGCCCCGATATGTTCCACTACACAAGGCGGGAGCCGGTGCGTTGCCCATACACCATCCCCGTTGTTTCGAAACATCATCACTGACCACCCAGCTATAGATCGGTGTCTGCGGCCAGATCATCCCCTGGAACTTCCCCCTGCTCATGCTCGCCTGGAAGATCTCTCCCGCCCTCGCCACAGGCAACACCATCGTGATGAAGACCGCCGAGCAAACCCCTCTCTCCGCCCTCGTCTTCGCCAGCCTCGTCAAAGAAGCCGGTTTCCCCCCCGGCGTTCTCAACATCATCTCCGGCTTCGGCAAGACCGCAGGCGCGGCCCTCTCCGCCCACATGGACGTCGACAAGATCGCCTTCACCGGCTCGACCCTCATCGGCCGCACCATCATGAAGGCGGCCGCCTCCTCCAACCTCAAGAAAGTCACCCTCGAACTCGGCGGCAAATCCCCCAACATCGTCTTCAACGACGCCGACATCGAGGAGGCCATCAGCTGGGTCAACTTCGGCATCTACTACAACCACGGCCAATGCTGCTGCGCGGGGTCCCGCATCTATGTCCAAGAAGGCATCTACGACAAGTTCGTGGCCGCCTTCAAGGACCGCGCGCTTAAGAACAAGGTCGGCGACCCTTTCCACCCGGAGACCTTCCAGGGTCCGCAGGTCAGCCAGCTGCAGTATGACCGTATCATGGGGTACATCCAGTCTGGCAAGGAGCAGGGCGCTACGGTTGTCACGGGCGGTGATCGCCACGGTGATAAGGGGTATTTCATCCAGCCGACGATCTTTGCGGACGTCTCGCAGGAGATGAAGATCATGCAGGAGGAGATTTTTGGGCCGGTTGCCGCGATTGCTAAGTTCAAGGATGAGGCGGATGCTATTAGGCTGGGGAATGATACTGCGTATGGGCTGGCTGCGTCGGTGCACACTAAGGATCTGAACACGGCTATTCGGGTCAGCAACGGGCTTAAGGCTGGTACCGTTTGGGTCAACTGTAAGCTCTCCCCCCCCCCCTCTTCTCTCACTGCACTTCCCTGGCTGTATGAACTCTATTCACTAACTGGTTAATTCCCTAGGCCACAACATGCTCAACCACGCCCTGCCCTTCGGCGGGTTCAAGTCGTCCGGCATCGGCCGCGAGCTGGGCGAGCTTGCGCTTGACAACTACACCGAGCACAAGAGTGTGGCTATTAACATGGCCGGCAAGCTGTTCTAGGCTGGTTGCTGGGATTGTGTGATGTAATGAAAACGGATCTGTTGATGGGAAACCGCCGTAACAATGGGTGGAATTTATTTTATTGGGACATGGGATGATGAGTGTAATGAGCTTGGGTTTGTAGCTATGGTTTGGTTGGGATATAGCCAAAATTGAGCCTTGATCTTCTACCTGTACAATGTTGTGGGTTCGAGTGATGCGGTTTCTTTCTCCCTGATATCTTTAGGAGTAACCAGTTTTGAGAATCAACTCGGTCTAGCAGCATCCATTCCCAGGTAACCGACCCCCGAGTCCGATTGGGAAAATATTGGACATTCCAAGGACCAGACCGCTAACAGTACCGTTACCAAGTGTCAATTCATATGCCAGCTAGTCCGTCATCCACAGGAGCATGTGCATACCTCTAAGCCGGCACGTTTACTCACGGCAAATCCGTCCGGCAACTTAAGGACAGCCGGCTACAAACATCCAAGACACTCATAGCGACAATGGGCAAGAGAGAAGAAACCAAAACCACCAACTTAGCCGCCAATGGAGTAACGAAACAACCACAATCCCCCCAAAGCTGCTCAAGGTCCCGACCACCGGACAGCGACCCTCCAACCCTGGGCTCAACGCAAGGCTAACAACCTCTGATACCAGCCGGCCAAGTCCAGTCCACGAGGCGCGACGTCCTTTGTTCAGCTCCCGCAGACATGACATGACAAGGTGGCCCAACGCGTAAACAGATACATCGCCTCAACAACCGAGAAACACTACATCCCCTCCTCAGCCGAGCATGACGAAATGGAACAAGGGGACCAAAAAGGCAGACAACCCCAACGGGCAGGCTTAATCCCTCACACCCCAGCCCCAAGACGACCCCACGCGTCGCGACGTCTGAAGAAAGGATGATGATGACAGATGAAGACGCGAGGTCGACCCGACCCGACCCGACCGCACGTCTCAGGTGGCGGGGACAGACAGACCGACAGGACAGAACAGACAAGACAAGACAAAGGACACTTTTCATTTTTTCAGCCGGCGTTGTCCCCAATAAAACTGAGGTAAGGAGTCATTCACTCCCCAACGGCCGGCCAGCCAGAGAGAGAGAGTGAAGAGGGACCTGACCGCGCCTTGGGAAGAAAGTATATACATGGCCGGGTATGAACCGCCCGGTGACCTTGGGCTAAGGTATACCAGATGTCCCATCCGAACACCTCACTCATGGATCCCCCAACGCTTTTTTTTTTCCCTCTGTGCCGTGCTGCCGCGCTCCCGTGCTGCCGCGTCGTCGGCCGGCGGAGCGTCCGAGCTTGCTTCACCGAGGTACGTCCAAGGTGAAAGCGGAAGGGAACAGGTGGCCGTGGCCGAAGGGGGGGAGTGTGTGGGGGGAGGGTGTGGGTGAAAAGGGGAACGTAGGCTGAGCGAGCATGTAGTGTAGTGTAGAGGTGAAAGGGGGACGGGCAGAAGGGAAAGGCAGGACGGTGGCGAAAGTGAAGAGAAAGAGAGCGGACAAGGCAACTAACCTCCAGCACCACCTCAGGAAACTAAACGGAGTGAGTGGGTTGAGTCGGTTGCCTTGTCCTGTGCGGGCGAACCACCACCGACCGACCGACCCGCCTGCGTGCGTGTGCATGAGAAGAAGAAACGGGTGGGCAGATGGGTGGGTGGTCTGCAAGGGGCAGGATACACCCTGAAACCGGCCAGCTGCAAAAGTCCAGCTTGGCTCTCTCGAGTACACCTGAGGAGAGCGGTAGGAGTGGGTGAGAGAGGGAGTCACAAGTAACGTGCCTGAATTTCCCCATTCCATCCCGTCAGCCTAACGCCGGAAAGGACCGGTCGGCCGACCGCTCGCCCAGCATTCACTCAACTCTCTCGGTCTTCCTTCGCCCTCGTCTCGCCCTTCGGCGGCCACCCCCAATAGGCCGGCGATCATGAGACGGTAGGGACGTGCCGGGAAGGTGGGGTTCAGGTACCAGGGGGGCGAAAAGGCCTGGTGTCCTGATGAGGTCATGGGCCTGAGGCAGTGAGTAGGTCAGTTGATGAGTAATGAGAGAGGGTGAGGGGTGATGGCAGATGGGGAAGGGGGGCGTACGCCTCAGGTGCCGCAATGTTGAGGGTCCGTAAGGGGGAGTTGACGAGCCTGACCCCTTAATTCCGTTGTGTGTGGTGCTGCAGTTCAACTGACGCATTATTGTGGGCTAGGACGGACGAAGGTCGAGACGTCCGCGCGTCGTCCGATTCGAGTTGTGCTGAACGAATCCTTCTAGTTGTTGCCGTGGCCTACGCCTCTGTCCATGCCTCTGTGCCGGCCATGGCGTGACGTTGGGCAACATAACCCACGCGGCTGGTTGACGCCACATTGTTCAGGACACCCTTGCACCTCATCCCGTGTGTGTGTGTGTACGGCGATCCCGTCTAAGAGAAGTGAACAGAACCTCCAGGAAGAAGTAAGAACGGATGGTGTCTGCCCAACGACCATCCCGTCTCAACTGGTGTCACGGCAAGGCTGCTTCCCATCATTCGCCTGTGGAATAGATCTGTGAAACGGGCGGGAACGGGATGGAAAGTCAAACCGACGACCATCAACTCAGCTCCATGACTTCCACCGTAAATCAAGGTCACGAGCAAACTGCGCAACGTCGAAACCGATCAGTATCACCTTATTCAGGAAACAGCCCCGGCCATCAACTGCGGCCGGGGTCGTAAACTTTGAGAAAAATTCTCCCGCAAATATTGTTTCAGTAATAAAAATGAACAAATAAGAAACAACGAAAAAAAAAAAAAGATGAAATCTCACCATCTCGAGGGAGGGAGCCAACAGGGAGCCGATGAGCCCACGACCACACTTAAACTGGCCTCCGCGAAAGTTATGTAAGGCTGCGGCACAGGAGGACTGCGCAGGCCCTCTTCCTGCAAGCTCACAAGCTAAGCTATCAGCAGAAGACGAAAAACAAATTTTGTAAAGCCGCGCGCGCACAGCCCCCCAGCCTCGTCAAGTTGATTATTGAGAGAAAAGAATCTAGAACAAAGGCAAGGCGCAAACTAGGGGGGAAAAGGGGCGGAACAATCCCGCGGAGAGGGAAAATGAACCCAAACGTCACTGGCCAGCCGTGGCTGTTCACAGGCTAGCCGTGGCTGAGGCTGAGTCCCCCGCCAAAAGCTTTCCGCGGACGAAGCCTTGCATGGTGCTCGTGCCCCTCTCTCCTTGAGTTTTGGCAGACCCAACGTCATAGGAATGCCAGTCACCAGTCATGCCAATGCAGTATTTTCAGTGGATGAAAGGGGGGCTTTGGGATAGGCTTGATAGGTTAGGGGTAGATCGGAGTTGTTGACACAAGACACCAACTCTTGTGGAACCGATGAATATGGTTGCACAAGAACCGGTGAAAAAAAAAAAGAAAAAAAAAGACGACACAGAAAATCTGGGGGATGGCGCGTCCTCCGTCACCGAACCATCACTGACACATCCGGCGGCCGACCGTGGGGTCAAAGGCGACGAGGCAGGATCCCCATCTTCTCCTCAGTTGCTTCGGCACAGAATTGACAGGAAAATGGAGGGCACCAAGTCCGGGCAGTCGAGTTCATCCCGAGACGACCGGCCCCACCAGAAAGCAGAGCGCGCCTGCCTAGCTCAATCCCTGCTCGCATGACAAGCTTGGCGAAGCACAGGCCAGCGGCCTCCTGATGCGATTGCCCAAGTGTGCCAAGCCAAATCCTCAAGTGTCGAGCTCAAACTGGCGAGTTTGAACAGCGACAGGGCCAGCCCAAGCTCGGAGGGTTGACTGGCTCGTTTGCCGCGCCCTTTCTCCCCCACTCCGTCAAGCGCACAGCCGCCCTTCGGGGCCGCTCGGAGCGGGGACCGGGGGCACCCCACGCCCTTGGCTGCTCCCCCGCCGTCCTCGCCCGCTGCTCAATCTTCGTGCAAGCATTCCACGCTGCGCCCGTTTCTCCCTCCCTCAGTCCCTCCCGTCTGCTCAGTTCAATCCGTTCCCACCTCCGTCGGCCACGGTAGCTTACTGGGCTGCCAAGCTGCGCGACAAACCGTGGCAGCCCATTTCCCGATTGAGGCGCATGCGTCTCTACGATTTGCAAACTGCCAAGAGCTTCCCGATGAACAGAATCCCAGCTGCTCATTCTTTCGACGGGCCGGCGCTCGCTTGACTGTGCCGTTCCCGCGGCCTCCCATCTACGCCGCGAACTTTTGCCTCTTTCCAGCGTCCCAGAAGCTGCTTGTTGATGCTGGCGGAACACCGATGCCCCTGCAGGTTCATTTCCATCTCCGTGCTCAATAATTTTGTTTCCAGAGAAAATTTTCATTCCGCGTCGGCCAGTTCTGACCTCTCGTTCGATAGTCTGGTGTTGAAGCCGCAGGCACCGAAATCCGGGACGCGATGCGTCACGGCGGGGTGGAGCTCGAGAGTCCGTCAAGCGGGCAGCGGCCGCTCCGCTTCCGTCTAGGACGACAAATGTGGAGCTGTCCTGAAGGTTTTCGGCCTCCATCTCAAATGCCTAGAATTCAACCTGGTGTGGCCGTGTTTGTCTCAGCACACCCCCCATGTGGGAAAAACGCGGTGGGCCGGCCAATTGATGGTGTGGTGTCGTCGCTGTTCCCAGGGATCCCAACCGGCGAAGACAATACGCCCACGCCCACAGGTGTGTTTCCAAGATGGGTCACCTCAATCCCTGCTTGAAGCAAAGCCATTCCCGCTTGAGGACGAAAAGCGTTCGAAGCGCCAAGATGACTGGCTCCCTCCCACCGGCACTCCGCATGTACCAATGTACCCCGTACATCGAATTGCTTGCATACACCTTGCTTTCACCTTGTCACTGCGCGTTCCCCACTCAGCCTTACCAGGCCACCGACATCTCGTCCGGCCACTATGATTCTACTACTTATAAAACCCCAGGCCTATCCTCTCGTTGCCCTAGTTTCTCCTTCTCACCACCCGCTCTACAACATCAACATAGTGTCTTGACACCTGATACCAAGCCAACAACCACCAAGCACCAACAACGACTAACACCAACAACACAACCCCACACCCACACACCAAGGTACCTCGCCAGCGTACCTTAGATCCCCTCCATGTCTCGCCGCGTCTACTTCGAGGACGAGCTTGAGGCCCGCCGTACCAGAGGCGCGGGAGGAAGCCGAGGCCGCAGCCAAAGCGTCGAGCGGTCAAACACCTTTGACGCCGCAACCATGGCGGGCCGTGACCGCTATGCCGACTATGCCGAGAGTGAACTCGACCAACTCCGCCGAGAGAACCAGTACCTCCGCATCCAAGTACGCGACGCCAAGGACGACCGGTCCTACGTCAAGAAGCTCGAGGCGGAGCGCGAAGAGCTCTTCCGCGAGAACATCAAGCTCCGCCAGACGAGCGACTACACCTCCGACAACGAGGCCCGCAAAGACGCCAAGCTCCGCAAGAAGAACGCCAAGCTCGAGGCCGAGATCAACACCCTCAAGGCCCAGCTCGCGAACGCCCGCGACAAGGCGTCCTCGTCCCGCAAGAACTACGATGACCTGTTGCGCGAGAGCCAGCGCACCGAGAAAGACCTGCTCCGCCGCATGGAAATCATGCGCAACAACAACGCCCTCCTCGAGCGTGAGATCAGCGACCTCACGCGCGGCATCTCGGCTGCCACGTCCAACACCACCAGCGGCCTCGAGGAGCGCTTCTACCGCCGCGGCTACTAAATAAATGACCACGGCACAACAACAAAAGCGCCGTTCTCACGGCTGCTGGGATACCCACTTCCTTCCTGAGGCCCTCGCCTCACACCCACCCACCCAGATCCACTGTCTTCGGACCACCGCCGGTGTCTTCATCCAAGTCACCCGCGCGAGTGAGCGGAATAAAATACAGCAGCACCCCCTTCCTCCAACATAACTAAGGAGTTAGGCGTTCCGCCTTTATTTTTATCGTTTTTCCCTTCCCTCAGGCCAGTCAACAAGTAAGGAACCCTTTTTCAGTTACCTCCCAACCCGACCCGATCCCGCAACACAACGGCTCGGCCCCACTCTTTTCAGCCAACGACAGCACCTAACACAATTCCAGAATTAAACCTCCTCCGACTCACTGCAGCATGCGTCGGCGTGTCTTACCCGACCGACTTTGGGAGGTAACTAAAAATAAATAAACCCCCCAATGCGAACGAAGAGGATGGTACGGCCAAAATAAAATGATCCAAAAAAAGGAGCAAACAAAAGAGGGAGAAAGAAACAACCAGTCAAAAAACACACCAAAACGGGATTCCTCCTCATTTCCCTTTTCTTTTCTGTCTTGGGCGGACAGTCATGCGAAGGGTGCATGACAATACGGAGTCTCGAAGGGTTTTTTTTGGGTTGGGTTTCTTTTTTCGGCATTTTCCATCTTTACCAGCATCATCACCAACAACGTTTCCCCCCCGGCACGGCACCACAGGACGGTATCGCCAATGGACATCACCATACCCACACACAGGAACACCCTCACCAACGACCATCATGATCATCACGAACACAAACCCACTCGTCACCATCATCACCATCATCATGATCATCACGACAAACATCATCACACGACACACTTCCATTACCGTCTGCGTCTTCTTTTTTCCCCGACCTTTCACAGTTATAAAAACAATATTCACGATACCCCCTCTCTCGGCAAACACGGCACCGTTTTGTCTTGAGCAAAACAAATTTACGTTTTTTTTTCTTTTATTCTTTTCTTTTACTCGACTTTTCTTGGGACTTTTGGGATATAATATGGATGTTTCTCATCCCTTTTTCACAACTTGTTGTTCTCGTCCTTCTTCCTTCCATTTGTAAGACCTTCATAATGTTCTCGTTCTCGGACTTTTTTCTTGCCTGCCGATTTAAGGCTCTTCTTATTTCCTCAACCATCATTTTCTCCATGACGTTTTCTCTTGTTCGGGATCATTTGAGGTACATGGTGATGGGCTTCGGGAGTCTGGTTTCTACACAAATGACGGTTCGCCACACTGGGACTGGGTTTTCTATAGTGATAGCTTGAGACATTAAATCAAGCACACCAAGGCAATATACATTGAGCCTGCATTCTAAGTTCCCATCACACGACTGAATCCCGTACATAACTCCAACCTTGCTTGACCTCTCCCTGATTTCGACATCTCCGTCGTCTTCCATTCTCTCGTGCTCTGATTCTAAGTGCCATTGCTAACAACCCACTCAATCGCTCAAAATTGAAATGAAATTAAGATTACCCCTTTTTTTCCTTACTGACTTGCCAACTAACTAAACCATATTGCCCTCCCGCCAACCCAAATTACCCACCCTGTCTACCTAACCAGTCCTGAACGCCGGGCCTTGCTTCCTTTTGCCTATTATGAGGCGCCGGCCCTATGGTGAAGATCCTGTCAGCGGGACTTGTCTTAGAAGAGGGTCAGTCCAGCAGCGCTCCCACAAGGCCACCGGCCCTGACCCATTCCCAATGCTCATGGCCCTAGGCCTGAGCCCTTGACACCTACATATGCCGCAGGCGGGCGCCTGTGATGGAGTGGCCGCAGAACCTACCGTGCCCTCCCTACCTACCGGGCGGCCTCTCTTACCCCCATGAACTGGTTGTTAGGGTAGAGGATGCGGAACGTGGTTGGGGGTATGGGGTTGGGGTTATACATAGGGTGAAATTATATAACCCATATAACCCTGTCCCAAAAGTTGAGGGCCATCATTCCAAAATTCAAGCTCTCTCCGTCCGTCTAGCATATGGACCGACGTAAAAATCAATTCATTCTCAAAAAAAAAAAAAAAAAGAATTACTGGCAGGCCGGCACCTTCCCCCACACCGCCACTATGACGAGCCCCGCGGTCACAATGACCAAACAACACAGAAAAAAAACCGCGAACACCACCGAATCCGGCACCCAATACTCCCAGCCATTGGGCCCGTCCGGGCCCCAGCCCAGGGGGGGCGGGCCGGACGCGGCGGGTGCGGTGGGCGCGGCGGGCGCCGGGGTGGTTGCCTCCGGGGTGGTTGCCTCCGGGGTGGTTGCCTCCGGGGAGGCGTCTGTCGGCCGACCTTCTTAAGTACACGAACGTCAGTGGACAAGAATCATAACAGGCGGAAGTGACTGGGATACGAACTCTCGAGGTCGGGAGACGGCTGGCGGGGGGGGAGGGAAAGAGAAGCGCCGCCCCGGTGGCGGTTCTTGGCCTTGCGGCCCTTTCCAACCCGGCCGGGGTCGTCAACCCCCGGCGGGTTGTGCTCGGAGGCGGGGGGGGGCTCTGGTCCGGAGGGGGGCGGCGGGGGCGTCCCGGGGCGGGTTGGCACGGTATGCGAGTCTGTAAACAGCAAACCCAGAGTTTCAATAGCTAAATACCGATATAAAGCAATATTCTGATATCATTGGGAACTTACACCCTCATCTTTCCTCAAAGGGAAAGGGAACCGGACGAAAAAAAAGAGAGGGAGGCCGGGGCGGTCTGTTCTTTTTTTTTTTTGAAAAAAAAAAAAAAGAGACGAACGACGGGGAGGAAAAGAGTCAAGACGAACTTTACATGGTCGCCGAAGAAAAGAAAGAAAGAAAGAGAATGAGATAACTAAGAAAAGCTAAAGGGGAATATATAGACATCGTCTCACACCCTTTGCACCTGACATGTTTGGCCTGACGTTTTACAAATGGAAGTTGCGATAGTGTTACTGGCGCTGTAGGAAAGAAGGAGTGTAGACATTGACTCTTGACTTTATACAGAAGGAAGTTGCGATCATGTTACTGAAAATACGGAAAGAAAGTGTATTCCTCCGAAGGTAGGTACCTACTCGGGTTGTTGCAAAATGTTGAAAGTTCAATGCAAGATACATCATATAAACACCACTGTGACAGTGTACTACTTATGGCGGCTGTAGAGTGTATGAATCATAGATGTGGTTATATGACACAGTCTCAAAAGTTGACACTCCAGAACCAGTCGAAACTTAATCAAATGCGATTCAAAAACATCGGTTTTATCCTAGAACTACCTAAGCAAAAGCAACACTACATATCATAGAATAACACACCCATTCACGTTTCCCGACTCTTGGTGGCCCGATTTCTCAGTTTGAGTGTGCGAAGCAGCCCTCAGTGGGAAGAATTTCCCCGGTATCAAGGGGGGAAACTTCGGTACAATACCCTCCTCTCTTGGCCACGGCCAAAATCCCTTCATTGGCATGTTGTCGTAAAAGCAGTTGTAGTTGCTGTCTTCCTCCAGGGCGCTGTAGTCATAGACACTGTCGCGGTCATCATTGTGCACGGAAGCACAATATACGTTTTCCCAGGTGAGATCTTGCACCTGGAAGTTGGCGAGAATGTTAATCCGGTCGCTACTGACCACAAGTGAACCTTCCCACTGCGGAGCGCCGGCGGGTTGATCAGGGTGCCAGTCGAGGAGGGACCAGTGGCGCCGGTAGGAGCTACCCAAAGCTGTAAATTCCCGTCTGGTCTCGGAAAGTAAACAGCCTTCATCGTGCAGTATGTTGTTGACTGACCAAAAGAAGCCTTCGCGCATCAGTCGGGGCACGTTGTTGCACCAGATCCAAAGGTAGCCGATCCAAGGCTTTTCTGGGGGTGAAGTTGAGGTTTCACTCTGATTTGGCATCAGGTAGAACACGATTTCTCCTCTGTTCCGGCCGGACCATCTGAATCGGGGGGGTCTCTTCGGGGCTTTAGGCTGTATCGAGTTGCGCTCGGACTTTGGCTTATCTGAATCGATTTGCGGCAGGGGCGTTTTGGGATCCGTGTCGGCCAGACTTTCGGGCACGGAAAGAGCCTTGGAAGCGGATGGAATGCCACTCGTGACATCGGACCTTCCCTGGCCGATTTTGCCGCCATCGGCTTTGGGAAGGTGAAGGCGAGTCATGGGTCAGGCTTTTGGGTAAACGCGGCAAGTTGTTTTGATTTGGAGGTCGGTCCGCGTCTTGGGCGTTTTCAAACGATCGGAATGCTACCAGGAAGGATTATCGTTGGACCTCAGCAGATAATTAATATTGGAGAAAGGGATTGAAGAGTGTGAGACAAGCAGATCGGAATCAACCCGGAAATACTTGTGCTTTTATAGGAGTGGGAACCTTATATTAATTTTGCCAATGACTTCACCGTTGAGTAGGCGGTAAGCAGTACGCTGTCATGATGGTGTTTATCTAACGTATTGTCACAATTGTGGTTCGAGTGGACTTGAATAATTTGGACAGCTCGACCCACGGTTCCTCTTTTGAGGATGTTGCGTAGCCTGTGGACAGTTGCGCCCACCCGGACACATATCTTACCTTCAATTTTCAAAGTTCCTTCCACAACGGGCTGAGCCGCTTCCCACGCAAGAGATTTCAGTCTCAAAGCCAGTCATAAATATGTCAGGTGCAAAGTGTGAGGGAATGGGTATATGTTCTGCGGCCTGCCTGTTTTTCCTGCGTTATTGTCTTTCTCTCTTGACACAAACGACACTCGTCCCTTTCCACAGCACATTGTACCCTTTTATTCTGTGTCATCGCTTTTGTTCAGCAGCCAAAGGACATCTAACCAGGGTATCACCAACCACAGGCCGCAGCGCGAAAAAAAAATGCCGGAAGAGTAAGTTCAAACCAGACGAAAGTCCAGTATTGTGTGTTGGATTTCTACTGACACCATGGGTTTGCTGTTTTATAGATTTTCCTTTGCAATCTACTCCGTCCCGCGAGAGGATGTGCCCCGCCCTGCCACGGCGGCCGACCCCCATGCGGAAGACCTCGCCATCGCCGCCGCCCAGACATCTGCCGCCGCCGACCGGTTGCCCCCCCGGCGCAGGGTCACCTCTACCCCGGCCACCACGACCCGCCCCGAGTGGTTTTCAAAGAAAACGTCAAGCGAAATATGTCAGATGCAAAGGGTGTGAAACGAGGTATATATATTTCCCTTCTGGTTTCCCTATCTCGTTGTCTTTCTTTCTTTTGTTCGGCGGGTACGAAAAGTCTGTTTCTCATTTTTTCGGAAACATAAAGTCAAATCTCTCTCTCTCTTTTCCTTATCTGACTTATTTCTTTTCTCTAGAGGAAAAGATATCGGTATAAGTTCCTAATGATAAAAGTATAAGTATTGCTTTTTTCTTGTTGGCATTTAATTAGTTATTAACACTCTGGGTTTGCTCTTTATAGGTTCTTCTTCACCTTCACCCCCCCTTGAAGCATCTGGGTCGCCCAGGGCGTCCCCGACGGCGTCGACAAGCACCACCCAGCCCGAGACCCCGGGCCGGGGCCGGGTCACGGACCGCGAAGTTGAGGGTTCGTACTATAGTGACTTCCGTCTGTTGTGATTCTTATCGACTGACGTTTGTGTGCTTAAGAGAATTTCCCGAGGGACCCCTCACCGGAACACCCCGACCGCCGGCGCCTTGACCCTTGCGCCCTCAACACCAAAAAAGGGTCGGGCGACGGCCCGCAGCATTGAAAGTTCCTACCAGAGTCGCTCCGCGTTATGATTCTTGTCGACTAACGTTCAGGTGGTTCAGATAGTGAATGGGACGATGTTGTGGAGGGCAAGCATGCCCGGGCGGTGGTGCGCCCCCCTGCCCGGGGGGGGAGGGGGGGGGAGGGAGGGGGGAGGGAGGGTATTGGGCCGTATATAACGGGCCGAACGGCTTTTCCTACTTTCTTTGGACGGGTTGTGTTGTGTGTGTTGCTCTGGGCTTTACTTCGTTTGGAATGACGATGGCGGTGTTATTAATGAAGTAGTTTTTATTCTTGTCCCCCCATTCTAAAAAAGAGACATGCACTTCGAACTGTGTGCTGGCTATGTGTGTGGAGGAATTGATGGGTGCACTCACGGTAGTTATATATGGGAGAAGTCACGTGTACAGTCCGGCATGTCCAAATACCACAGCCCGAAGTGCATGTCTCTTTAGAGAAGGAAAGATTTTATTCTCACATCGGTCCATTACATCGCTGTGATGCTTGACGATGATAGAGAAAACTGAGTGATCTCAAAATCAACAACGACCCCTGTCATCAAAACCACGCCCGCGAGCCGCGCCCATGAAACGGCGCTCATGTCTTGCCCTGCCAGCCCGTTCATTTAGCGTTGGTATGTCCAAGTCTAATTTCGTCCTGTGTGTGACACAGCTGCGCAAGCCTTAAAAATCATCTACCCCTTTACGCGCGCGGCTCTCAAAATAGCGCAGGTCCCAGTCAGTGGTCAGGCCGTGTTGGCTGACCCGTCGGGGTGTATAATGAGTTGGTTGGTTGGTTCCTGGGAGCCCGAGCTGGCTGACGGATTGGTTGGGCTGGATTTCAAGGATTGGGGATTGATTATTCATGGATGGAATACGAAACCTGGCTTGCTGTGACTAAAAACAAAAAAGGCGGAAGACTGAAACAGGTAGCTTTGAATCCGTTGACATTCGATCAGATATTGACAGATTTCGACATATTTTGACGGTTGTGACCAAAATAGCTAATACCTAACTAGAAGTCTGGTATCCATAGAGTTAACTATGGTTTTATCTAAAACGCTGCTTTAATTAAGTTACTAAAAGCTTGATTTAGTTACTCTTTTTATCTTTTTTCACTTTTTAGTTTATTCTTTTCTCTCTTTTTTTACCTTCTTGATTTATTCTTTATCTTTATCGTATTTCTCTTTTTTGATTTCTTCTTCTTTGTCATCTTTCACTTTTTTTAGTTTGCTCTTTTTTGTTTTCTCTCACTTTTTAATTCAGTCTTTTTGTCTTTTTTGTTCACTTTTATAGAAAGTGGAGTATCCAGTGACTTAGTCTGCCACTTTTTTAGCCACAGCGAGCCCGGGCAAAACCGTGACATATTTTTGGGCCTTGGTCAGCATTGCTTGGTAATTCGGGTGAATTGTTGTGTTGTGATTTGTGAGGATGTCAAGCCCAACAGGCTGAGCCTGGGGTGTTAGTTGAAGATTGGAACGTGAAGGCAAGAAAAAATAGAAATAGAGCATGAGAATAATAGATTGCTTGCTATTTTACGACTCAATCTCCTATGCTTTACTTTCCAATACTCTCTTCACCTGTTTTTTCGTGTCCATCTCGCACAGCATGGGTGATTGAAGATTGGTGTAAGTGGCCACTTTCCCGATTTGGACAACCTTGCTCCTTTGGTACGTACCAGGAATGCCCCGTCCGCTTTTCGCCACTTCGGCCAGGCATTCGTTGGTGGAGCGAGGACCGGAGTGGGGGAAGGCGTGCGGTCTGCTCCATTCAACCCCAAGCCGCTGCCTGGCACGTCCGCTCCGAGGCTAGGTAGTATTAGGTCATCCCGCCAGATCGGTCGAGGGGGGCTCGGAACCTCGTTGCTCAAATTTTGCCCAGCTGCTCATTTGCACATGTGAGCTATTTGATCGGTTTGGGGTTGCTGGTGGCCGTTTTCGGGGACCATGTTGGGAAACAGCATGGCCCTTGTGCCAGGCAAAGGTGGGCTGGCCGGTTTGGGATTATCCCTGTTTGCCTTGGTTTCTCTTTGAACGTCTCTCCAACACGGGGCAGCACCCCAACCAACCGGCCCAGTTTCAAGAGTTTGAGTTTGCCGGTTAGGCTGTTGACATGTTGCGATGGCAAGCAATATGACGACAGTTGGCGACGACGGCTTGACGGCCCTTTAGACGCAGAGCTAGGGTGAGCGCATGTTTGCTGGGGGAATCATGCGAGGTGATGCTGCTTTGGCGCATCCGCGCGGAGAGACATGTCTTGCTGGGCTGAGCTCGGGGTTAAGATTTCCAAATGGGGATGAGGAAACGCGGCAGTGGTGCGCGCACCGCCTGCGCAGGTGCGCAATTTCTGGACGAGAAGCTTTCTGGCTCTGGCCGGGCATGGAGGGGCATCGAGCTTGGTGGAAGAGAAATCTCCGTTTCTCTTTGCCAAGCCACACCCCCCCTCCTTTTGGATTTGAGGACCACCACAACACCTATCTAGCATGGGCGGGTTGCCTCCGGTTGCCCCTCCCCCGCAGCCGCAAGCGTTGGTGTGTTGAAATCTGGACGGAAATTGACGCTGGTGACTCCCGGGTCCGTCGTTGGATTTGAAACGCCCCTTCTCCTTCCCTTATCTCACTCTTCGGCTTTCCAAAGTAATCCATGTTGGCAGAGCAATGCCGCAGGGAAACAAGGAGACCGCCGACGACCTTCAGGTCAGGTAGGCCCCTGACTTCTATCGGAGTCCTCGGAGAGTTTCTGAGCGCGCAAAAGCGAACTCTTCTTAAAAACTGTGTGATCTGCCCCTCCATAAGAACGCCAAAACGCTCATCTGAGCAAAAAGTTCAAGAGTCTGCATCTGCCCCGCATTCCCGAGGTTGATGCCTGACTGGCTCAAGCTCAGTCACTGCACACCACCGCGATCTCCCGCGACGGCTATGAATGCACGCCTGCCAAGTTGCCGAAAGATTGGTCGGCTTCTTTGACTCAACTGGCCGACATCGTCGTTATGAGTGGACGGCGTGGTCTGGTGGCCGACCGGGGTGGATCAACGGCGGCAACCCCACCAGCCCATGATGCAGGGAAACAACCGCACGCTTTTTTGACGGGAACGGTGGATTCAGGTGGTGATACTCCACCACACATTGAACCCAGAAGCAGGAGCCGAAAGAAACGGTTCTGTAAGGCGAGAGGGCCAGGCCTGCGCGGGTCGTCCCATTTACCACGTTGCCTGAGACGATGGGATTTATCCTTGTGGGAAACGCCAAATGATCGTGGAGGGGCCACCTGCATTATGACGGAGTATCAACCCCGAGAGCTGCGAGGCAATTGCAGGCTTAATGGAATCAAGTCGGTTTGATCCGTCTTGCGGACGGCCTCGTCGGGCATATTGCAAGACATCAAAGACCTGGAAAGCCGAGACGGGCTGGGTGAAATTCGGCGGATTGCACCATCCGGGGATCCAGCCCTGCGAGCCCACACAATTGACTCAAACGTCCATTGACGCTATCGAGGTCGCGAGCAAAGCGATCTCTCGGGGATATTTATTAGTCGGCAGAAAAGCAAAGTGAGGAGCGGTTATGTTTAATTTGGCCAGCGAAAATGTTGATGAGGTTGTATTTTGACTTGAAATGGCCAGTGCAATTCCCACGATCGTCCGCTGGCAGCTTGGCACGGTGTGTTGCAGTTCTGATCCTTGAGTGTCAGACCCCGAGACGCTCGGTGCAAGTTGACGGAAGGAGCAGGGGTAATGGTTGAACCTGTCCAGGCAATTCGGATGGATGCACGAGAGAGAAGACGGAACCCCGGCGACGGGTGACTCACCGTTCAGCGGTCGCCAGCAAGCGCCAACCGCGAGGTGAGAGGATGAGCACTCGGGCCACGTCTATTCGTTGACCCAGTGTTTGTGCAAGAAGCCCGTTTTGGGGAGCTTCTTGATGAAATTGATCAGACAATCTCGCAACGCCCTGGCAGCACCTGGTTCCAGGCCTTTTGTTTGTGTCAAACCGGCCGTCGGATCTTCGAGGGGCGGGAACGACGGGAGGAAAGAGCCGTCCATGATCCATCATTGTCAGACTGAGCAGAAGGCGCCGCCGAGACGACCAGGGGCCACAATTTGCAAAAGACAGAGTTTTTCGGAAGCAGGCGCCATCCGAATGGACGCTGGGCGTCTTTTTGTGGGGCAGCCATGCTTTGGCCGAGAAACCCAGGAAGCCTTGTGAGAAAGCCAGAGAGGCGCTGTGCTGGGTGAGGTCTTGATTTTTGGGAAGGAGGGAGGGTGATGCAGCACTGCCGCACTCGTCACTTTCTGTGCTCCTGTCGTCGTTCGACAGGTAAGGACGGCGGCTGGACAGGACAGGACGCGTCGGCCGTCATGGATGGCTCCCATCCAGATGCTCCTCGGTGAGCCTTGAGAAGCGGCCGGGGGTGTGCTTGGAGGCCGTTCCTCGTCCATGATGACTCCAATTGCTCCCCGTGTGCCAGGGCATTGATACTGCGACGCCCCCTCCCCTCCCTCCGTTTTCCGTCGCTGGCGTTCTCGAGCGGCCGCTTTTTGCATTGCCTTCGCGCATTGTCGAGAAGGCAGCAGCCGCATCCTCCGAGTCTCTGATCCCGGATCGAATAATTCGAATGATAAAGGCGGGCGCGGCGATGGGGTGGCCTTCTCTTGTCTCCTTTCTGCTCTTTTTATAATATCTCATTGAATTCCCTGTCTCTGGAGAGGAATTTTTTTCCTTCCGGCATTCTAGTTTGCGCAGCGCACACCCCCCTTTCAAGCGACATTTCGCTTCCTGCCCAAAGGAGGAACACAACCCTGTTTTCTTTCTTTCAGCCAGAGAATTTGCGCCCAACCCGAAACGACCGGCTGCGTTGCATTCCTCGCCGAGCCTTGGTTCCCCGTCGGACCGCCCCCTGTCTTTCCCGGTCGCAGCACCCAAATTTACCCCCCAGCCCGCACAACTTTTTTTCTCGCTCACTTATAATACCCTCCCCAATCAGTCGGGCACCTGTGCAGCGCGCTCCTCCGCACACACGGTCAAATCAGCACACAACACATCTTGACGTGCTGCTTTAGCCTACATTCAACCCCCTTAGCCTCGCGCATCGATTGCGCTCGTCTGCCGACATGAGCAGAAGCGTCAAATTCCGGCGGCCCTCGCCCACCGGCCACTACGACCACCAACGGAGCGACTCCGGGTTCAGCGACAGTGAGAGCCGCACCTCAAATGCCGACAACGACTACGACGCCCTGGGATACGAGGACGCTGGGATCTTCAGTATCCGCCAGGCGCTGGACTCGGCCCGCAAGGAAGCCAAGCAATATCGGGGGCTCTATGACGAATCCAAAGCAAATGTCGAGTCGCTCCGCAAGGAAGTCAACAAATACCGAACGCTCTATGACGAATCCAAAGCCGATCTCGAGTCGCTTCGCAAGGAGGCCGAGTCGGCCAAGGCCCACGCCCGCGCGCTGGAGAACGAACTCGAGAACAAAGATAACACCATCGACACCCTGACCAGGACCAACAAGGATCTTATTGAGGAGAACAAGGAGCATGACGAGGCCATTCGCCTGCTACAAGAGAGCTTAAAGGAAGCAACGGACTTCGTTACGCAGTCGAATGCCACTGTTGCGGACGCAGACGTCACTGTCCGGGAGCTCACGGCGGTCATTCAAAACATGAAGAGCCGCAAGGGTAGCGGTGGCTCTTCTCCTTCCGAATCCAGCGCCACCGCAGCCGAGTCCGCCGACGAGAAGAAAGTTCGCCGCAGCGCCAGCAAACGGCGCAAGGACTCGGCCGAGAAAGCAGACAGGGAGAAAGAGAAGGAGAAGGAGCGCGGCCGGGACCGTGGGCCGAAAGAAAAGGAACGTGATCGCGAGCGACGCAAGGAGAAGGAGCGCGCCGCTGCGCAGGTGGCCCAAGAGGAGACGGAGCGCCTTCGCAAGCGCTTCAATGCCCGCGACGATGAGATTGACGCCAAGAGCAACGGCACCTCCAAAAGCCTACGGGCCCGTCACGACAGCACCTACGTCGAGTCACTCGGCCCCTCTTTGCCGCGGCCATCAGCTCAAGGGGCTGCCCCTTCCCCATCACGGCAATACGCGCAAACAGCGTACGCAAAGACTCAGACTTATCCATCATACCCAGCACCAAGCGTGCGGTCGGGGCACCCTACGGTTTTCGTCCCCGGCGAATATCCCTCCTACAACACGGCCGAAGATGAGGACGCGACCTATCCCCATTCTCGATCTACCCGACACCCGAGGTAATGGGTATGACCACACGCAAAACGGGGAAGAATGCGTGACGGGATGCGACCACGAAGCATTTTCCTTCCTCGGGCGCTCCCGGTCTTGCATTTACTTTGCCACGAGGCCCCGATTGGCGGTACCTGCACCAGAGCAGAGCTTCCTTCCTGCAGCCCTGTGATGGGCGACTGCGAAGCATGGCTCTCCGACCAATTCGCGCGCATGCCGGTTGTTTGGCTCGTGTGTTGGGCCGCAATTTTTCCTTCTTTTTTTTTCCTTGCTCATTGCTGCCCAACCTGACGGCCCCACAAATACCCTGGAACCCTGAAACCCCGACGTTACATCCGCACCACCCACCACCCCAACACAATCACTGTGGATCGTTCGCACCGACAATGCAAAAACACCTGTCGGCACCTCAGCCATCTTTCGCCCTTTTTTGCCGCGCGTCCAGTCCTGTCACCAACGACAACTGGAAGCGGTGCAGTGCGGCGCAAGAAATTATGTTTCTGCGCCGCATTTTGCTCTCGACCACACACAAGCGCAAACCAGCCTTGTGGGTCGTTTTTGGGCTGGTGGTTGGGTAGGGCTGATGGTTTTGTTTCTCACTCGCACAGTCAGCGGGTGTCCGAAATTGGCGCGCTCCGCCGAACAAGCTGCACCCCTGACCGATGTGGGGCCAGGACAATCCCGCCGGTGCGGACCGAAGAACGGTGGAAGTGTTCGGGAAGCTCTTTGGGCTCCACTCCCATCAGGGATGCCCATGGATGGAACTTTTCTGAACCATGAACCCTTTTTGGGTTCCATCGACATTCAACAACACAGACACACTTTGATGTCTCTTTCTTCCTCCCGGCCATCTTTTTTTTCTTTTGTTTTTGTTCCCAACATTTTCACACCTTTTTCGTTGATTTTTTGGATGGTTGTTTTTCCCTCATATACCCCCTTTTGTTGTTTATTGTGCTGTTGTACCAACCCACAATTACGTTTTTCTGTTTGGCATGTATGTCTCGCGCTTCTGATGTGGAAGATGACGAAGACGGTAAGGGGGAAACTGGGACTCGGGGGGCAAAAAGGTTCAACATTGCTGACTGGGGTACATGGCATGGATGAAATGGGACTGACAGGATATGTTTTTTGTTTTGTCTTCTTTTTTTGTTTGTTTCATGGGGCTGCATCGATAGATCTAGATAGAGCTTTTCTTTGCCTTGTTTTTCTGCCTATTTGTCCTGGCTTGTCACACGGCAATGCTTTGGACTTTTTTCTTTACTTTGTATCACAACCTGTTGATCTTTTTGGGACTTTGGATCCTGGTCTTTGTGTTCATGTGCGAGGGAATAGTAAGAGAATTGAGGAGAGTGAGGCAAGAGAGAGAGAGAAATGTGCAAAATTACCTGCAACGCCTTGTTCTTTTTCGCAAGTGGTCCAGACATATCCATCCGTTCATTCATCGTAACTCGTGTCCTTCCCATCTTAGTCGTCTACCAAGCACCATAGAGGCGCCGCTTCCTCGCATTAAGTCCACCCACTTGGACAAACCTCACCCACTTACATCAACCTCAACCTCAAGCTCAATTTCGCTCAATCAACTCAAGAATGATCAACCAAAAACCCCGCCTCAATCGCACCCACCAGCGCCACAGCACCCAAAGTCCAAAACGGAATCTGCAAGTACCCCAATTGCAAGCCGGCGCCAAACAGCCCGCCGCTTAGAAGCAGGCCGGCTGAGCGAGCGAGACAGCTGAATGAGGCGGCTGCGCCGTTGATGCGCGCTAGGGCTTCGCTCGAGGGGGAGGTGTTTGTGATTCTGGACCGTGGGTAAGCATAGAGAAGTTAAAGCGGGAACTTTGTAAAGAGTGGGGGGGCATATCGCGCTGCAATACTTATACATTCTCGTGACTATTTCGAGGGTTGTGGGGGTGTGTCTTGTTGGGTGAGGTTGAGAGGAGAAGGGGGCTTGACTTACAACACAGCGGAACAGATATACCCCACCGATGACAATGCCACTTTTGTCCACAGGTCCAATAGCAAGAGCACCACTCCAAAGGGAGAAGGAAGCTGGGGTAGGAAAGGCGTGAAGATGTACATAGCCGGATATAACTCCAGCACCCAGTGGAAGGGCCGCAACGCGCCAAGCTTGGAGACAAACCAGGGGATCGCCGTTGGTTGGATCAAGACTCGGAAGATGGCCTCTGTTAGGAAGATGATGCCGATCATGCGGGTGTCGAAGCCGAATCCCCGTTGGGAATGGGGCAAGGGGGTTCCCCGCGGTGTTGTCGTGGTTGCTGCGCCTGCTCCGGATGCGGGCTCATTGTCGTTGGGGTCATTGGCGTCCAGGGCGAGAAAGGTGCTCGTGAGGGAATCGGAGGCGATTTTGTGGAAGGGGAGTAGGGAGAGGGCAAGGACCTGCAAGATCACTTGGGGTGGGAAGGCTCGAAAGGGGGAAGGGGGTTTGGGAGCGGCCGGGTTCGGTGGTGGTGGTGAGTGTGGGTTGGAAGGGTCGAAGGCCGAATCCGAATATGTCCGAGCATCGTTGCCGAGGGTCTGTTGTTGTTGTTGTTGGTCGAGAAGAGGATCGTCCTCGGTGGGACCCTGTTGGGCTTCGAGTCCGGTTGGGTCGCCGTGTAGTAAGGGGGTGTAAGTGGTGGTCTCTGGGTGTTTATCCCGCCGGGAGAAGAACCTTGTAAAGGCCTGCACAACGGAGTGTCCCGGTGTGGCTTGCGAAGGTCTTGACATTCCCGGGTGGGTCTCTTGGAGAACGAAAAACGTGAGGATAAAGGTAAGCGCTTGGAGCATGCCGACAACGAGGTTCGGGAGGAGGTATGGGTAACTAGTCCAAAGTGAGTTCTGGGGGAATACGGATGGGTAAAGGGTAGCTGGGTCGGCCAGGAGCCCCCCGAGGACCGGCCCGATGAGGTCTCTGCAAGCGAACGGTCGTCACGGGTTAACAGCGGGTACAGACGAGCGTAGCAAGGGGACCGCAACCCACCCGACAGATCTGATGAATGTGACAAGGGAGAACGCCTTCGCTGTTTGATTATCAGCATCAATGACGTCATTTTAGTTGATAGACGATCTAGTCTTACGCCGTTGCTCCTTGCTCGCGAGTTCCCCGGTGGACGTCTGGACCAGGCCCACGTTGGGATTCAACAGCCCGCCAAAGGCTCGAGACGCCATGGCAACACCGACAGAGCGCGAGAACCCCAAGGTGAGAACAGTGACAAACCCGCAGAAGGTGCCCATCAACATTGTCGGTTTTCGTCCAATCTTGTCGCTCACACGGGCCCAGACAATGCCCGTGAGGAACTCGCCAAGGGTGAACAAGGCGATCAGGGCAGCGGAGTAGAAGGCAATGTCATGTTCCGGGACATTGAAGGACTGGATCATAAAGTATGCGTAAGGGAAGATACTCGACCATGCGATGGCTTCCGTGGCGCGTATCAGCCCTAGACAGGAGTGAATGGTACTCGGTTAGCGCTTCAAGCCGATGATTCTAGATATGAATGAAGAGGCCAAAGGCTCACCCAAGACCCATATTTGAAGTCGGATATTTGAAATTGAGGACATGTTCGCGGTAGGCAATAGTAAAATAATAAAAACATCAATCGCTCTCGAGTCTCGATGCGGTATTCGTTGTGTCGTTCCAACGTCGGGAACCGGGACAGGTGGACGAGAGTCGAGAGAGAAACCAGAATCGCCTCGCCAACCGCTACAGTGATTATCAAGAGGCGTTTTATATCGTGACACATCCCTCGTGGCCTAGAAAACTCGACAGCATTGCCCTCCCGAGTTAGCATTAATCCACTTCTTACTTCTTAGTGTTGGCTCAAGCTGAAAACTCAAGACGCACCTCCCATTCAGCTGTGCCGATCGTCGGCCTCCCCCCCCCCTCACGGCACGTTTCCGGGCTCAAAACTGCCGGCTGGCAGTCCCGAGTCTCCTTCGACTTCGCTGCATCTCACCGCCTCGGGTGCCTCTCTCGCTGAGGCCAAAAGAGGCGGCAGACTAGGTACACAGATATCTGTACCTTAAGTCTAATTCATTAACATTCGATTGAATCTTAACAGATTGTTGTTGATAGTTAACGTACCTTATAAGCGAGCCGAACATATAAGCGAGCCGAACACTCTCCACCAC